TGAGCAATACAAGTACAAAAGAAGCCGATAATTAAAACAAAAGAGTAGGGCGAGATATAGCGGGGAAAAGAGGAAAAGAAGATATGGGGGCGATTAAAAGGACGATTAAAACAAGGTAAAGGGGGAAGGGTATCGCTTTTTTTTGCCTCCATCTAAAGCTCAAGCTAAATGCGCCTGAGTGTCAAAAGGCCAACCTCGAGTACGTTTTCCATCTATCCAATCCAAAAGAAATTGCTTCGCTGCAGGTCTTAATGTGATATCCAAACACCGAAATCCGAAAAGGCAATAAAACAATAGTTCCTCCGAGCCTATCTTGCAAATCAGCTTAACAGGCACCAACGTTTATAAGAGACAATGCAAACACAAAAGCAGCCTAAAAATTAAGAGAGAAGGAGAAATAGAAATAGAAGAGAAAGAGAAAATGAAAACAAAAGCACTTGGCAGATTTAACCATGCTCTGTCATCGCGTCACTATTGTCAACAGATGGATGCCGTTGATATATATGCCTAGGAACGCCGTCAGATGCGGCCCGCGACAGCTGCGTTGTCCCTACGCGAGATGAATACTCCGAGTTGTCACTTGTAATGGGCTTGAAGAAGCCATCTACTAGTGACATGGTGCTATCGCGCCACCAGTAATGCATAACATCGCACTGCCAGCGCCACATATCCCTAATCTTCAATGATCGGCTTGCTTGGAAGGTGGACCGTAACAGCACTGCATTGAGAGGGGACAGTCGCAGTTGGTGAAGGAGCCATCGATTCACGTAATCAGCCTTCTTCCCGCCATCACACTCTCGCATGAGGTTGTCAATCGCATACTCTTTCGACGCTAATCTCTTCTTCACGCCCTTTTCTGGGTGGTGATTCGGAAGTCGAATAGCTGCTTTGAGCGCCCCTAGTGTGGTCAGAGGCTCTTCAGCCAACACATGATCTGGCTGAGAAAGCAACTCATTGAACTCAGTGTGAGCTAGTGTTTTGCGGCGGCTCATTATCGTGTGCTCATCATCCAGATCCAGATCCTCATATCTGATCTGCGGATCTAATGCATATTCCATCTTGATAGACATATGCTTCTTCATGACTCCCCTGTCTTCGCAAAGTTTTTTGAGACCATTTACTTTGGATTCTAGGCTGGTCATAATATCATTCATCCGCTGCTCTTCGTAAGGGAATTCGTCAAAGAATTCCTTCATCTCCTGCTCGTCCGAGACCTTCTGCTTGGTAGTCTTTTTCAACTGCTGTTCCTCTTCATACTGTTGTTTAGTAGAAAGGAGGTCTGCGTATTCGTCTCGAGCGTTACCGAGGTATCCCACCGTTGATGTCAATTCCACATATAGAGGATGTGGTTCCTCAACAGGGCCATACGGAGATATGCCCCTGAGTTCATACGGTATCTCTGTCTGATCGATGCTAAAGTTAGCAGCGCCAGAGTCACTGGAGATGTCTAATTGGCGCTCCTCTTTAGTTTGTCCAGCAGCCAAGATGCTGAAAAATCTAGTTTCGAGGATGCTCAGATCGCGCTCCTCCTCGTCCAACATTGCCTCAAGAGCTTCATAGCTAGACTCCAGAACTTGATAGTCATCTCTAAGCTGTTGCATCTTCTCTAGCCGAGATTCAAACAGGCTGGCAGGGTAATCAATTAGCTCTCCTTGGCTAACCAGCACAGGTCGGACAACTCCCATGAATGCATTATCAGCGGCATCTTTCTCACGCCTTTTTTCCCGCAACTCTTTTCTCCTTGATCGCATTTTCGCTCTCGTCCCACTCAACTTGGCTCTTTTTTCTTTTAACTGCTGCCATAGCATTTCTATTTCGCCATGTGATGAATCATCAGAGTGTACAGAGCCATCTAAGCGGGACTCGGTGTCGGTGGGATCGAGAACTGCAGAAATGTCGCCGAGTCTTGAACGAGATCTCGTTGGGCTCCTTGACTTTTCGTATTGTGATACCCATGCTGTAATTTGATTTGCCGCCGAAGATCTACTCCGCGGAGCAGATGGTCCATGGGCCGGCCCAGCGGGCAGCTGGGGAGGAAACTGCCTAGCATTTCGATAAGCGAATGGATCTTCATTAGATGACGAAGAGGAAGAACTTGAGGTCTCGTCATATCCAGACCTAGTGGACGAGAAAGTCAGTGTTTCGTCTTCAAGCCCATCGCTTCGCCGGCGGAGCGATCGTCTTGAGTTCCGTTTGCCCCTTGACGGTCTTGGCCGTACGTGACTGTTTTCTAGAAAGCCGGGCGCGGGCTGAGCCAACTGCTGCATGCCGGCTGATGTTTGTGAAGTTAGAGAAGATGGCGGCTCAGGTCTCTCGCCAGCCAGGCTAAGACCCCCGCCGTTAATCGTTGGAAGACGGGGGCCATAGGAGGGAGGAAGAGAGTTGAGTGGAGGAGGTGGTGGCGGCGGCGGGTGAGGGGGGACATAATAGTGTCGAGCACCATGACTGTCATCGGCCCTGTTCAGCCTGACTGGTGATGACGATGGCGGCGATGCTTGAGCAGAGCCAGTGCAAAATAGCGGAGGTCGAAAAGGCCCATACCGAGACTGGTCTGCCGGGCCCGGTGGATAGGGTCGGGCAGCTTCGTTGGGACTCCTTGGGACAAATCGACCTGTTCCCCTGCCTGCGCCACGTCCTCTTCCTCGACCCCGCTCTGGCCCTCGCTGGAGAGAATGTGGGAGCGCGGGAGGTAGAGGGAAAATAGAAGAGAATGCATTGGAAACTCTGCCAGGGAGAGGCGTCCGACTGCCAGCAGATGCAAAGGGCGTCAGTGGTGGGCTTGACACCACGGGATCAGGAGTAGTGACCCTGCTGGATATTGTCGACGTATCGCTATGCAGCTTCCAGCCATCGCTCTCTTTCAAGTCCTCGTCTTCGTGAGACGACGCAGCGGCAGCGAATGTGACAGACGAGCTGTCGGCCGGATCGTCCATGTTGCCGGTGCGAAGGGAATCGCCCAGAGGTGCGAGGCCTGGGCTGGCCGGTTCCTGGCGTACGGCGGATTCCATGGAGGCCGCTCGAGTACGCTGGCAGTCGCTCGACGCTCAGCATTGCCCATCCATGGCCATCCTCCCGGCTCGATAACATCCAAATTCGCTGGGGCGTGATGGCTGGGAGAGGGAAGGAGGAGAAGACAACGCCAGAGATGCCGGATCGAGGTCAGACGAGGCTCTGCAGTCCTGGGGATGACGGCGGGCGGCGGGAAGCGCACGGCTCATCTGTGGACACAGGTTGAGTATGCGTCTGCTCAGCGTCTTGGCTTGGTATTTGCACCTACGGCGGCGAGACACAGGTCGCTTGATGCGGCGGACGGGACGGTAAGCCAGGAGAGATGTTCGATTTGCGGCCACATATGAGTTGCGCAAGTGGTGAGTGCGTCTTCTCGCAGCCCGTCCGGACTGTCAACGTGTGTCTGGCAGGCCAGAGGGCTCAGCATCTGACTGGCAGCTCCCTCCGCAAGGCAGCTCATGGCGCCTGCCAGAGAATGGCCCAGCGTGCCATCGGTTGGCTGGAGCCCCTGTGGCCGCAGGTGCTAGAACTGTGCTCGACGCCTCCCCGGCGCGCTAGGAGCGCTGAGCGCATCAGGTAGCGCCCACGCGGCAGCACCAGCCCACTGTGCCGCTAGCCCTACCAAGCGTGGGCGAGCCGTGCGTCCGCTAAAGGCGTCGCTAGCCCAGCACAAACGATCCACTAGCCACGGGTGCGCTGGGGTAGCAAAGCAAGAAAGCTTTCGGGGCGGTGGGGCTACCCGTCCCGAGCGGCGCCTCTCAGCAGCCTAAGGCGCTGTGCCAGCCCAAACCGGGCATGTCACTCTACCTCGACATCATCACCACCAAAGCTCCCGCGTCAATATGCCTCCACTCGGCGCAAGCGACTAGTCGCGCTGCATAAAGCACGCCGTGCATTGCGAGGATACGACAAGTGCAGCAAAACCACCTGGCCGTCGCTCAGCGCTGGGGCTCCTGCGGCCGTGCCACCTGACAGGGTCCTCGACCGAAGAGCTGCAGGCCAAGATGCAGAGTGGAGATGGCGCGACGACTCGGCGATCCCAGCAGCTGCGCTGGGAGGGATTATCGATTTGCTGTAGAGCACAGGTCAGCTATGGATGAAGCACAGCCAAGCTTGCACGGCGATTTGTGCTCAGGTTTTGCCCCGACCAGCCCAGTGGCCAAGGTAGCAAGGCAGCTCCAGTCGCTGACACCTGGCGTTGGCTCTGGCCAGCGAGTGGATGTGCTTCGGCATGCGAGCGCTCGAGCTCGCAGTCACAAGAAAATTTTGAGGACGGGGAAAAGAGAGCGCATAGCAGCACACCACCTCCGAATCGGAATTCGAGATCGTCCCATAGCGCAATGCGACCGCTGGCCAGCGTCAGGATGCGCACAAGGCGCCCGTTAGCCGGCTGCACCCATGTCTGCTGCTCTGTGCTCGATAGCCCGATAGCATTGCCATTCCGTCTGATACTGTACATAACGCTACGGCTGGACCATTGACTCGATCGCCCAGCTCGACGTAGCTAATCAAGCGGCGGCCAGAGATGCATGCCAGATGTCTCCATAATCCTATCCGCCAGCGCCGCAGCAGCTTGCTTTAGCAGCTCGCAGGTTAAATCCACTCAACCTTACAGCAGCCATCCAATACCAACATACCAGCAGGCCGGGGGAGCAGCACTCGGGCCAGGAAGTGGACGACCCACGTCGAGGCTCGCGCCAATCTAGGCCTATAGAGACAGACCCAAATGTTCCCCTCCCGCCCGCTGCTGTTTTATCATCTCGCGCTGCTGCTGCTGCTGCTTCTGCTCCCTACGGGCATTCTTTAAAAGGCGTTGAAGCCCGCATTGCTTCCGTCCTGCAGAGCCTCCCCTTCCCCCAGCCAGCCCCGACAGAGAGGTGCTTTGCGCTTGTGCTCCGATCATCTGGGCTCTCCCGGTCCTTTGCGCCGTCCAGCACATCGCCGAATGATCTTGTAGGTTTCCCGCGCTGCTCTGGGCGCAAAATGCCACAATGTACCACGGATCCAAGTCAGAATCCCATCAATGGGGCAGCTGGTCGGCTTGGGTTTTCAACAAGGAGCAGAGCCGCTACTATCGCTTTCGCCAGGATTCCGAAGGTGCGAAAACCCTCCCCGCGCTTGAGACTTCTCATCACCACCGCCAACACTTGCATGTGTACTTGCTAGGAAATTATGACTTTGACTGGGACCAGCACGACTCGGCCGCCACTGCTCATGCGCAAACTCCACGAGACACAACGATCAGCGACATAACGGAAGGCCTGAGAGGCCTAACCACCGATTATAACGGCTCAAGTGCGTTTTATCCGGCGCCTCATGGAGTCGCACTGGTTGCGCCTAGCACGGGCTTCTCTTGAGCCTCTTTTGGCGACCATGACTGGCATGCTTATAATTGGCGACTGACTTTAGAGAATTTCGCAGTATCCGAAGACCATGCATCGAAACCAAGATCCAGCAAGCACAGAAGCAAGCACAAACAACGAACAGGCTCCCGCGACGAGGATTCGGCTCAGGATGCCTACGGGACCTTCGCAGCAGATTCTTTACATGCCTCCCAGGCGGGGCAGTATGATTATACGGCTGGTCAATGTAAGTTGTGCTACCACTAAAACCATGTCTCAGCCACTGACAGTAATTCTACAATCAGATGTCCACGGATCGTCTGAAGCTCAATATTATCAGGCATCGACATCAGGTATACACACTCAAATAGCCAATATCCCCATGAATTGACCGCCGGCCGAACGACCGACTGACGAGTTTTTGTTGGCGGGGTAGACTCACAATCGGCTGCTGCGTACGGCAGCGGAAGGGCAGAAGGCCGATCAGCTGAGAATCACGCAGTTGGTGAGTGCGCCCACCAGTGTTCACTTTCAAATCAATCCACCTATTCTTTAATCGTTTTGTTTCATGTTCTCCCCTCTAAGCCGTCCATTGCTTGTTCAATACTGAAATTTTTACCCAGACCAACAAACCCACAGGTACAGCGATGAGGGGCATTACAGTCCTGACCAAGAACCCGAAGACGAAGAATTAGCAGACACTATTGCGGCAAGCCGACAGTACAATTATGATGAATATGCGAACGCTGGGGAATCATCAGCAGCAGCCTATGGTCTGTCTCTCATCCGCAGTGGCTTACAAATGCTAGACTAACACGGTGCACAGCTCCCTATGACGAAGAGGAAGAGGAAGGTCCTCCTACGCCAAGAGCCCAGTCAAGCGCCGGCAGCTATCACATCGCTGCCACTGTCCTCGAAGAGCCACCAGAAGAACTAGATCCACGTAAGCATTGTAAATGGCTCTGCAAGGCCCATGTCAGTGAAGCTGATGCTCAAAAACCAGGCTACCAAGTTGAACCGTCCATCAGGTTTCAGCCAGGGGAGGTGTGTATATATTCATTATCTCTTATGCTAACCAATGCTGACATTAAAAAGATATTCAAAGTGCATTGGTCAGAACCACAGGGCGCCAGCTCCGATGGAGCTCCGAGCGTATCTGGCAAACACGAGATCCAGAACAGATTTGGCACGAAATTCTTTGTCGGATTTCGACGCTTCATTGTGATAGCAAATGATCAAGGTCACTGTACCTGCGTGTATGTGCATAGTGGGCGATTCATCTTATGAACCTTTCTGCTGACGAATTACAGACCTATCCTCACATATGGGGGCAAAGGGTGCAAGAAGAAGGGTGTCAAGGCCGACAAACACGGCATCATTTACGAGCGCGGCGGCAAACCGCGCCTACTCGATAAGGAACCAAAGCTTGGGTTCCCTCCCGTTAGGGTCGAGATGAAGCAAGAGGGCGAGAAGCTCTCAAAAGAATCTCGCGTTAATTACTCTAAGCTGGTCACTGTGGAACACAACGTCAAAGTGTTCTTCATAGGATCTATCGTGTATAACGACTGGGAACTCGTTAGCGATGCCGTCAACCACTGCTGGAACAAGAAGAACCATCAGAAGCAGAGACACCGATAGAACTCAGAGAGGGAAAGCTGATGGCTAGCAGAGACACGTTTTTACTACCTCACACGCAGTTGCGCATTTAGCGCACCGCATTCGACACGATGGAGTTGCCTTGCAACAGCAGCGCATCCATCCACAAAAATACGTTTCTCGGAAATAGGCATCTTATGATGTCACAAATTCCTGCGAATCCTGTGCTAGGCGATCTTAGGATGAAAAAGCAGCACGGGTAAGCCCTTCCGGCGCCCGGATCTGCCTTTTCAGCATGGCATTGCAGCCATATCCCGGCACACATCTTTTATTCGGCATCTCGTTGCTATGCAGTGTCTGACTAGTTTCTGTTCAAGCTGTAGAGGCGTGATTGGAAGCGTAAAGTTTCGGCCGCATTAATGGGGGTTTTTGCATCTGCTTGCATTAGTCCATGTGGCGGAACAGGACACATTAATTGCTTGGCTAGCCGGGCGGGCTAGACCATCATCGGGATGCAGATTTTTATTTTACTTTCTATACGACAATGGATATATTGGTGGGCATATATTAAGTCTCTCTCTCTTTTTGTCTTTTCTTCTTCTTCATGGCATATATTTTGATATACAATCTCAATGCATGTTGTCGAGCTTATACTTGTAAGGCATGGGCCTAATGCTGCTGCTGAGATCTGTAGAGGAGAGATTGATTCGAGCATGATTTGACATCCTTCGGGGCTATAAGATACCAAACCATTACTATATATATAGGGTATGTATATATATATATATATATATGACTTAAAATTTATATAAAATGGGCGCGCAGTGTGCCACACAGAAGAGAGCAGAGGGTGAGGCGTTAGAATACCTTTAAGAGGTAGACGCGGGTGGGCAACTGGCAGCCAGCGGAGCCGCCGTAGATATGAAAGTACCTGGAGAGTAACTGTTCGGCTTCCGGACAATAACTCAACAATATCTAGAGCCTTAGAGCCTTGTCTTCTTGCTAGGAGCTAGATCCTTGCGGCAATCGCAACTCATGCCACACAGTACCCGTTGATTTAAGAAGCTGACATAACACTCTAAAGCAAAGAAAAGGCCATTATACTTTCCAGTACGGAGCTCTCCTTACTCTTTTCTAAGGCCGTCCACCTATTAGCATAGAGGATCACAGCTATCGATGATTAGCAGCGCGTTCCTTTGGCAGTTGGCAGATCTGAGTTACCCCATGATGTACTAAATCTCGTAGACAAAGCTGCTACCACTACCTAGCTAGCACATATCTAAAAAAAATTCCCGGGGCCGATATTTATGCCTCGGCATCCCCCCCGCAGTTTCACTCATCTCCGAAAGTACCGCGCCCGCAAAAATCAGCGATGGAGGTACCTAAGACCCCTGGTTTTTGGAGAGAAAAGCGTGTCCACTTTGCTACCCATCTTCACCGAGGATCTGGGGAGAGAAAAAGGGCTTTGAATGCGGGAGAAGACGATTGCGTATAGTTTTTGGCTGTATCAGGTAAAGGTAATAAAGTCCACCGCTGTTCATCTTCTCATCTCACTTTCTTTCTTTTTTCCTTTGGTGTGATCATTCTTCTTCCTCTTTCAACAATCTGCTGATTTTGCTATCGGCCAAGTACCACGTACGGCTTTATTAATAAACATCTCCCCTGAAACAAGAATCAAAGGAATATCATCAACGCCGAGGTATCCAACTTGTTGCCATAATGTCTGCCGCTATCGAGGCCAATCTCCATGACTTCCCTTCGCTCTTCTCGCTCAAGGGCAAGGTCGCCGTCGTAACAGGCGGTTCTCGCGGCCTCGGCCTACACGCAGCCTCAGCGTGAGTTGTCATCTTCTCACCCATTTTCCCGTCTCACTCAATCTCTCTCTCTCTATCTTTCTCTTCCCCTACACATTTTCCTTTCAATTTATTCTTAGTCTCACCCACCATACTGACATTTATACTCACCAGCTTCATCCAAGCCGGCTGCTCCAAGGTCTTCATCTCATCCCGCAAGGCCGCCGCCTGCGAAGAGGCCTGCAAGGCCCTCAACGCCCTGCCCGGCCGCGCGGCCGGCGCCGAGGCCATCTCCGTGCCGGCCGACTCGTCCACCATGGACGGCGTCAACAAGCTGCTGGCCGAGGTGAGCAAGCACACGGACCGCGTCGACATCCTCTTTGCCAACGCGGGCGCCACCTGGGGCGAGGCCTTTGACACGCACCCGGACCAGGCCTTTGCAAAGGTCATGGACCTCAACGTCCGCGGCGTCTTCAACACGGTGCGCGTCTTCACGCCGCTGCTACAGAAGAACGCCTCGCTGGACGACCCGAGCCGCGTGCTCATCACGGCCAGCGTTGCCGGCCTGGGCGTGGGCACGATCGGCAAGCAGGGCACCTACGGATACTCTGCCAGCAAGGCTGCTGTGCTGCATCTGGGCCGCAACCTCGCGCTGGAGCTGGGCCCGCGCGGCATCACCGTCAACTCCATCTGCCCGGGCTTCTTCCCGAGCAAGATGGCCAACGGCCTGCTGGCCATGTCTGGTGGCGCTGACAAGATTGCAAAGGCGAACCCCATGCGCAGGTTGGGCCGGCCGGAGGATATTGCGGGCATCGTGGTGTATTTGACGAGTCGGGCTGGATCGCATGTGAACGGTGAGGCGATTGCGATTGATGGCGGTGCGTTGTGGTCTCGTGGAGAGTTGCTTGTCGAGGACCAGGCGAAGTTGTAGTTTCAATCTTGTTTACCATTTTTTATTCTTTTATGATCAGCATCATCACTAGAGGGGAGGAGACATACGCATGGCGTGTCAAAGAATTTTTGTATGATAGGATGACCATTGCCCAAAGCCTAATGAATACCGTATTAGTTAAGGAAATATATTGTCAATCCGTTCCTTGCTTGCATGATACGGATTTGAACCTCTGTACACTTCACATAATGCATCCATAAGTGCTCAATTATACAGGCTTTCTATTGTTTCTGTTTCATCATCCTTCATATCGTCGTATCTCTCATTTCACCCTTCGCTATAGGCTTGCGAGCTACCCAGGTTGTCGCATTATACACCATATGCAGCATACTATCCATGTCTTGAATGTACGGTGCCCTAATTCCCATCTCCATCGACTCTACCTCAAATCCTAGCTTCTCCACCAGAGCCATGACCTCATCGTTAGTCAGTTCAAAGCTTCCAGGGTCGGCAATGCCAGACGAGTTGTTAAAGTCATGTTCGCCGTCACCGTCGTCATCGTGGCCGTGATTGCCTGGCGCGTCATTTTCAAAGTGCCATAGTAAAGGACCGACGTTGATGAGGACGCCGCCTGGGCGGAGGCAGTGGTAGATGACCTCGAGGTATCGAATGAGATTAGGTGCCGTGTCGAGGAAAAAGACACTAGCCACGGCATCGTAGGATTCCTTGTGATCATCATCGCCGTAGAGACATAGGAAGTCTGCGGCACACATTGACATGGAGCCGATGTTGGGAGTATTGAGTAGGGCGGTGCTGGGGTGGATGTCTGGCACGGGATAGCTTCGGAGGTGGTTCTCTCGAGTTGTATGGTTGGAAAATGTGTGGATCCAAGGGTAGAGGGTGTGCTGTCCTGCGCTCTGACACTCGTTGAGAATATACGATGATGCTAGTAGCTGGTGATAGGATATTTCATTTCCTTCGGTATCATAGCCGTCTCGACATAGTTCAAAGACTAGCCTTCCTAGGCCCGCTCCAGGGACCAGGACTTTCAAACGGCTGTCTTCCGATACCTTGGCCTTCTCTTGTTCGAGAGCTTTCAGCACAGGGCCGTATGAGACTGCCCTTTCCTCCGCACCAGCTGCAGACCAGTCCCGATAAAATTGGCGGAGAGTGCTCCTTGCTTTGTCTATGTCAGCATGCTTGGCTATTCCAGCCCATTCATGCGGCATGACAGGCTGATCCGATTCTGAAGAATTGGGAGGAAGGGCATTAAATGAAGCCAATCCCGATTTCAGAATGGACCGGGCCAAGTCGGCATTGCTATCGATAGCCTCGTCGACTTTCTCTAGAGTGTCGAGGAAGTTGAAGGGAGACGCTGCGAGGAGCTTCCAGTGAGCCTGAGGGAGGGCGTAGAAGGACCGGCGGCGAAGATGAGTGACGTTGAAGTGGGCAACTTTGGCATATTGGCTGTAGAGTATTGTTAGCCGGAGGTCTTTGTCTTGAATCAGGCTACCCAATGTGATGTTATGAAAGACTGCGGGGGGGTTGAGTATGATGAGTGAGAGTCGTATGTGAAACAGCTCATGATGAACATACAATCATAGCCATGTTACAGATATCCCATTCACTCCAAGGGCAGTCAAGCTGCCAAATGACAGAGTGAGGAACACGGTGAAACTCATTTCCACTTACGCAAAAGAATCCAAGGCGCAGAAGATGACCCGAATCTCTTCAGGATCGTCCATCCCGCCATCTACACTGGCCCATGCGCTCTTATCGTCCACGTCCAGCGTGGCTCCGCCGTCGTGATCCATCTCTCAGCCTGCTCAACGACGATGATTTTCAAGCATGGCCGTGGAACAGAGAGAAGGATCGAAGAGAGTCGAATGATCTCGTAAACAGAGTTTCTGCCTTGTTTTTTCCGGATCGCCGCAATCGGGCGTTTTTTTTTTTTTGGACCCCTTTGAATTTGTAACCAAGTTATCGCTTATAGTGGGGGAATATGGTTGGTGGTGGCATTTTTTCTAGCAGCGCTAGCTGCGAGATCTCTCACCAAAGCGGAATCATGTGATTTCGGCGTCTCACAACAGCCATAGTGTTGAGATAACATGGCTTCATCCTTAATCTCAGTTATATCCTTGTATATGCATATGTATATGTATATTTGATATATATCATCTGCAACTTAATTACCATGGCCACCGACCAAGATAAAGTAGTGCAAGTTTCCATTCCGCTGCCGCGGTCTCTGGATACTCGCATTTTCATCCGTTTAACAACTCAAGCCAAGGCTCTTGTGCTATCTCTCACCACCGCATCTCAAGAAGAGCTTGGTGCTCCTAGACCTATGGGATCATTTGTCTACGCACTGCCCGATGTAAGTCCCGTACATATGCATATGTGCCTGCATAAATGCTCCATGACCGGCGATTGTTGACTCCAGGGCCAGAGATTCAATCCTCAGCAGGCAATCGCCACAACACTCTTCTCAGCAGAATCATCTCTTGAGTTTACCACACGAGTTGCCAAGTTGGTTGCCCGCAAGACTCAGCTTCCCGTATATGTTACAAATTCCATTAGCCTAGAGAGCACGGGTATGGGCGGCACAGTCGAGGAGGAAATGGAAGCCTTCAAGGGCGTGGCTGAGGCGATCATCAGTAACCTTCCCAAGACGGTGCTGGCTAGTTAACCGCAATCCGTGAAGGCATGAATGGAGTTTTATAAACAATTCAAGATGGCGATCAGGCAGAGCAAGGCTTTGTAATGCGTGGCCAATGTGCTTGCGTATCTGTGATAGAAAGCATGCTCTGTCCATCGCCAGGGAAATGCCAAGATTACGGCGAGGTCATACCTACAGCATCCTTTGCTGGAGGTTTAAGAGAAATTCCAGAATAAGAGGCGAGCGATCGGCACACATGGATGATCTTCAACGCTACGGTACATCATTTCGGCCTTCTTTATGAGAGAGCAGGCATTGGAGTTCACTTGGTAGCTGCATTTAAGAAATACAGTATTGATCTACTGAAGGGCAGCGGCTTCTTGATAACCCTGGCTCATATACACATGTTTGTACGGAGTACATGCCACATGAAATTCCATTATTCATTGAATCCCAGCGCTTAGGCGGGAAATCAAATCAGGCCGGGTGGGGGGGAGCATCAGCAGCTCCAGCAGTATGATTCGTAACAGAGAGAGCATCAAGCATCGTGCAGTTAATTGGATTCATAAGTTCAGTTTATTGGAATCTGCCTGGGGCACGTTTCCACCACAGAGTTCTCCATGAGGCCGTTACAGGCACTGCCCAATCGTGTTTCACGTTTCGCGTGCTTGTTTTCGTCTGATTATCTCATACAACAGGTACAAACAATAAGCACCGGTGGCTGAGCAGCACAAATCGAAATACTTGCACGGAGTAACACTGTAACAATACTATAGCTAATATTTACTATAGCTTCGCTCGCCATCCTTCATTGTCACAGTCAGCTAACTAGTGCTATCATTATTTCCGTACTGTATGTACTCTTTCTCTCTCTGCAGGCGAATTTTTTTTAACCTGTCTCCGTTTTTTTCGCCATAGCCAGTCCGCGTCACGGGTTATCGTTATCGCACCCCGCTAACAGAGAAATTTGGCCGCCAGAAATGAGGTGGGCGTGCTCCCCGCCAAACCAGACCACTTGAGGGCGCACAAGGTTTGGCGCATCGTCTCGCTCTCGACATCGACGAGATCCTGCTGAGTTTGCGTGCTGCAAACATTCGAGCTTCGGCCACTCCTGAGCGCTTGGCTCTGCGACTGCCACACCCGCCTCTTGTAAGATCCCCTGCGGCAGCGCCGCTGATAACCAGACCTTCGCCCCCAGCCCGACTGTCAAGGGCCAATTGTGCCGGCTCCTTGCTCTCGTATGCCCTGTCGCCTTCTTGCTGCACTGTACATGCACCGGTTGCTGGTTTGCAGGATGCTGACCTTTTATCTCGTTGTAGCCTCTCTAGTCACCGCTTCATGTCCTAGAGCATCTCGACTAGGAAGCTACCCCTTTCGCGCATCGCATTGCTCCTCTCGCGCAGCAACAGCTGCCAATACCTGTCCATCATGTCGTGGCAACCGGCCCCGGAGTCGTTGAGCCAGCTTGCGGCATGTCTCAAAGACTCCCTTAGCGGATTCGACAAGAATGCCCAAAAGCAGGCTGAGCAGGTCAGTTTCGATCTACAAGTACCTCTTTTGTCTGTGTTACAGGATTCGATACTGACCGAGGAGTTGGGGGATTCAGATGCTTCAGCAAGCTAAAGCTTCGCCTGATATCAACAACTATCTAGCATACATCCTCTCTAGCCCCCAGAGCCCCGAGGGCTTGCAATGCAGCGAGCAAGATTATCATCTCGTTCGATCGGCCGCGGGTATCATGCTGAAGAACAATGTCAAGACAGAGTGGAAGTCGATACCTGAGTCCAGCTTACAACTCATCAAGCTCGCCGTCCCCATGTGCTTGCAGGACAAGAATTCACAGATTCGAAATTTTGCCGGAAACATTGCTACCGAGATGATTAGAAAAGGTGGCTTGTTGGCGTGGCCAGAGCTGCTTCCTCAGCTCCTCGACATGATCTCCAACGAAAATGGCCAGTTTTCCAACGAAGCTCAAGAAGGTGCAATGTCTGCCATGGCCAAAATCTGCGAAGATAACTTCAAACTTCTTACCAAAGAGATCAACGGCCAACGACCACTGAACTATGTCCTTCCTAAGCTGATTGCTGCAACCAAGAGCCCCCTCCCAAAGGTTCGCGCCGGAGCGCTGACCGCAATCAACGTCTTTACGCCGAGATCATCACAGGCAATGATGAATAGTGTCGACGACCTGCTGCAACACCTCTTCATTCTGTCCGCAGATGACAACACCGATGTCCGCCGACAAGTGTGCCGGGCTTTTGTTCACCTCGTTGAAACCCGACCCGACAAGCTACAGCCTCACATTACCGGATTGGTAGACTACATTATCAACCAGCAAAAGAGCGACGATGAAGATCTAGCGTGTGAAGCTGCCGAGTTCTGGCTGGCTGTCGGTGAACACGATGAACTCTGGGGCTCCCTGCAGCCGTATCTCAACAAAATTATCCCAGTCTTACTGCAGTGCATGGTATACAGTGGGGAGGACATCGCCCTTCTTGGTGGTCTTTCAGACGACGAGGATGAAGAAGACCGAGAGGAAGACATCCAGCCGGTTTTCGCCAAGAAAGCTTCAGCAAGGACTGCAAACGGCGAAGGAAACCTTTCGGCCGACCCCAACCAGAATGGCGGCGCCTACGAGAAGCTTGCCCGCATGGACGAGGGCCTGGAGGAGGGTGAGGTTGACGATTTCGACGATGGGGACGATGCGAACCCCGACGAGAGATGGACTGTCAGAAAGTGCTCAGCGGCGGCACTTGACGTCTTCGCCCGCGACTTTGGCGGGCCTGTTTTCGAAGCCATTTTCCCGTATCTCTCTCAAAACCTCAAGCACGATGAGTGGCCCTACCGAGAGGCCGCCGTCCTGGCGCTCGGTGCGGTAGCCGATGGCTGCATGGATACTGTTACTCCTCACCTCCCTGAGCTGGTGCCGTATTTGATCTCTCTTCTTGAAGATCAAGAGCCGGTTGTCAGGCAAATCACTTGCTGGGCTCTGGGACGATATTCATCTTGGGCAGCTAACCTCTCTGAACAGTCTCAACGAGAGCAGTTTTTCCTGCCAATGATGGACGGTATCCTCCGCAAGATGTTGGATAAGAACAAGAAGGTCCAGGAAGCAGGTGCCTCAGCATTCGCGAACCTGGAGGAGAAGGCTGGCAAAAGGCTGGAGCCATACTGCGGCCCCATTATCCAGCAGTTTGTTCTGTGCTTTGGCAAATACAAGGATCGCAACATGTATATCCTTTACGACTGTGTTCAGACGCTGGCCGAGCGTCTGGGCCCCTTCATTGCCAAGCCTGAATTGGTTAATCAGCTGATGCCAGCGCTGATTGAGAGATACAATACTGTCTCTGATCAGTCTCGTGAACTCTTCCCGCTCCTAGAGTGTCTCTCCTATGTCGCATTGGCTCTTGGTCAGGCTTTTACTCCCTATGCGCATACAATCTTCTTACGATGCATCAACATTATCCATACGAACCTTGAACAGGGTATCAACGCCAACACTAGCGACGCCGTGGATCAGCCTGATAAAGATTTCCTCATCACAAGCCTTGACCTCCTAAGCGCCATTATCCAAGCGCTCGAAGACGAAAAGTCAATCGAACTGGTCAAGAGCTCGCCACATCCCTTCTTTGAGCTCCTCAGCTTCTGTATGGAGGATCCCACGGACGAGGTGCGACAATCTGCGTACGCTTTACTCGGTGACTGCGCCAAGTACGTCTTCCCGGAGCTTCAGCAATACGTCCCCACCGTCCTCCCCATATTGTTGAGGCAATTGGATATGGATAGTATACTCGATGAGGAAATTGAAAGCGGGTTTGGCATCATCAACAATGCCTGCTGGTCGGCTGGCGAAATTGCCATGCAGAATCTCAAGGGTATGCAACCTTGGGTACCGGAGCTCCTTCAGCGCTTTGTAGAGATCATGACCAATCCTGGTGTACCCAAGGGGCTTACCGAGAATGCTGCGATTGCCCTAGGACGCCTTGGTCTAGGTAATGCAGAGCAACTGGCACCTGCACTACCGAAGTTTGCGGAAGAATTCTTGGTTGCGATGCAAGAGGTCGATCCTACAGAGGAAAAGGCCACAGCATTTAAGGGGTTTACATTGATTGTAGGACAGAATCCCCAGGCACTAGAGAAGGTTCTGTTGAACTTTTTTGTTGCAATTGCGCGATACCAAGACATGAACTTGCGGAACCCCATCAAGCAAGAGCTACATGAAGTGTTCCGAAATGTAAGAAGTGCCCCCAGTCTCCTATTCATTATTAAATGTTTTTTTCTTTTTAATATTATGTAATGCTAATCGTCATAATGCAGGTTCTAAACGTTTACAAGCAAATTATCCCGCAATTTGACAACTTTATTGGCCAGCTGCAACCTCAAGACCAGCAGGCTTTGAAGACTCAATATGCGATATGAGAGCAGCAACCAGTCTAGTTGGAGTTGTTGCAATACGAAAAGAAAACGAGCAATAACTGAGCTGGAGAAAAAAAATTGAAAGTTAGCGCTGGACGCAGAGTGGAAGGAGATGATCTCGTAAAGCGAATCTTTAACGGAACTTGGTGCGCAGAGGTCACTTGTGTTCCTGAGGTCCAGCGAGAGGAATATAATATGATTGTTTAAAACTCATAGCGATACTTTCACCGCCCAACAGCTCCATGGGAAAGGGGTACGCATGGTTGGATTGGCTGAATGACAATGGGAGCTTGCGGAATATGGAGGGCGCGTTAGCAAAAAGAAAACCAAAATACAAAGCGCGTGCTCTAGAGTGCCGCAAGCAGACGAGATACCTTTTGGAACGATGTGATGATGGAAAAAAAAAAAGAGAGAACCAGCATGGAGGAAATATGGGAACACAGGTGTCTTGAGCTTTTTTAAGGGGGGATGAGAGGGGGGGTTTCTTGGGGGTTACAAGCCCATATTCACCTTTATAGATAGATTTTTTTTATATTTTACTCTTTTATCTTATTTCCTCGACCATATTCTGCATACATACAGAGCTCTTGGTGGGAAATATGCCGTGCCGCGGTCCATATTAGTTAGTAGTTAGAATCCAAATAACGAAAGGTGACTTTATTCAAGTCGATCATCTAGTGAAGAGAGTGATGGATGAGGATAGTGTTGATCCTGTCGTTATGAATCGGCTAGTTGTGATACTAAGGCACCGATGCTGGTGTACATGCCCACTTCTCTATTTGGTATATATTAACTAGATCACCACCGCTTGTAAGATAGAGACAAGATGGGCATGTAAAATTGCGGGGCTTTATGTCTAAGAAAGAGAAAAGTTGTAGTTTCGACATCTTTCGGATTCTACAAGCTGGAAACAACACACTTTTAGTGTCTACTATCAGAACGAAGGGAAGATTTCCCCAAGAATGTGCCAACTATGCGACTGCCAGTCCTTCATCTGCACAAAATTCTCAATACCCGGACTCCTCGCCCTTAATGATAAATATAGGCGCCAATATTCGGTTCTTCAGACAAAGGCGAGGTCGTACAGACACGCTCTATTGAAAGACGGACTTGAAACGCTTAAAGGAGGAAGGGGGGAGCAAAGGATATTCGCGCTGATTCAAGATTCAATACCTATAATATTCGTTTAGTTAGGAGAACTACCTCGCTGTTCAAATGAACTTTTTGTCTCTAATCGATATTAGGCATATAGACGTTATTTAGTACTTATCTACGTGGAGAGATATCGTCTTCTTTGGAGAAAGTGAAAAAATGTGTGCCAAATGTCATAACCCCAACTTCACAACATTTCTTTCCATGTTTGCTACAAAAAGATGCCAATCAGATAAAAAAAAAAAGACAATAATAATAAAAACGGCAAATACACTCCCATCTAATCTATTCATTCGCCAAGCCCCCCCCTTTCATCTCTCCATAGGATATGTGATGGAAGCGCGCAAACATGTTTCTACGCAACATATGCCCTTTTCAACCACATCAACGACTCAAAGTCCAACAACAAGCGAAAACGCCGCCTAGAAAAGAAAAAGACTTGGTTTGACATGTGGCATTCGTGCATAAACTCGCATTACTTTCCCCCATCTCCCTTCTTCAAGAGAGCTGATATTTAACAGCAGAATACTAGCCACCTATAGGCATTCAAACGAGACAACAGTGACTAATATAATTACCTACCTATATAGATGTAATAAAAAGCTTGATAAGGCACGAAAATCGTTGCTTTTCTACTCTCTCTTCAGTACATGTACATTAGCAAAGCTTAGTGCAAACCTTCTCTAATTCACTCGCAATCATCACCAAGAATAGAAGCGAAGCAGCCATAACAACAACAATCGATATCAACGACCTTATCACATATGTAGCTAGAAACACACACTATAGCTATTCTAGAAACCAGTTCCTACAATATCCGCAGTATCCGACAGAACCAACATTGATAGTCACATAAGAAAAGGTATCATTTCTATTTCATCACACAGGCAATTACCCGATTAAAGTGCACACCTACAAGTGTATACTGAAGAAAGTAAAAACTGAAAGCAGACCAAGAAAAAAGGGCAACCCATTTTCTGTCATCTTAAAACCACCACAACATGTCTTGCATATTCTCCCCCGGTCCACAAAATGGAGAAACCTTGCTTAGCCCCTCCCTCCGTAAGCAAAATTCCAAATCTTCTTGCCATCTCCTTACTCACTCAAATAAGCATTTTCAAGAGAGAAAGGACAAGAAGAGAAGATGAAACGAAAACAAGAATGAAAGGGAAGGATAAGGAGAAAGGGGGGTCCAAGGTTTGAGTTGAGTTGAGTTGTTGCCAGGGAGTGGAGCTGCTGATGCTTACGCTGTTGTTCTGTCGTGGAAGGAGGGAAGACCAAAAAAAAAAAAAAAAAAAAAAAAAAGGATACTGCGTGCTCATCGCCATAATCTAAAGTTCCGAGCCAACCGCAGCATCCACTCCTTTACTAATGTTCACTGTCTCAAAAGAGCAAGAAAAAGAAAGAACAAAGCTGGGCCTGTGAGCATGCGTAAGCAAACGAACAAGGATGAAATGATGCGTAAACACAACCCTTGCCTGGCACTGCCATTTGTTTTTTCTATCTGCCTACTCTTGAAGAGAGATTTCTTCAAGGGCCAAGCCAGAGTAAACTTTTCTCCATCTCCAACCAGATGCGAACAAAACAGCACTACTAGGCTCCGTTCATATCACAGAATATGGTTACATGCAGCATATCCATTCCCTCTTCCTTGTCGTATAACCGTGCCCTGCTGCTTCACAGCTGTAATCCAAAGCGGATGCTTTACTTCAGCCCAGTCCAGATAAACGTCACTGACCAAGAATCCAGCTAGTCATCTGCCGGGGAAGAAGCCGCCATGTGCTAATTACTCAGGACCCCGTAAGTAAGCGAGAAAATATGCATACATAGTACGACGGGGGCGTTGAAGTAGAAATCAGGGCGTGCTCCATATGAGAGTATGTAGCAGTGGTAGTAACACTGTATCTCTAATAGACTGCCGAAGGCATCGACATGCTCACATCACTGCCGGTGGCCTGTCCTCGCTGCTGCATGCTCCCATAGGCTATGCACTGCGCATGTAATACAGGCGATGGCCCCTTGAATGCATAAGTGGTGAGATGGCATGGCAGAGGCGGTTGGGTAGATGCAGAAACGCCCCCCATGAGAGGGTTGCACTCTCGGCTCACGCGCCATTGCAAACGGCTATTCGCTGCGCTATTGCCAGATGTCCGATGCTATTCTTAGCTCATGGAGTGACAGCCACATGTGCATGATGCAAGCTGAAAGAAGATGGAGCGCTGGCATCCTATCGTTGACTTCACCGGAAAGCTGTCGCTTCAGGGCGTTGATGGAGAGGGCGGCTGGCTGCCTGGATTTGAGCCAGCAGTTAATACGGCCTGGCTGGCGCTGTGCTAACCGTTGATATTTCATTAGCAAAATACACAACCAGTGTCCACGTAGTCGCGGATCACACGACTAATAACCCCGACGGGAGCCACGGCCAAGGGGGAAACCCAAAAGTCCCAAATCCCAACGAGTCCCACACGTGCGTGAATGCCCCGAGGCGTGATGGCTTGAGCTCAACTCGCCATGATACGGGTTGTATAGAGTGTTGAAACAGCGCCCATCTGCCTGAACTCGCCTGTCAGCGCTTATTCAAGTATGTTTCAGAACGGCAAGACATGAGCATTGCCTAATTAGGCAGTCACAGGATGCCCTGGCTGGGCAGTCAGGGATCGGATCAACCAGGAGCAAAGGATTATGTGATACTAGTAGATACTGCATAGTACTGTAGTAATAGTAATATCGAGATGGTGGTCGCCGTGGTTATTTTCCACAGAGAGAAAGAGGGAAACAATCGACCCTCATCATCCTGCACATCAGGGAGCTGGAGCTGTTGATTCTGCGGGTGACTAGCCAGCCTGGCCCACCAGGAAATAGACGAGCGAGCGAGGATACATCAACATGTAGAGCTGTCCTGGCCCATTCACATCTCATGGGCTCAGATTTCATATTACTAGTACCATTACATGTGCACATTTCAGCGGGTAGATTTTGTGGACAAATCTTTCCGGATCCGACTTACATTTCGCCTATCATGCATTAGCGACGGCTACGAAAAAAAAAAAACACTCATATTGCGTGTGCTATAGGGGAAAATTGGATGGTCAAACTCACCAGGTATCCGCCCAAACGCAATTGAAGTCGAGACTGGCTCAGAGCTCTGGGTTTCGCGCTTTCGGTGGGTGCGCTCCACGTAGATTTAGTCTTTGCCGGTCGAAACTCACTTCGCCCCATATTGCCAAGGGCATTGGATGTTCTCCATTGCGAGTTCTCTGTATCAAGACATGGACAATGTGCTGTATTTGAATGGACAGGTTGCACCACGGGCTACTCCATACGTGCACCAGATCCATGCCTGGCACTTTGCCCTTGTTTGATAGCAGAACGAAGCAGATCGTTTCAATCAGCTTTTTGTTCTTTACAGCATCTGCTGATGTATTGCTATCTCTCTACTATTGTGCTGATTCGGGCGGCTCAATTGACTAGCTCGACTCTAATTATTGAGATAGCCTTAGCATCCGATCGCTAACCATCAGCCTAGATAGATGGCCGATACAGGGCGGTAGCCCCAAAACGAACTGGCATCTTTATTATCTTGCTGATGGTCTGAAACTTGATGGACTGCGTGCAAACCATTCGTCAGCAGATGAGATGTAAGCAGCTACTACCTACTACTTGCTACTGGGCATGTACTCGCGCAGTATTGCTTATAGTACAGTAGGTATTTGTCTCCACACAATGATTTCACGTAGGAAGAGAGACATGATGCGGGCATTGCGATAACAAGCCCCAGGGATATCCATGCTGATGACGATGCTAGCGTTGCCTAGACCGAGGACCTGTTCAGGAATCTAGCCCAGATAGTTAACCGGGGTGCATAAGCGATTTCCATAGACTCTGAGCAGCCTGTCCGCTAGTCCAAGCTCCCAGATGGGCCAGCAAACAAACAAACGAGGGAAAAGTTCCTGTCTTGACTTTTGTCATAAACATATGCGCAGCCGCCACCAAAGCCATCTCGCCATGTGATGCTAAAAGTAACTTCGCGGTTGTGGATATCAGGCTCAGCACCTCCATATAGGTATACTCGCCGCTGGGTCCGTCCGGCTTCCGTCTCTGGTTCTGGGTATTCGCTGCGTGTGAGTCAAGGATGGCATCGTCGGTCCAACAGCTCCCCAGCATCTCGCCTTCCCTCAATCCGTAATAGCAGCGGTAGCGGTAGCGGTAGCGGTGGTGGCGGTGGTGGTGCTTGTAATATCACCAGGCCCAGACGAAGAGAGGGCAAAGAAAAGAAAACAAAGGTACGAGTACTTGACGGCCCCATCCCCATAGCATTATGTTAGTGCCACACCATCGCTGCGTTAGCACCGCGTTAGGGTTATTCTATATTTAGGCACACCACCGAAGGTTTTGTCGAAGCTCGCCGCTCGGCCACTCATTCGCCGCAGCGGCAGAAGATCGTGCAGGACGAGGAGAGAGGCGGAGGGATGAGAGGAGCAGGGAGGATTGGTGAACGTCTTTCGTCATACTGTATTAAACAAGTACAGTACAAGCATATCGGGATTAAGAGTGGATGCTTCTCCCCCGCCTGAGACTCCCGCAATACCATGCCATGTCATTTGGGCTTTGTTGTTTACTCTCGTCCACAGCCCTCTCTGTGGCTGCTGGCGATGAGATGAGATTCTGCCAGGGGGCTGACACACCCCGCAAAGACGAAGAGCGGGCTGAGCTGCCCATTCTGGCCGCTTCATCAACCAAACTTTCTGCCGATCACAGACGATCCTCAGGTTCGCCCGCCAGGAACAGAGAATTCTGCTTGTCTTGCAGAGTGTAGTTCGCATTAATTCCACGGCAGGGACACAGGGGCGGCAGGCGGCTCGTCCGGGGCTCTGTGCAGCATGTCAGACTATCGCTCCATTGGTACTAGGCCATCCGGAGGCTTTAAAATGAGCGTACTGAGGCTGTGGTCATACACAGTGTCTCTTATGATGAGGGTTCGCTGCAACGGCCAGGCCACACGACGCAGTGCCAGACAAGAGCTATCGGACCGTCTGCAGCTGTGATCACCAGTTGCTCTGTACCATTTGAGGGATCCAGCTGTCCAGAAGTTCTGCCACCCCCAAAAATACCATTAGCGACTCGTCGAAGGGGTGCGTGGGCCATGTTGCTGCAGCCGCACGTATGGCGGAGGAGCTGCATATGAGAGGGCTGTGATCGATTCTGTTGGCCAGCAGTTGCACACCACCCGCCCCAGTCCTCTAGACTTGCCGACTTTCTGAGCGGCAGTGGTCCAGTAGCAGTACTGCTGCCGGTGAATGCAGTCAGTGAGCAAGAAACATGGGAAGAAAGAGGATGCTGGTGCGCTGACATTCCACGCTTGGGCGCCGCGCCGCATCACACAGATCACTGTGCATGCGCATGTAGACCACCATGCACTCGATTCTTCAACCCTGCAGGGTAGGATGAGCCAACCAGCATCGGCAAACAGGAAGTATGTAGCACACGGCCTCGTAGAAACCAAACTATCGAAAACTGCTGTGCGAGTACAGTTCTGCCGTCTTTGTGGCTTTTCCTTTCTTTCTCACCGCTTCATGTAGTGCACCATCGCCAAGCGAGCTGAGGCACCTCTTGATAGGATACCCCAATATGCATCCAAGACGTGTTATCCCGCCAGTCGTGAGATAATGACCGCATCGCCCAAGCATCAACGGGAAAGACGGGATCTAGCTATGGCGGCCCAGAATCCCACACCCTCGGCTATCGCCCAAGTATGTAATTGGCGCATCCTGGTCATAGGGTACAGGTACGGTACCGCTGCCGGGCGGCAACACAATCTCAAATCTCAACATTGATTGTGCCAGTTTCGATTATTTCATCTTTTTTTTTTACTTTAAAAAAAAATAACATCCTTCTTGTGGGGGGGAGAAACGTAGGACAGCCGGTGCACGTGGATATGTGCATTTCACAAGCACTCTGCGGTCCTTGTAGCACTCGCTCTAAGTCGCTCCGGAGATCTAGAATCTCGTCCAAACCTCAGTCGGGTAGAAATGATACGGTAAGATTGATCATAAAGCGAAACAATCAAGTACCAGTACCTAGCTGCGCGGACGGCGAATGGCGGTTTCAAAGCAAACTCGAAGACATCTGTGCCTGTTCACACGGTCATCATAGGTGCTATTTCGTGCTAGTACATCTAGCCGTAGTGGTAGTAGTATGCTGTATTGGGTAGTCGCCGGATAGCGGTTTGAGCAAACTGTGAGAGTTTGTGACGCTCCAGCCATTCTCTGTCATACCGATTTGTAAGTGGAAAGGCCAGGCATATGCAGAATGGTATCTTTAGCAACAAGGCGACGGGTACTCGGTCATTGGACACCACTCTGTCCGTTAGTGCACACGTGTCGCTGTAAAGGATGCCGAGATCGAAGCCAAGTGCAAGCCAGTCTCAGTGGCGAGCTATGGAACGTTGCAGTGCTCCTCTTTTCTTTTTACTTCGAGCTACGGAGTAATATTGTCAGCACTTTTTTCTCTGATACTTTTTGATTTTTTGATTTTTTTTTTTTTTTTGGTATTATTTTTCCTCAGCCGCCATGTGTGCGGATTGTGGCTTTGCCCTCGTTTGTCAGCTCTTTCGGCCCGCTTGTCTTGGCGACAGGAACGCTGGAAGCTTTTTGCTAGTCTCAGTTAGCAATCCTTCAGGTCCTCAAGCAGTGTGTGCTGCTGTTTCGCACTTGCAGAGTTTTATCTGTGCGGCGACGCTACACTCAGCGAAGGACAATGAAGATCAGCGTATAAGCTTCTTTGAGCATCAAAAACCGACGTCATTTGGGATGCCTCACAAGCCTCGGCACTTTGAGAGCCTCGGCGCTTTTCAAGACCCTCAGTGGTCCTCTTTTTGGAGGAGGTGGCCTGTCTCCAGTGGTGGTGTTTTCGATGGCAGCATAAACCGCCCTCGACTAAAAGCAGGATGCGTGCAAAAGTATTGGGCAGTGTGTAATGTTGTGGCGTTTCATGCAGAGTGAAGTAAGGCTGTGTAAGTCGCAACAAGAATGGCTGCACCACGGGCTTTTCCTCCCTTGTCACATTGCATAATGCCCCTTTTAGGCAATGAAGAGGCTGTGGTTCATTATGCCGCCCAGGAGTTCGGGATTGTTTCCTATACCGCATAAAACCTCGAGTGCTTGTACAACCTTGTCGTGGTGTCTTTCATACCCCGAAGTGCACCCAAAAGTGCCAGCTAGCCGTACCCCATAATCACGTTAAATTTGCACTGCCTGGCTGCTGTCTGACTCGTCGTGTCGCCATCTCATCGGATCTCATCTTCGGTTCAGGACTAGACGGCGCAGTTTTCCATCAGGCAATTCTCTTTTGAAGTGCAAGTCTGGAGTAGCATTCGAGTGGAAATGACATTTTGTGGGCCACCATGTGTTCCATATTGCAACCGCCAATGCCGTTGCTGTGTTCTGCATGAGCAAGCTCCCACTTGGAAGACAACCCAGCAAACCAGCGTCTTCCCAGTCAATATTGGGTTAACCTCCATGCCTTGCGCGCCATGAAGCCAATCGAAGCGACGAACGCCCTTGGCTGCGATCTCGTGTCTAAAAAAAGAATTGACCGATGCGGCTTCATGGTTGGCTACAGTGTCTTACCAGTAGAATTTGTCGATGAAGACAGTTCAATGTATTGGTGCTTCGCAAGTGCTTCGCGACACAGGCAAAGCAGAACCGGCACAAATGACAACAGAACCCCACACTTCGACTACAATAACAAGCAGAAGGAGCAGCAGCACCAGCATTAAGAGGCTGCGGCAGTGACGGTCGCTATTCGTGGACATCGGTAGTCTATAGCTTGGTAGGGTAGCAGCTTGCAAGCTTCCCTCAGTCGTCGTGAGGTTTTGCGGCACAGCCTTCAGCGTGCTGAGTAAATCCTGCGGCTTGTGAGACTGGCAGAGGACCCCGAATCGGCCAGCCCAAAAAGGGGTGGCCGCTATTCTTAGCGTGGAAAGCGGATTAATGGAGCCCCAGAAGGCCATTTCAGGACACGAGGTTTATGAATCTCCTTCGCAACCCATGATAATCTCGCTATGAATTAGATCTATGCCTGTTCCTGAGAATGGTGGCAGTAACCCCTGGAGATACCCTGGACTCTGCTCGGGGACTTGAGCGGGCCCGTGAAGCATGTTTCTGGGCCTAGAAGCGGCTTGGATAGCATAGTATGGAGCCTAAATGTATCATCGTTTCGAAAGTTGCCGTTGTTTGATTGGAAATCCTTTGGTCATCCGTCATAGTCCAGTAGAATGGGGGAAGCATTGCCAAAAACAGAAGTAATGGTGATAATAATAGCAGTAACAAGATTAGCCGTAGACTATATTGGCGCTATTTGGAGTATGATGTCTTTGGCACGGCACTACTGAATTATTTGGGACACTTACGCTGTCTGACAACCCAAACCGGGGAGTTGCCCGGGTCTCTTGTCATTGCAAGACGAGACTGTACTTGACTTGTTGAAAATGCGCAAAACAATAGACGCTGCAGAAAGAGAGGGCATTTCACAATGCTGCTTCGTAGGCGGGTCACTGTCTATACGGCGTGCCCCTTTTTTAATGACAGTTCTATCCGTTGGGTTGCTTTATGAGTGGGCAAGGCCAACCGGAAAATCTGTCGGAAAGCTGAGAATTGTATTAATAACCACCTATCTTTGGTGTCTAGATAGGTAGACTGACGATATGGAATAGCGGAATCGGCGGCTGCAATGCCCCTCTGTCCTGGATTGAAGATGTTTTCCCCTAGAGAATCCGCTTGGGAAATGGAAAAAGCTAGCCTAAGACGGTACTGGGTATAATTGCCGTTGGCTGCCTCCGTCTTGGATCCTTTTTCCTGTGCCTTTGACGTGCTTTTTGCTTAACGGGGGCAACGGATGAAGAACCGAGTTTTGCATCCTAGCCGCGATATAGAGGGGGGGTTCAGGGTCTAGGGCTGTTTGCGGCTTTCGGCTTTGGTGAATTTGCTTAATTAAGCGTAGCCGGGCTAAGAAGCTATTCTAACTGCTGAAGGAAGAGTGTGACCTCGTATCTTTAGATGATGAGACGATTGACTAGAGACAAAGCCTCTCGCTCATTTCCTGTAGATCAGGAACGCGCTTGATCGGAGCGGGGCCAGTAATGAGAGTGGCTGAGATGTTATGCAGTGGTAAGGCCAGCCAGCCAACCACAATGGCGCTGGCGCTGACGAGTAGCCTATTCAGGACAGAAGGCTGAGGATTCGATTACTGACTCGATACGATCAGCGCTTGCTTGGCTACGAGATGCCAGCACGGATATGCTACTATTACCAATAGCGCTTGGTAGTAGGTAATATGCCGCGCTTGTGTACTTGATTGCTACCGTCGTCCGTTGACGACATTGACCACGGTTCGGGATCCAGCTGACAGGAGATGGCAGTTGGATGGAGTATACATAGGCTCCGTGCGGTCGCCCCATAGATTTGCTCGGCCGATAAATGCACAATGGAAAGCTGCCGATATCCGCGGCAGGATCTGCACGGACAAAGCACAAGTAGGATGACCGCCAAGTTTCTTCCTGGCTTCTCGAAGACCAGGGCCTGGGGTTCAGCTGGCTTCGAGCAGCGCGCCAACCAAGTCTGGATATATTTGTACGGTCGTATGCAAGGCTATACGGCAGTTGTTTGCTAATTACTGCTGTTTATGGACTTGCCTCCTGGCACTGACATGTCGGAGATCCAGGCACTGAGAACCTTCCGGCCCTGGCTAGCCGTTTGATTGGAGAGATAGGCGAGGCCGCTGGATAATCGCCGTCACTGCGGCCTAGCGGCAGATGTTGTTGTGGTGACGGCACTCCTCCCAGGTAGACACGGTACCTGACGATAGGATAATCCCCATAAAGTACGAGCAGTACGAGGGCAATTTGCTGGTAACGTTAACCTCAGCCGGGATACTAAGCAAGCAAAACGCCCCCCTTGCTGTGCACTGACCGTTGGAGGTGCTCTGAGACGCGCGATGGAGGAGCTGAGAGCGCTTCGCCTCAACGCCTCAAAAACCCAAACATGAACCGGCCGTTTGGACTTACGCCGAGAGTAGCGCGCCCGGTGCGGGGAGTGCGGCACGGAGCATCACCTGACGGCAAACGCCAAAGGTATTATCCGTGCATCACGTTATGCTAGGACCTAGCAGCATTCCTGCATCATGGTTTGAATCGAGTATCGGCTTTCAGGACCTCCTGGTCAACGGAGACCTCACCGGCATTGCCTAACATGGACTTAATATGGGCGACAGGGAAAACGGCTTGAGACCACATGTACTTGTACTACTGCGAAGTCCTTGGGCGGCATTTCTGCGTACAGCGGCAGCCGAGGGCTCCGCGGCGGCCAAGGCGCTAGGTGCAGTCGCTTGTAAAAAGTACTAGCAGTGCTAGCACCCTGGTGAACCGGCTTGCCGACTTTTTTAGACAGCTGCTCCAATATTTGGTGGGTACGTGGCGGGTTAATTGCACTTGACCGTCCTGACATTCTGCTGTGGGTAAGGCTTGGCAGGTGTCTCTTGGCTTACATACAGGTGCAGTACTACCTTTAGGACTTACTGTAGCGAGAAGACTATGAGTACAGTTAGTACCTTAGTAGTTGATCAGTGTCTTTGCCCAAACTCCATGTTGCAATAAACAGTGCAGCAGAGAAGTAGGAATCAGGCAGGATTCAAAGCGAGCATAAATGGATAAATGGCCGCTTGTCGGAAATGGTGGCATGAGCATGAATGATACTTTCTGAGTTGCGCTTACCCGTGGTAGGCACCACATAGGTAAGTTCCTTAGGTAGGTAGAGGCAGAGAAGGAAGCAGGGCCATGATGTGATGCCAAGTTAGACGGCAAGCGCTACCAAGAACCTAGAGCTGTACCTTGCCGGTCCATCCTGCACAATAGACTGACAGGTGCCTGTGGATGTATAGAGGCAGTACCGGCAGCACTAGCCACATCTAGGCTTGCATATAAATTAGCATTAGGGTTCTGTTGCAAGAGCTAATCGGCGCAATGCTAGAGGGCTGCATGTGCATGCGTGGTGGCGCTTTCTGGGAGAAGCTGCCTGTGACGACAGGGACCCACACCCAGCGGTGGGCAGCGCTTCTGGGCCTCTCTGGTGGGCGCATCTCATCTTAGGAAGCCCGCCGAGTTAAGCTCTTGGTTCCCGAAAACTTTTCGGCTAGGCAGTTTGCCCACCAGCGCTAGCACTAGGACAATAGTTGACGATGATGAACTCTGCTGGCTCGCATCCTTTGACGGTGCCAAATAGGCTTTCCATTCATCTCCAGCTCTCTGTTTAGCATTTCTGATGCCGCATATCGGGATGATGGGGGGCGAATTATCTTGAAACTCAAATACTCCTATCCTCAACGGGCGCGGGCTCGACACAGCCAGTGAGAGCCAAAGTACAAGTTGGGGCGTGATAATAATAGCATAGCAGTGTGTCCCTTTCTTCTCGTCTCATTTCTAGATACGAAGGGAACAAAAAAAGAAAACAAAAAAAAAAAAAAAAAAAAAGGCTCCAATGGCAGCGTCTCAGCAAGGCTCTGGGGGCCTCACTCCCACAGCACTGAAAAGAATTCTTCCGCCGGCCACGATGTGCTGGCACCACGGCCGGGCTAAGCATCTGATCCTCGTCTGATGGCGTCGAATCGCGCAGTCGGTTTCACCCTGAGCTAGAACGCCGGCCCCAACTAACGCTGTGCCATGGCGTCTGGCCCAGAAAGCCTAAGCCCGCCGGGTCAGGGAGAGAAAAAGCAACGAGGTCTTGGTTCCATCCCCCACATTGCCCGCACCCTGCTGGCCAAACCAGGCCGACGGCTCGCCCCAGTTGTTATTTTTAATTCTGGTGCGTGGGCATCGTGCCATGTGCGTCATGCCTCTTGGGCGAGGAGCCAAGCCTCATCAGGCCGTCACACCCCTAGCCCGAACTGTCCAGTGCCTTTCGCCGGCTCGTACGAAGCATCATCGTCCATCACCAGCCATCACCCGTCTCGCCCCCTCTCCACTGCGGTGCCGGCCGGAAGCCCTGCTCAGTTCGGTTCTGCTCTGCTCTGCCCTGCTGCCCCCGTCTCCTCGTGGACATTATTCGTGATTGCAGGCAGATGCTGTGTTCTTGGCACTGCGAGAATGCCGACTGGTCCCTTGCCTGGGATCATGCCCGCTTGTGCTCCGTGTTTTGCGTCTCAGACATCAATGTGCAGGCAGGTCAAGTACGATACCCGTAGGTGTGTGGTGTTCTGGGTATCTGGCAAGCATACATTTGATGTAATCAATCATATTGGCTGTGTGCTCCCATCACCTAAATATGTACTTGCAACAGCTCTATTGGAGCTGGGCATTGGCCCTTTGTACAGTACCGCTCCGCTCCGCACCATGTGCCCTGACAACAGCACAGCAAACAGCAGACAAGTGCAAAAAGCCCCCCACTGCATGTACCTAACCGCTACGACTCACCACCTGAAAACCCCGAGTCGCACAGCGCGTGGCACCCCCTTCCACCCCCCGTCAGTCGCGGGACATGGCCGCTGAGGGGCCTTTTGTCAACGGGCAAGTACCTGCTGTACCCGTCGTCTCCTGCCAGGCTAAGCCTAATGGGCCTCTCCCACGTCGGCGGACGAGCAAAGCTCTCGCTAGCAGCAGCGCTCAGAGTGGAAGGATCTAAGCAGCTAGCAGCAGCGCTACAGGTTCGGCGAGGTCAGGCCGGGGCCAGGGTAGGCTGCGTCGGTACCTGTACCTGCACCCGTACCTGTACTCGTGCCTGTGCTCGTGCCTGTACTCGCGCCTGCACCTGTGCTTGTACAGTGCCAGCCCGCATGGCTGAGTGGCCGCCTGTAGGGGCTGGTTGCCCTCTGTAGCATAGCGCAGCATAGCGTAGCGCCCAGCCTAGCCCAGCAGGCGCCGCAGCACGGCACCGCACAGCACGGCACCGCACGCTTGGGGGAGAAGCTCGCTGAGCGCCCGGTGGGATGCCGCCGCCATTATTTAACATTCCCCAGTCCCCCAAACACCTCCCCTCTCTCTTCCCTCTCCCCTGGTCTTAACACTCCAAATCTTCTCGATTCCAACGTTCGCTCTCCCACATTCGCTTCCCACCTTTCCTCTCGCTCCTAGGAAGTCCTCGTTGACTCCTGTCATTCGCTTTTATCGGTGCTCTCGCTTTTTTGATCCTCCCCACAACCGCCACTTCCGCCGCAACTTTTTTATCCGCCGACTCCGCCGCCACTATTTTACTTCGAAGTCGCCCGGATCGTCAAACTATAAAGAGAAGATCTTATCTGAATCGATAAATCAAAATCTTTCTTGCACGGAATTCATTTATTCAGCTACGCATTTCGAACTGCGCAACATTCGAAACATACAGACTAGCTGCTAGCCGCGGGTTTCAAGTCCTCTGGGACCGAATTCGAAGTCGCCGTAAATGTCTATCTAAAAGAGCTTCTTTCTTCGCACCACCACAATCGCTTTCCACAATCGCTACTAAATATACAACGAAAAAAAAACCTTATAAAAAAATCTTTACGACCAAAACAATTTTACGTTTAATTCAGAGTTAGGGAGAGAACAACTTTTTTATACGCCATATTCAATCGCTAGTTATTTTTCAAGAGAGAGACGTTAGAGCAAGGATCCAGCAATTAATCGACACTAGCTACTGCACAGCACAGCTAGCTATAGCTTGATAAACCAAGTATTTGGGACGACAGCCAAGTAAACCAGCATCACAACTCTCGCTCGCTTTTCAAGCACAGCCGTTTCCAGCTGTGTTTTCTCTTACGTATGTGACATCTGTTCTGCTATTCTACCCCAACTCGAGCATTTCTTTGATTTCCCACCCTTGGGTACATAAAATCATCTGCTGACCAGTACTTGTTCTTGTAGGTCACCTGTCACTAATCTCAACACTTTTCCATTATCAACAATGGCTGGCCCTGGCGGTGGTCCTCCTCGTCGCAGGTTTGTATCCCTCTTCTCTGTTCGCTTTCTGTGCATCAACTGACCTCGTTCTGAACAGTCACACCAAGTCTCGCAAAGGCTGTGATACGTGGTACGTATTAATACCTGCTGTTGCTTGGACAGCAGCTCTGACGAAACTCCCTCAAACATTGGTCTAACTATGGCTCTACAGCAAGCGTCGCCACATCCGTTGCGATGAGAGCTTCCCTCAATGGTGAGTTTGGCCGATCCTGATTTTAGCTGGATGCCTCTCTTTTTTGCTAACGCCATGCCCCCAGCCGCAACTGCACCAAGCACAAGATCCGCTGCCCGTACAACGACGTGCAGGTCCCTGATGCTGGTCGCTCAACCACGCCGGACAAGCCCGATCTTATGTGGACTCCCGAAATCGAAGCTTGCATTGACGAATGGCGAAGGACCGGCATGTTCCCCTTCCCATCGCTCGGCATTTATCCAGCTCCTATGCCGCACATGTTTTCCGTTGAGGATCTCCGCTTGATTCACCACGTTACCTCGCTGTACGTTCAGCTGCAGGCTTTTGGCGCCAACAATTTCACTCTGTGGACGCGTCACATCCCGACGTAAGTTTTCACAGGAACCATCCTTCCCCTACTTCTCCTTGGGCACCATTACTCCGGCGGCAACCTGCCGTCGCTAGTGGTCGCACACTGTTCAACCAGACACTGACTTGATGTTTCCAGTCTTCTAAAGATCGGAGCCACTACTCCCTATGTAATGCATGCGCTGTTGGCATTTTCCGCCATGCACCTGGCCTTCTTGACCGATTGCCCTCTAGTCGGCAGCATGGCCTTTGAGCATAAGGGTAAAGCCTTGAGCGGTCTACACGCGGCCATTGGCTCATTCTCTCGCGATACATCTGACGCTATTCTTGCGGCATCTCTGGTGCTGTCGTGGCAGGCCACGGATTGGTAAGTGTCACTCTCCTGCGACCTTTGCGTGAGCAATGTATAGCTAACTGGATTTTCCTCAACAGGCGCAGCTGGACCCAGCTTATGCAAGGCACTTCGACGGTACGTTTTCTTTTTCTTTTACCAGCACATTTGCATGACACCTTACTGACTTTTCCCGTTAGGTGATTGATGCCATGGAGCCATGGAAGCACGAGTCTGAGTTCACAGACTTCATTGCTGAGAGCAGCACGTTCCCAACCGCTCCTGCTTCTCCGGACCCTGAGCATAAGCCCACTCAGCCGCGAAAGGACGACATTGAGGCCTATCAGCGGACCCTCGAGCAAGTCATCAAGGTGGAAGCTCATCTGAAGCATTACAAGGAAGACACCACTCAGATGCAGCACTTGATCAGCTTTCTCAAGGGTTCTCGCAAGATCAGCCCCACTCTGTCCATTGCCCAACAGTTTGAGCGCCTCCAGCCCCTGAGGACTTGGCTTTTCTGGGTTCCAGTCGGATACCTCCAGTCTCACCAAGCCTCTGCTAACTCTCTGGTTGCTATCGCTCACTTGTACACTGTGGCTTTGTTGATGGAGCGTCTCTTCCCCGAGATTGGTGCAGCCTACTTTGGCAGCCTGTCCATGACCCCCATTGAGGAGATTGCTCGGCGGCTCATGTCTATCAACGTCGCGAGCACTGTCAAGGGCACCTACCAGACCCCGCTTACGCTTATGGAGTTTCCCATTGATACTGTCAGTGAGTTCCGGTCTCGCATGGGCTGGATGAGTCCGCAGAGGACGCCTTCGTTCCCCACGTTCCATCCTCCCAACTTCCATCATCTGGAGGAGGTGCCACCAATGGTCCCTGCAACGGAGTCCTACATGCCATATGGAAACCCGGCTTTCAGCTACAGCGCTGAGGAGATGCCAATGCTCAACAGCCCCGCCGCGCCTGCTCCCCATGGGTCGCTCAGTCCGCTGGTCATTTCGTCTCCCTATCCTCACCAGCAGTATCTGAATGTCCCCTCTCCGTCCTTTGGTGGCGCCTACAGCCCGGCATCATCAACCTTTGAGGCCTCCATCGCATACAGTGATTCGGAAGAGTATGGTGCGTATGACATGCGAAGCTTTCCTCCTGGCCAATCGCCCGTTTTCGAGGATGCGCACTACAGCAGTAGCTACGGCGTCGGGTTCGTTACTCCCCAGCAGCCCGTGTGGATCTAGGCACACACATTCGGCTCTCTAACCCCGGCTCGAGGAAGCACAATCGGAATTGACCGTTTGCCACCCAGGAACTCCAGTACATCAGCGTATCCGCCTCTAGATGGTTCGTCGACAATGGCGCCATCCCATCCGCCACTTCCATCGCCATCGCCATACCAGTTCCAGGACCCTCTCGGCATGCTTCCTCTTCCCGAGTCTCCAGTCCAGCTGTCTAGCAAGCCGTATCACCGACATCGCCAAACCGCTTCGGCGTCTTCCGCGCCACACCCTCCATCGCCGCTGTCACGCGCGCCTCTAATTCCGAGTTCTTCGGAGCCGCAAGGCAAAGGCAAGCAGCGAGCGGTTTGATGGAGTAGCACACTTGGTCACCATCAGGTTCCTACACCACTCCGCGACGAGCCTCACCAACCTCCTCCTATGGACAACCAACCCGACGCAGCTGGCATCTGCTTCCTTCTCCTCCTCTTCTCTTGATTTTTAACGCAGACGCAAATGTACAACATTCCTTAAGACGCTCGCTACCATACAACACAACTACGATGAATGGGCCTTGTTTCTCTCTTTATTGCTCCTGTCAGCCACAGCCTGCTTGAGCCCAACGCCCGACGACACTCCTTTTACAATCTCGAGTTGATCTCGACAGAACAATCCTTTAACGACACGAATAATTACCAACTAAATATTAATGTATTATCTAATACGCGACACTCCTTTTTGAAATGATACCCACCAGCTTAATCGACAATCCTTTAGACGAAGATACCCCGGATCCCCCGGATCGCACACACTCCTTTATGAAATTATTACGTTATGACGAACATTAGGTCGACATAGAGTCACTCCTTTATGGGATAAACAAAAATGGTAATTGGGCGAATTGAATATCACACTGCATAGCGACTGTTATTTCTGTGCTGTTACGCACATTTTTATCGGATAGAATATGGCGTTTTCGCGGCGTTCAAATGAACACACGGCGGGAGAGAAGTTTTTGATTGAATTTAGGACTTTTGTTTTATTTCTGGAAAAAAGCAGCAGGCATAAAGTGCCAGTGATGAATTGGGAGCGTGTATGTGACAGATGTGTGTGGATGAATGTTAATAGCTGTTGCAGAGGTGTATGGGCAATGCTGCTGCGAAAATGATTGTGGACAATTCACGTATTGCCTCTAGTGGCAGCCTGAATTTGGATTAATACTATCTTGTTCGAATATGTCTATCTGTGTAACCCATGAACCCCAAATTTGATCCAAGAGAATGTTCCGTACAACTTCTGCATCCATGTGTCTACAGAATCCAATTGGCTAAATTCCAGGTCATGTTCTATACAAGGTACGATGCCTCAGCGAAATCACGATTCGTGGATAATTACTGATACTATTTTTTAGGTTCTTACTTGTTCTGTTTTCTTTCTTTTCATTTCTGTCTCACGTTGGTTCCGGAACTAGCCCTGCCTATTTCTAAAACCGATTTTTAAGACGGCGAAAGTAAGGTGACAACACAAATCCGACCTCGAGAGGCCTTGATAGCCTACGCTCTACAGGCCCCAAGGGTACGAAAGGCCTCAAAGTGGGAATTCGGTTACCCTACTTTGGACTACTAGGTACTACTGCTATCGGGTAATCTCTGGGGTCTACTAGTAGTATTATCGGATCATCTTTAAAGAAGAGAGTGGGCTGGTCTGGACTAGCTGGTCTATCGGTTGGTTGACTCCCCTTGACTCTGCATTATCTTGCCTTTTGTCCAGCCAGCCCAGCCCCTGTTACCCCAACCAGACTCTCAGCTTGCTGACTCTAATAGTTCCTTCTGGGAGATTCGTCCCCCATCATACTAAGCGCCCTGTTCTAGATTCTTTTTAACCTGCAGTAGGTCATGGCGGCAAAATAGGGCCCTCCCCTTCTCACATCATGGTACCACACACATCACACATATCCTTGGCGAAGACGAAACGGTGAGGTGGAGAGTGTGGCAACGGCGTGCCCCGTAACGGCCGGAATCTGTTCAAGTATCTGTTTAACCATGCTATTTTTCCAGATTCTTACGGGCCCTGGGCGGATGGACTGGGAGCATGTTGTATATGATACGGAAGCCCAGACTGGAAAACGGGATGGGGGTCAGCAAGGGGCACCTTTGAGAGATAAAAACGGGGAGACAGGAAGACGAAGAACAAAAGATATCAGCTTGACTAGGGATTATTTAGGCGATGGCGGATATCTGCGCCGTTCTAGGTCTAGCCAGTCTACGGGGTGTGGGCTTTTGGACTTGGGGGACGCTTGTGAATACGAGAAATGGGTGGCAGGGGGGGTTGGTTGGTTGTTTATTGGGGTGGCAGGTATCTATTTATGTATATGCTCGTAACTGTAGGTATACATACAAAGAGGAACAAGAAAACAATTGAGCATAAAAGCGTGCATAGGAGGGGTGGAATCTTTTTTGTGTTTTAGTTCTGTTTTGGGAAAGGGAGTGGGTTCTTTTGGCGATGATGGGACTGTAAGTTTATTTTGGTGTTTTGTATTTTTTTTTTCTTAAAGAGACAAGCCGTACTTGGAGATAATAGTAGAATAATTTTCTTGGAATTTTTTTTTTAATTCTAGTAATTAGGAGAAGCAAATACCTTGAAGAATTTGGACGGGGGCGGTTTTTTTTCCCCCAGTATGAGACGCCAGATGTTTTGGGGGAGAGGAAGGGCCAACTAAATACGAGGTTTTGCGGTCTTTTTTTTTAGGAAGACTGGGCAGGACTATTAGAATAGCTTCGTAAAAGAGAGAAAAAGGAAATGAGAGTTTTTATTTTTTGTTAAATTGTCGTATAGAGAGATTATTTTCAAATGTTTTCGTGAAAACGTTTACGAGGTCTTTTTTCATCCTGGCCTTGTTTTTTGAGAGTTCAACTTGTTTACTAGGGAGAGAAAGGAGAGCATAACATGTTGGAGATTTTGCAATACGAAAATTTCGAAAAAAGAAACTAGATTAAGAGATTTAGGCGACGGGGGCAGCTTCTAGAATCACGAATACTATCCCATTCTGAACCCTCCCCTGTTGTTATTATTAGAAGTTGACTTGTGATATTGATTCTTTACAACTCTATTGGAGACTTCAACACCTTTACCCTTGAGATGGGCTATATTAAGGAGTCTTTACAGGAAATCGCACTATCTCTACTTTCTCCTCGGGACTATCTGCAAGCAACGTTGTATTCCTAAACCTAGTTTGAGCGTCTTGAGCATGGCGTTTGCTCGCCCCAGGCCGTAAACCTTCGCCTCCTGATCTGCGTTGAAAAAAAAAAAAGGACTTGTCATCATGTCGTACCGGACCAATAGGACCACGAAAGGACAACTCATTATTACTCACTTATCCTGCAGCTCCGTTAGTTAGATCCACTGAAACGACGCAAACAACTTCCTTCCTCCCTCCTCCTCCTTCCCCCCTTTTAGCAAAAAACCGCACGCACCCACTGGGGGACTTTCCGCTGCCAAAAAGCCAAAACTATCCTCTCGCCTCGATCGAAACATACGTCCCAAACCTTTCTAGTTTACTACTTCGTCTGTAAAGGCACGCAAATTTCATACAAGAACACGAGTCAATCTTGCACTCCTCTCGTCGGGTTCCCTCGTATTCCAGCCGCCCCCGGTGAACGCCGCTGGCTAAAAGGAGGCGGAGTCAAAAAAAGGAGAACAAAAAAAAAACAGGTGCTCCAAGCTGGGTCCAATGAGAAAAAAGACAAAAACTTCCTGCTAACCAGAGTGACGATTTACCGCCCCGACCCGTGCTTTAGCGCTTAGGTTTGTGTATGCCAATCATTTTTTTTGTTTCTAGGTAAAATGAGCCTTTGGAAAGTTTCAAAGATGACATGTAACATGGGGAACTAGATGGGCTATTTTCAGAGACAAGGCTGCTTTGGAGTTGACTAGCAAATGTATTTTTAGGAAATATGATTTGTTTCCATATCAAATGCCGTAAACGAAGGTTTGATCAAGTCTTTAGGTAGTAAACGTGACTGATATGACGATCTTTCAGGTGGTTTGGGAGATTCTGGGTTACCTAGTTGTGTCGGGATATCCCGGCCTAGGAAGATCGTCGATCAAAGCAGGGAATGATGCATTATTCATAACCTTACATGTTTTCCGCTTGAATAAGGCTAGGTAGTATGATGGGAAGCTCTGTGGTTAATGCGAACTTTGGGAACAGTGCACCAAGGCTACATAGTGAGCAACATATACTGACATACCGCACCCCGTATATACCGACAAACTCTGCGTATATGCTGACATACTGTATATATACTTGCATACTACACTACGTATATACTGGCATAATACTAGGACTTAATAGAACATAATTCAATACATCACAATAATGGTCTTTGTAGTATAATTCTAACTTTATTCAAGCTGCCTCCTAACAGCGATATGCAGTCCAGCTAAATGATATACCAATCACCCGCCTCTCCCTTCCTTTCCCTCATGCACCACTACTATCTAGAAAGAAAGAATAAAAGATAAAAGGCTCATCCGCCATCGCCCCTCTCACCACCACTCCCCCTTCCCTGAGACTTCCCCTCATCTAAATACAAATGCTCTTCTTATATACAGGTATCTAACTCCTCGCTGTGTGGCGAATTAACGGGATATAGTGTAGCCACGGTGATACAGCAGCAACAAAAACTAATATAAAAGACGTGGTATGTATGCATATAGCAGAATGGATAAGAAAAAAGAAATATAAAGGATAAAAAAGCAAATATACTTGCCCCGCGGATAAAGCAAAGGCAAAAAAAAAAGACAGTCATCTTAGCTTTGAGATATATCGATAAAGATATGGTTTAGTCAATCATGTGGTAATGACCTCTTGGTGAACCAGTCGAATCACCCAACTGGCTTCGGCTACGCTGGCAAATTGGAAACACCACTTCTTAATATTTCCTCCTGTGGCTCCGTTCGCTGGAACACCACCAATGACGCCATCACCACTCTTGACTTCCTCCCAGACACCGCAGACGATACCTCGACTACCCATAGGCGTGAAGCATCCACTTCCAAGAACAGCATCCAATAGGATAATCGCCTTCTCAGAGCTCTTCTTCGGTATAGTCGTAACCGTGACTCTCTTTTCGAGGCCATGGTCTGCTCGGAGGGCTTGACGCCAACCTGGAGGCGGCCGGCGGATTTGCAGAGTGCAGTTACCATAGTCTTCCCACTTGGCAGACGAGACGAGAAGATGTAGCCGGATGCGAATATTCTCGGCGTCAATATTCACAGGCCCCTCGCCGCTGTGGTCGACGCTCACGGATGGCGATCGAGGCGTTCCGTATCCTGATGAAGAGCCAGATCCGTAGAGGCTATTGTGGCCGCTTCCACCTCGGCCGCCGCGCTTATCAACCGATGATCGCGCAAGATTGAAAGACAGATTTCCAACAAGAGTGAGTTTCTTGAGGAAACTGGACGCAGATAGAGCGGAGGACGGTGTGGTACTGGCCCCATCTTGATTTTGTGAAGGCGCTCTGACCGAGCTGCGGTAGCTATTTTTCCTACCGAACCAGGTACGGCGGCGGCTGCTCGTGTCTCCATCTTGAGGAGGGGCCGGTCGCTCCCCAAAGCCTCTGAATCTGGCTTCGTTCTCAAGCTGGATGTACTTTTGGTTGTTGAGACGGGCATGGTGCACCGCCGTGTAGAGAAGATAGCAATCGGGGCCGTTCAAGCAGCGGAAGCGGAAGTTGCCGCCTGGGTAGACTGGTGCCAGCTTGCTATGGGCCTGCATTGAAGACCTGATTTCAAGATCGACCGCAGTACTTTGTCGAATCAATACCAGGGGAGTAAGATCCAGCGCGACGATGGGCTTGTCATCCATTTGGGTATAATTGCTGTCTCTGAAAGCGTATGCCTCGATGAGACCATCGGAAACAATAATCGAACAGTGGTCAGGATGAATGTCCTTCCAAGCACCTTTGTCAGACCATCTAGAGATGGTAGCTAAGCATCGTCCTGACTTTGCAACACTACCATCCTCTGACGATGGTTTTCGTCCATGAAGACCAGCTTGAGAAGCAGAATTAGACGGTGTCAAGCTGACTTCAGATCCGTGAGTATACGAGGGCGCATACGATGGGGCCCATGAAGGAGCATATGAGCCTCTTCTCCGATCATCCTCTTTTATGCTATAGCCAAGCTCAGTCTGAGGAACATCAATACTCTCCATTTCCTCATCAGAGGACTCGGATTCAGACTCTGTCTCAGACAGTTCATCTTCTCCTTCTGTTTCCGTTTCCTCCCCTTCTTCCACTATCGAGGATACAGCAGAAGAAGATAAGCCAGATGCAGAAGACACTTCGGAAGGTAGATACTCATGCTTGAGAGGAGAGGAACCTATTCTCTTAAGCCCGCCGCTGACGTGGTGGTCAACAGGTGGTTTAAGCAATGACTGAGACTTTGCTGTTTGCTGGGGCGTGGGGCTAAGAGTTCGGTGAATAGGCGGTCGCGGCGGTGGCGTGTCGTTATGGTATATGACGGGAATTGTCTTAGAAGAACCGGACCTCCCAATTTCTTGTGCAGATGTCTTTTGTTTTTCTCTGCCGGGAGACCCAGGCGCAGCTCGTGTAGGAGTTGGTGGAGTTGATAGCTCGCTGCCAGAATCATCTTGGTCGGTGATTTCGGATCGAGACGCCGCGCTTAGCATGCTCTGAACTCCAACTGGAACGTCAGGCAACCTACCTGGAGAGTCCGATCCAAGATCGGATTCATCCAGGATGCTGGGTTCAGGTTCTCTGGGTGGGACGGGAGATGATGGTAGGATATCCAACCAGTCCAGAATTTGCTCCTCTTCGTCTGCCCATAGATTAAGGAGCTCATGCCATGGCTTCCCATTGTGGTTGCCACGAACCATAAGTACCAAGTCCAGCTTTCCATCTCCTGCGCGAGCAGAGACAAGAGACATAGAAATGGGTGGGAAAAGAAGATACGAACGTCGGCCATCTCCCACTTCTCGGATGAGAAGGTCTCCCTGATCTCCAGCCAGGCTTTGATTGTCCCGGTGCACCAGCTCCACTTGACATTCCAACCTTTGGCCGTTGGAGTGGGCGATATCAAGCGAAAAAATATCCTTGGCGCTGACTTGACGGGTTACTTCAATAGTAATGGATTTGGTCGGGCCAAGCGTTCTGATGTCTCGAGCTCTTGTAGTATCCGTGTTGATGGCTTCCTCATCAATGATCCTAGCAACCTCCTCTCTGTGGCGCCGGCGTGCCTTTTCTTGCAAAGCCTCGAAGTCTTTGACTAGCTGGCTAGTATCGGGAGAGGTAAACATTTGGTCGACACAAACGATTAATCTGGCCATCTGTTTCACGCGGAGGAGCGGCTTCTTCAAAAGGTAGGCGACCGCCACTCGCTCTCCTTGATCATTGACCAGATCTCCATTTGCGTTTCTCGGCAGGGCGTCAAGAAGAGAATCATCCCCTTCTGCTACGCCTCGCCGCGGCGCGAGATTAATTATCAAGTCCTGGAAGCCCAGTCTCCAGACACTCAGGTAGTTATTATACAGTGGGACCACACCATGTGCCCAGTTAGCCATGCGGCGGATATCCGTAAGAGGAGCCTTGGAATGTGCGTTTTTGAGCTTCTCAAGCGCGACTCCCATATCGACAACTGACTTGGATGTAGTGTCGACCTTGACCTTGGGGGAAGATGTTCCAGAGGTATCGGTTACAACGTGGGAGAGAAGCACGGGCACCACGCCACCCACCAAGGTTTTGAGCTCTCGCTGATACAAGTTCTCATCATCGGCGAACTCCTTCAACAAATCATCGGCAGTTACATCATTGGACAAGCCGCGTGTCTTTCGTAAGCTCGGTCTTGACCTATTATTCATGACTCCTTGAGGAACATCTTTGTCATCAGGCAGTGAGAGCACGGAAACCAGGTCAGAGTGCTTTGTTAGTCTTCTCTTGAGCCCTGAGCCTTGCCGCTGTGGGATTTTCGGATCAGTCGGCTTTGAGACTGTCGTTGACCGAGTGAGAGTAGATTCCGTCGCATCTGATTCTGTTTCCGAATGACTAACACTAGAGCCAGCGGAGAGGATTGTGGAAAGTTCATACTGGCCCTTTGTAGGGGGTCGGAGACGCGGGCCGGCCATATAGGGTGCTCCTCTTGAGCTATGAACAGATGAATCCCGATCAGTGCTTGAGCGCGTCTCTGTAGAAACCCAGCTACTCAAATCAGAGTTAGATTGCATGTACCGGGAATCTGCGTCAAATTCTTCTTCTTCATCCTCAGAAGATTCAAATTCGATTCGGCGCTCTTCGTGGCTCTGATAGCTCTTTACGGGCTTTGCAAGCTCTGCGGATTCCCCTTGAAAAGCTTCCTTCAGAGCGCCAAGGAATGGTCGCCTCTTACTTCCTGATTTTGATTGCGACTGTGAATCTCTCGTGGCTCGGCTCCTCCGCAGCCCATCTGAAGATGATGACTTCTTTTTGGAAAGCTCTTTCCCCTTTGATGTCCCTGATTTTAGCGTTGAGTTTGCAGAGCCAGGGGCACTCTGAACAGTCTCCTCTGTCTGTGTTGTTTCCACGCTAGAAGTAACATTGGAAGTAAGTTCAGAGGTGACGTTGGAGACTACACGCGAATCAGATGCCATTGAGCTCTTCGTCTCTGCTGAAGGTTTCCTTTTGGGCGTAACCTTTTTTGGCGAATCTTTAGACGAGATTTCCCTAGGTGTGGTTTCGCGAGCCATGGTTTCGCGGGGCACTGTTTCTCGAGGTGCGGTCTCTCTGGGCGTTGTCCTTTTAGGTGCTGCCTTTTTTGGTGTGGTCTCTCCGATAGTAACGTCATCGTCATCGTCAGTCAATGTGGACGTAGGTGACGTTGGTCTATTGTCTTTATTATAAGGCTCAACAGTGTTGTTGAGCCACTTTTCAATGCTGGGAGGGTTGTTGGGTACAGCATGCCGTGGAGGTTCATTAAGATCTTGGATAATCTTTCTGCCCTCCTCCACCACCTTCTTCAGAACGTTCGGCATGGCTTTCAGGCTTGCCGCTCTATCCATCTTTGAGCGCTTTGGCTGTTGCTTTGGTCTGCTCTTGGGAGGGCCCCGTAGAGGCAAATCCAACTCACTAAAGGCGGAATGCCCAAATGGGATATCCCCCGGAATGTCAGCCAAAGATTTGTTTGATAAAGATGTGCCCAAGTCTGATTCCGGAAGAGGCTCCTTGGCACGCGAACTGACGTCTACTGATTTAGCTCTGGCAGCGGGATGCTTCGTTCCACTCCTTTTCACGCCGGATCGAGGCTTCTGCTGGGGCTCCTGAGCCGGGGTATCGAGATCTGACATTGATAATTGGGTTGCTTCCTCGACAGCCTTGATCAAGTCGTCAATCGTATGCTTTTTGGGTGTAGCACCCGCAGTTTTGCTTCTCTGGCGTGCCGGTCGTGGCGCCCCCGGTTCCGATCTAGAGTCGGCCATTGGCTTTACTCTAATACCGTCATCCTGGGTTGCAGATAACGGAGGTTTCATAGGTTTAACGCGGATACCATCATCCTGGGTTGCAGCTGGCGAAGGCTTCATAGGTTTGATTCGTATGCCGTCGTCATCTGGCTGCTTATTTCGTACCGGAGCAACTCGAATTCCATCGTCGTCGGTTTCCTTTTTTCGTATAGGCCGCACTCGAATCCCGTCGTTATCGTCTGCGCCGGGCCTGAGAGGTTTCTTCGCAGTGACTTCGGTTTCTGTTTCTCCATCATCACTATCTTCCTCATCGTCCTCGGAGGAAGTCGATAAGTCGGAAGAGAATGAGCCTCTACGGCTTCGTGGAGGTGGCGTCACGACTTTTTCGGCCCATGCCTTGACTTTACTCTGAAAAGATGGATTGGGCACTGCTCGAAATGCGAAGCCGTTTGGAACTCGGGCTGTCGGATTGCTCGGCTTCCTAGGGCGCGGCGAGACCTTGCGAACTGAAGGCTTCCTAACAACTGAAGGCTTCCTAACCTTTGGCCGTACCCAGTTATCGTCGCTAACGATCCTCTTCTTAGGGGGTGGAAGAGGCGTTTTCTCTGGCTCTTTACCGCTGGTGTTGTTATGGACGACTACTTTTTTGGGTGGTCTCTTCTTTTGTCGCATCTTTATCCGTACTCGATCCTCCTCTGTAACGCTTTCCATCTCTTCTCCAGCAAACGCAAGTTCCGTTGGTTCCGTGGCCAGATCTTCTGGATCGGCGTCCGCCATGGCGGATGCATTGGCCTTTTGCCATGCCTTGACCCTGTCATTGACACCACTTGGCTGCTGTAATTTTCGCACCAGGTTCTGTTTCATATCATGTCGAACGTCTGATCTGACTGTGCCAGTGCTTTGTCGTCGCTTACGCTCTGCCTCTAGTCTCGCCGGAGACGGCCGCCCTAGAAGAAAGTCGTGGAGTAATGTAGGGGGCTCCGGTTTCTTCGTGGTGTTTGCTCGTGGACGATTTCCCGTAGCTGCCGCTGGCGTAGGCTTAGGGGCTTCTCCAGGAGTGGCCTTGTCGTCTGCCACTTTGCCATCTTCGCTGGTATCAGGGATATCGTTCGGGTTCGTAGGGTTGGATGGCGCGGTGCTCTCGCTTTTGGAATCGTTTGGCGAGGTCATAGTCTATTAATCTGCTCTACATCTACACCATTAATCCCAATGCCACCGCAAAAAAATAGAAAGCAAAAACAAGGTTGACTGGAGCAGCGATTCCAGCATGTAACGTATGAACCAGGATCTGATGGCGTTGGATGCAAAGACGGAAGCAGAGCTGCCCAAGCTGCCCAAGATGCTTCAGCTTATTCGCAATGGCACTCGTCCCAGGGGAACTGCGTTGGTGCGCGAGGGTCACAAGCCGCAAACTGTCACTGCGCTACTCACTTCATTTGAGCAACATTCTATTCGCATCGAGGGTTGGAGATTCTTTGTTCGACGTAGTATCGCGTTGGCCGTTACACATGACAGCTGAGCTCGACAGCTTGAAGCTTCCAGGCCAGCTGTATCAGCCTCGTAGGCGCTCCTGAGGAGAGTAGGAGAAGAAGAGAGAAAAAGAGAGAAGGGAAACGTCGTGAGAAAGTCGATGAGTTCGAGCCGCGTTGGAGGGTATCAACCGGGCGGAATAAGGAGCGCGGGGAGCAAAATGAGCGACAGCGGGAGGACGGAGATTGTGACGTTGGCGTCTGGGCCACACGACGTGTGCGACTATGTACAGGTGCGAGTCGGAATCAATCGATTGCTTGCCCGCTATTATGAATTATGATTACAGGCTCTGCTTGGCCACTGCTCGTGCTTACGCTGCTGGCAATGGCTGTGGCACCTCCATAGTCCAAGCTTCGAAATTGCTGCTCCAAAACGCCTGCTGGGTGCCGCAGTAACCAGCGGGGTCGCCTCTAAAAACAGCTGTAAACAACAATTTGGAACAGCTGGAGCGTCACTGAGAAGCCACTGATGGCGCTGGGAGGGCCGGGCCGTGGCCAATTAGAGGCGGCCCTGCTTTTTCGCAGGACACCACTATGAGCTTTGTGGTTAGTGCCGCTAACGCTAAATGGGCTGGTGGCTATTTTTGTAGCTGATTGGGGATCCACGAGCATGATAGCCCGGATCCCTCTGCCTTGATTTGTATTGTTTTTGTTTTCGTTTTTGTTGTTTTTCTCAAATCGAAGTTGAAGTTGGCCTAATGGGATGACGAGGACGATTACAAAGATCTTGACGCCATGAGGATTGTTGATTTTAGCCGCTAGATTGCGAGATTGCAGCAGATTATCTTTTGTATCGCTTGGCTGCGTAGATCAATGCCATAAGATTGACTCTAACAGACAAACTCTCGAGGGGAGACAATGGATTTCCATAGTATGAATGACGCTACCACTAAAATAAAAAAGATCAACAATACTATTGCATTGGACAATTAAATGTACCGCCAATAGGTTCAATTAAAAAGCGGGGTCTGAAATTTTATTGCCCTGAGGGGGCTTAATAACGCTGTGAAGGTACTAAAAGACGTACTCAATACATGACATGTTGACAACCAAACCGAGCAGAGCGCCTCAACCGATCTGAGCCTCATGAAGTGCCGAATTGTTTAGTAGAGCCAATTCTATTGTTAAGCAAGAATATTAGTTAAAAAAAAAAAAAAAAAAAAAGTACAGCTTTAATAGAAAAGCATGGTATATCTGGTGATTTGGCCCCATGCTTGCGCCATCTAAATAACTCTATGGCTCTTTTGGCACAATAGTGTAACCTCTTCTCTATTGCTCTCGACTATTTTATATGTACGAATGCTTGCCCCTAACACCCGTTAGTTGCGCCCTAATATAAAGGAAAATGGCCGATGTGGCTTTTCGACTAAGCAGTATTTTAACGCAAGACTGGGCTTTAATATGGCTTTAGGGAGGGTTAAAAATGCTGCAAATATGCAGCGGGCTGACTTTATGCACTATGAATAGTGTAGATAACTCTTACGTCGGAATAACTGAGAAAAGAAAGGGGAAAAAAAAGACTAACATTAAATATAGAACTTTCATAATAAATAAATATAACTATATAATACAAGCAGGCAAAAGAAAAAAGATAACCTTATGACGCTTATATAAAAACCTGTATATATTAAACATGGCAGTAATAAACTTCTATTCATTTTGTAAAAACAACTTAAGAATTCGATTTGCAATAGCTAGCTAAACTATTATTTAGTCCAAATATTATTATCTCACAATATAACAGCTTTCCTCATCGCCTTCAGTCTCAGCAACGATATATTCTAAGCTCCAGCATAAACACACTCAAATCCTACGTGCAACAACTGCAGAGCGCAACCACTTGCCATCAATCATCTGACAAGCTCATGTTTCTCAACTACAAGTCCATTTTTTCTTCCCGGCAATATATGTAAATGTAATGATTGCATTTCCTGCTGTTTTAACGTCAGTAACCTCTCATTGCCCCTCCTCCAACCTCTCATCTCCCCCATATCCACATTCACATTCGTATAAGAGCTCCAACCCCCCGGCACAAGTGATCGTGCCAGATAGTCACAAGATGTAATCGGACTCTCCACACACACTCTCCCTCGTTATCTCTTCATTCTTTCTCCGTACCAGTCTCTCGATTGTGTGTCTCTCCCCCAAACTCAATCCCCTCATACATACATGCACCAAAAAAAGAACCACCCCCGGATCCTCCGCTCCTCTCATCTTCTCATCCCTCATCAAATCTCACCTTGAACAAGGTCAAATGTCACAAAATCCCATCATTTCTCATCAGTAAGCGCCCTCTCTCTCTCTCACCATTTTCTCACCGAAGCACCCGCACCATCTTATTCCTCGCCTCTACCTCACAGCCTCTCTTCACAGCCCGCACACACACACACACACACCCCATTCTCACCGTGAACATGCATTGCATTGCATACCAAGGTCCAGCTGATCATCCTCCCCCCCGGAACCCACAGCGATAACCCCATGTCCGCAGCCAATAAAACGCGCAAGTGTGCGATCAAGTTCCGATGACAGATCACGTCTTGCGAAAATCGTATGTGCGCAAATCATGACCGCATGCATGCAAGTCTCAGTTGAGCTACTGGCACTACTTGGGTGCTACTGCTTATCGGCCTGCCTTACGTATGGATCAAAGACGCTGATTTTATCTCCATGGTGGCGATAACCTTTCGGCGCTCAATCTCTGATGGGTAGAATTATCTGCCAACAATAGCATCTCAATCCGATATGGTGTAGTGGCTAACATCGCTCGCTCTCAACTTCCAGTTGAAGTACCGAGCAGCCCTGGGTTCGATTCCCAGTATCGGAGAGTTGATTTCCCTTTTTAGTGCTTTCACAAGCAAACTTTCAATTCACAGTCTGCGACGGTCTTTTTTTTTTTTNAGAAGAGTCAATTCATGGTAGATAAATAAGCATAGCACATAAAACAGTACCATTAATCAAAATACCGCCAACTCCATCCAAACCGTGCCTCCAAGTGGTATATATATGAGTGCAATGAACAAAAATAAACAAAAAGCGCACCTCCATCCATGTATTATTATGCCTTCCTTCCACCGGATGTCCCAGCTCACGATGGTCAGTCAATAATGAAGAATGTGAAAACAAATCAAAAAAAAAAAGACAAAGAACCTCCCTCCCTCCTAAATATGCGTTAAAATAGCAATCGAGCCGCCAAACGCCTTCTTTCAGAATGCCATACCAAGTAGCAAAGAGAGCAAATGTAGAAATCAAAAGAACCTCCTAACCGAAACATGAATGAGAAGAAGAAGAAAAAGAAAAGAAAATTCAGACCTCCTTTAAACGCCAACCTTCAATGCATGATGGATGATGGTTGATTAGTTATATGCAGGATGAAAGGGATGATGATGCTTCGTCTTGTTACTCGTTGTCTGGGAGCACGAAGCGCACCCTCTTCTTTGGCTTTGCAGCCGTGATGTCTACACCGCCGTCGCTCATCAACTCCTCTTCAGTCTCCTCTTCGATGGACCACACGTCGGGACTGGGTTCCCTCCATAGGTGGTTCTCTCGCACACGAGCAGAAAGGCTCCGGGTCTGTAGGCGGGGAGATGCCCGGTTGTTTGTCCTGCCTCTGCCCCTGCTGCTGGTGGGTGCCGGGAAGGAGTTTGGCGAGAGCAGGGCATTGGCAGTGAGGCCAAAGACGGGGGTCTTGGCTCTGAAGCGAAGGCCCTCAATGGCAAGATCGCGCAGTGGGGAAAGCATGGACGAGGGAGATGCAGGGGAGAAGCGAATGTATTCCTCTTCGTCGTCGTCGTCGGTGGTGAGGGCATCCGAGTCGGACTCTGGGGTGGCCGGGCGATTGCTGTCGGGCTTGCGAAGGCCCTCGAGAGAAGAAGGGCTGACGCTGCGAACAGCTTCGCGAGGCTGGCTGGCGTCTTCGATACCAGCATCAAAGTCCATCATGTCGGCATCCAAGTCCAAGTCCATCATCATCTCATCATCCTCATCCTCGGGGGGGATGGGAGTGAGGAAGTAGGTGAGAGGATTGTCATCAATGTCCTCCAGCAGCGGTCGAGGCTCAATGCTAGATCGCTTCTTGATGGACATGTTTGTTGGAGTCAAGCGGATCTGGGTTGGTGGCCAGGATTCTCGACGCGAGGAGAAGACGGATTCCATGGGCATTTCTGGAAAACCGGATCTGTCTGGGGGGAAGATGCAGAGTTGACAGAAGCGGGATATGCCGGGGTTTTAAATAGGGCTCTAGGCAGGCAGAACCAGCACTAGGTCAGGTAGATAGGACTTTTTGTTGATGCCTTCACGCTGCAACCTTATTGGGTGACTCAGACGGTGGGTGAAATTATGAGCAAGCCTCTTGGGATAAGCCCTTAAATATTCACGTGTGATTGAAGCGATAATAAAAAATGACAGAAACTGGGGAAAAACGAGGGATAGATGTCAGTGGCTGGGGCGGCGCCGCCGACGGGTATGGTGAACAGCCACGGAGCGCAAAGAGCTGAAATCCTTCACGATGGACCAACGAACGATGGTCCAGAATATCAAAAGAAGCCTCAAGGGATGATAGCCAAGTAAGGGAGTGAGCCTGGAGGTGAGGCAGCGAGATCAGCCGCAGACTATATATGCAATGCAGGCAGCGGGTATGCCGACTGGACGAGGTGAGCGACTGAGATATCCAAGCCGGGACTAAAACGTCACCAATGCATCTCATAGTCGCTCATAGTGCCGGTGGACCAGGGTGGTGGGTGTGGCCTTGTGAGGCCCAGAGCCCGTTCACGGTGGTCATCAGCAGGCTGTAGATGAGAAGAGCTGCGCCCACGTGAAGGCGGCCTATGAAGGAGGGATGTGTCTGGGGCTCTGGTCCACAGTTGGTGTGCTGCCCTATCACATCTCACAAAAAGCCGTCAACACACGATGTCGAACGCTGCTCGCCCGGGTCGAGTCATGAGAGACGAATCAAGGGCAGCAGCAGCGGCGGGCTGAAAAGGCGGCGTGCCTCTGCTTGGCTGTTGGTGGTGTGAGAAGAGGCAATATTTGCCGCATGAGGCATGTAGCTGTCGAGCGATTCGCAGCCATGGAGAGAAGAAACGGTGTGGCCCGAGCTACGCATTCCACGATGGCGCAGAGTCGAGTCGAAAAGAGGTTGGCCGGGCTAGAAGGCGGCGAATGAGCGGCCCGTGTTGGACGAAACAAAGAGAGACGCGGGGACGACAGAAAGAGGCTGCGCGGGGCTGTCAAAAGCAGAGCGTCTCGTAAGCTGAGACTAGGGCGCACCACCAGGGAAGCCATATGACTCTTTTCGCGAAGATGATGCTATCAAGACCGTCCACTTACATGCCGTGGATACATGTGCGGTGGGGTTTTGGAGCCCCAGGTCATGCCCTCCCGAAAGCCGAGCGTGAAATTCCATCTGCATGATTTGCATTTCATCACTCCGATCGACCTTTTCTCTACTGGATCGGCGACACTTGGCCAGGGGGGGGATGCTGGCCTGGGCAAACACGCTGCATGCTGCTAATAGACGAGGAGAGGAAAGAAAACATGCCCCTCTCGGCGATGCATGGTTCCTTGCATGATGCACTCCCGGGAAGGGTGGGCTGCCGCACTCAGATCACGGAGGCAGCGTACCTGTTTGCTTCTTCTTTGTGCGCAGATGCCGCCGTGTCGATCAAGACGGTGATCGTCCAGCAGAATACACGGATAAGAGGGAAGAAGGGAGGATAAAAATGGAAACTTCCGCTGATTATCTCTGAGCGACAGCCGTGCCGCGCGGGAGCTTCGGCCGGGCCCAGAGGTGGTGCTCGTAATCGTTTAACTCGGTGTGGTTTGATGCTCCTACAACCTGCAATAGCATCATACAATGGATGGATGTATTATTAGAAGGACTTCCATTTACGGCCACCATACCACGCCATTGCCATATCGTACCGTACCGTACCGCACCGCATCATACCAGAAGGTCGCCATAGACTAACACGCTTTTGCGCCATGAGCGAGCTACTGCTGCTAGATCCAGCACCATGATCAGCCATTTCGAGTGGTGGGGTCGGCTGATTTGCCCCAAGCCTCTCTGCCGCATTCGTTCGCGCGAACGAATGCGGCCGTTTCGAGCTGAAGGAAGCTGGCGTCGATGGATCCAAACGTTATCGAACGCCCCGTTCAGCTCGATAATCAATAACAACTTCTAGTGCGGGCAAATAGACGAGTCATTCACAGAAGCTGCTAAATGGAATGGAGGAGCAGTTTATTGCAAAGATAAAGACGAGCTGCCACACCCCGATATACAGCAAGTTGCCCGGCTTCTCTGGCATGCAACTCTCTTCCTCATCTTCTCTTCCCACTTATCGCGATACTACGTATTGATTTACAGACCGCCGGAGATGACCCAAAAAACCCTCCGACTCTCATGAGACCGATGTACTACTAAATGTCGCCATTGTGGTTCTACCCGGTAGTTAGAAAAAAATGTGACTTGGTGCCCCTGCCGAGCACAGAAATTCACTCAACCGACGGAAGGGAGAGAAGAAAATACCCTGTACGTCATAGAAGCTGGGCAAAGAGACAAACACCCTTTTGTATCTGAGTGGTTCTTTAATATCCAGCATGGACTTACGGTGAGCATGACCAAGACAGCGCCGAGCTATAAACCACTTCATGGTCATGCCAGCAACTTCAACTAGAGTGGTGGCTCCAGAACAATACTGAGACATGTCTACCACCTCCCTCATTCATTCGCCAGCTTTGTTCTCATTGTCTCTACTGTACTTGTCCATCTTTTTTTTTTCAATGCGCCAAGAAACCCCATCAAGCAAGTCGCAGGACCCAGGCACCTGATCGGCTCGTTTGATTTTTTTTTTCTCTCCCCCTCTCCTCTCTTCTTGTCTCTTAAAAACCAACGACCCCTGCTCGAATCCCGGCGCTTGCTGCGGCACCAGCCATTCGAGGGACAATGGATGACGCCATGTCGGCTTGATCGGAGACCCTGAGGCGGGGGAAGCAGAGCTTGGGTTGCTGCAGGGTCGCAATTGAGCTCTTGCATATTCTCCGTGACCCCGACATTCGTCCTGCGACGTGCGGCAAATGCCGATTCTCATGGTCGTTGGTGATTGCGCGCGTGCATTTAGACTTGCCTACTAATTAATGTTGGTATATGCTTATTTGTGTATGCACCTGTACCAGTATCGAGAAATGCATCGCTTGGAGCGCCAAATCTTAAAACCCAGTATGTAAAGAGACGCTAATAGTATTAAAGGAGTTGTCTTGCCATTATCTACTGTTGAAGCTTCACTTCACCTCTTGTCAAGGCAAGACGACTGAGCTTGCGCGGCGATTGCGTATCCCGCCATCCCGCCATGTTCATATTTGGGAAAGCCTTTACCCTGGCGATGGCAAGATGAAGAGCCTCGACCGCTATGCGACCCAAGCTCCCGCCTCTCTGCACAACCACCAACAGAGCATCTGCCTATATCGCGGTCCCTATCGTGTATGACCTAAGCTACTGCTTGTGCTACGTAATACACGCTTCCGTCACCTCCTCCGCGCCACGTGTATTTTCCGCGCAGTCGGCTTCAGATGTGCCGGATGGATGAGCAGAAGCCACCAAAGCTCTTGGCGCGGGCTCGTCTAGGCGCAAAAAGAGCTCGAGCTGGCCGTCTAGCCTATGGAGATTCCCAATAGCCTATCAGCGTGCAGAGACGCCGCACGGAATACCGTAGGTCTTTGCCTTGGCGTAGCACAGCGTGTTGCCAATTGAAGATAACAGGCCAAGACGAGAAAAAAAAAAAAAAAAAAAAAAACCTGGCGTGCACTATGGGACGGCGTTATCTCTCTCTGCGGTCGTACGGGCGCTCGATGCCGACACGGCAGAGCCAGTCAGAGTCAGCCGTCTGCGCCAAGGCCATGCATGTCTCTCTGCAAAAGCCACCCTTGTCTCCTGGTCCCTTGGCTGGCATTTTGCTCGGCCCGCACGGAATTATAGGCTGTGACGACGTCGACTACACACGCTTTTGGTTGAGCTGCTTCCGTGCTCAAAGTCAAAGTACGTCCGCCGGATCCCCGGATTAGCAAGCATCGGGTTCGCTTCCCGTAGAAGAGAAACAAGAATTTTCTAAGCCAAGTCATTATATATGGCCCAGTGCACCGCATCGTAGCTTAGCAACCCAACAGCGCTTCCCCCCTCCTCTCCTAGTTTCCCAATTTCTTATCAAACGCCTTTTGTGGCCGTCCCTCGTGGTGGATTCTCGCTCTTCTACCCGCTTCTCTCGACTGCCCTTTTCGGGTTCCTAATAGAGTCCGCGTCTGCAAGCATCTCGCCTCCCCCACGTGACGAATAGTATCGCTCCGATTGATTCCCGGATTCATCCATTTCCAAGGGTTTGAAAAAAAAAAAAAAAGAGAGTCACCTGGATAAGAGCTTAAAAGAGGCTCGGTGCCCGCCCATTGGTGCCACCGTCGCCCTTTTTGCCCTGTTCCTTTTTTTTATATGGTAAACGCGAGATTTGCAGCCAGCCGTCGTGCGTTGCGGTCGTCCATCATGTTCCGGTCAATCGTTGGCGGTTGTCTGCTATTCTGCGCCTTGATTGCCTGGAGCAGCACTCTCTTCTACTTACAGGGCGATTCTCTGGCGGCCTGGTTCGACTCGGCCGGCAGCCGGGACGCAGGAATCATGTCCTACGATAAGCAGCCAGAGCTGGATTATGAGCCCACGCGCGTGGACGTCACCACTCTCACTCCTCGGATGCCGCTGAGAATCGTCACTTTCAACGTCCGATATGCCACGTCAAGCCCGGTCAGAGGCGAGAAGCCGTGGAACGAGCGAGGACCCAAGCTCCTCAATGAGCTGAATTTCATCACAGCCGGCCATGAAAACGCTTTCCTCTGCTTCCAGGAAGTCCTGTACGATCAGCTCCAGGATATCCAGGCTAGCCTAGGCCCCTCGTGGGCCTCCATCGGCAGGGGTCGTGATGACGGCAAGAAAAAGGGCGAGTTCTCCCCTGTCTTTTACCGCTCCGACGTCTGGCGGCTCGAGCGTTCGCAGACACGCTGGCTGAGCGACACTCCCGAGAAGCCTTCATATGGCTGGGGCGCCAGTCACAGAAGAATTGTCGTCATGGGCGAGTTCTCCCACAAAGTCACCGGCACAAAGGTCGTCGTCATGAGCACGCACTTTGACTACCAGATCAAAAAGGCCCGCAAGCACAGCGCCGAGCATCTCTTGCAGTACGCCCGGGAATGGAGCCAGGGCAACGACACCTCGGCCGTGCTCATTGGCGGCGACTTTAACAGCACGCCGGATGACGTGGCCTACAAGCTCATGACGGAGCCAGGATCTGGCATGCACGACATATCGGATTTGCTCCCCGAGGAGAAACACCATGGAAACCGCCTGACTTACACCAGCTTCGGCGAGCCCAATGAGTGGCCGCAGCGAATTGACTTTCTTTTCATCCAGGAGCCAGTTACCGCAGTTGTCAAGACTTTCAGCGTGCTGGAAAATGTCTTTGACGACCGGATCCGAGTGTCAGATCATAGACCCGTTGTATCGGATCTGGAAATTGTTGTCGACCCCTCAGCGTGAAAGATGGACCAAGGAAAAGAAAAAAAAAAGATTTGAATTGTGATGTTTTTTGATGACTCAACGTCTCGTTATTTTGTTTTAACAGCATATGCGGAATCTCGGAGAAATTTTAACAAAGATACCCGGAGCGTGCTTTTTGAGAGGCATAGTCTCCAAGCAAAGGAGTTACGAGCTATATACCCTCGAGCAATGTTTATAATCAACAAAAAATCAAAAAAAAAAAGTCATTACTACGACCATCATCCAACAAGACAGAAGGCCAGACAATTGCCGTGAAAGCATCCGGCTGCATATGAGCCTTGGGCTTGTGTCCCGAGCTATGCAAGCTACAGAGAGAATTACGAGGCAAGACTATCACCTCGACAATGTATAGACTCGGATTGCTCGCGCCTGCGATTGGCAGCTTACCTGCTTCCACATCTCCATCTCTCAGCATAATCAATCACTACCACCACGCCGTCTCGCGCAGCCGTCGCACTCACGCGCGTCGCGTTCACATGTCAAATGGAGAAAAGGGCTGGATACAGCATGCAGCGCATGAACGGCCGTGGTAGGCATTCTGCAGATTTCAAATAGTTTATATGGAACCCTGGAACTTGCATCATGCACGCGTGGCTTTGCAGAAGAGGCGGTGAAGAGTGAAGCTGCTGCTTGGATTTGTTGTTCTTATCCTTTGGATGGATGCCTTCTCTAGGATGCAGGAGAATTTGTTTGGATGATGGAAGTAGATATATCGTAAATAGGATATGATGAATATGTAACGACCTCTTTTATCATCTGTACTTGTTCTATACGCAGCGTTGACCTATCTGAGGGTTATTCCTACGTGCCCTGCACGCGATATTTGATTCCTGGCGTATTATTGCCTGATGGTAGGGATAAATAACACGTCATGAATCCTCATATAGAACCCTTTCCTGTGAGAAATGCAGTATAGTACAGTAGGGTCGTATGCTTGAATCTCCGAGACGACGTTGACGTGTCACGAATGTCGGAGCCGAGTTTCTGAGAAACTCTACAGGCCGCATAGTATCTTGGCAAGAACGACCAGGACCAGGACCATTAGGAAAAATTCATGAATATGCCCCAGCCTGAGATTTCCCCTTTTCATTGGCGATCGGTGTTTCTATAATGGAGTTGAAGCCAAGGCGTCCTCGAGTTACATGCACACTTGTAAGGCTTACTACAGATAGGATTACAAATGTATAATACCCGTCCTCCCTACATATGAGCTGACTGACCGGCAGCATGTAGTAGTATATGTAATACATTTTTCGGGAAATGAGAGCTGGTGCACAAAAAATATCACAGTCTGAGGGCAGTCTTACCTCTTATGCGTATAAGCTGCAAAAGTGAAGAGCTATTCTCAAACTCAACACATACGCAGTATTACGCGGGATGATACCACAGGGAATCTTACATACAGGACGTATATAAGCTCGAAAAAAGGTCTAGTGAATCTCATGCACGGACGACATCTTCCGGCCCCCAAAACATCTACTACCAGACATTACTAAATGTCAATAGAATGACGCCGTGCATATATCATTCGCTGTAGTCTGAAACAAGAAGGGAAAAAAGTACATACCTGCTTTTCCTTGTCCGAGAGAAATAACCCCACTTTCGCTCTCTCTGATATCACCGATGAAAAACAGGAAAGGCGTCCATGGATGAATTTACAATTTCTTCTTCTTTGTTACTGTTATGTTCACTCACGTAACCTGGCTGGCTGGCGATCTTTTAATGCTGTACGCCCGCTGCTTACTGTGAGACAGCGTCAAAGTTGGGAAAACTGCAGGCTCGTGGTGCCGCTGTTACGACTGCCACGCATCTCACTTACACATGAAAAAAAAAAAAAAAAAAAAAAAAAAATCTTGGAATATATTCATGTGTAACCTTCGTAAAATTTGCTACGGCCGCAGGGGGGTTCCGTCTTCTCATGGAGCAAGATGAACATGTAGATCAAGCTATACCGTAGCTCATATTCGGTAACGGTATAAATGATGTACTATCTGTAGAGGCAAATAAGGGGTGGATAACAAGATTGTGTTGACTGCCGCGGCTGCCGCCAATCAAAAGAGAGATACTTACCGGCCTTGACAGTCTTTTGGATCACGAGATTCCAGAGTGCACCACGAGGTAGCGGGATATAGTAATAGTACTACGCTCAACGTGTCGGAGAAAAGACAACCCTTGTGGCAGAACCCAAGCGATAACTGTAACCCGCATCATATCATATGGCTTGTGGAGGCAGCAGCTAGCTACAATACACAGTTAGAGTGGAGTAAATGCCTCGCGTGGCCAAGTTAGATGTAACCCTGTTGCATTCCTTTGAAAGCATATTTTTGTGAAGAAAAAAAAAATCATCACCGAGATGTTTGTTGTTTGCAACGAGCGCCCATGACATATCTAGTAGTTAGGCTTGCCAGCTTGTGAACCCACAAATGGGTATGAGCCGGGCGTATCAGCACTGGCTGGATAGATGTGCGCAACGACTGATATCTAGAGAGCATAACACTTTGCTTCCATGCGCCAAGCTGAATGGAGGCCAGAGCTGCTGTCAGTATCCTATCCAACGGTGTTGGTATCGCGGATGGTGTGAGGCAGTACGAGCAAGGCCGGAAGCCGGGACATAAAAGTCGGGGGCCGGGAGTGGATCCATGGCCGGACTGTCATATACGAGCACGGAGTATGGTATGCGTGCAGCACCTATTATAGGATCAGGATCGCCATAGGCAGACTCAACTAGCAGAAGGAGAGACTCCATAGCATTCGGAGGACCACTTTGCAGCCGCAGCCCGGCTGTGAGCTGCGGGACAGTCCTACATGGTCCATGTAGGACTTGCCGGCAGCCTGGGATGTGGACACGGATACCTAGCATTGTGGACAAGGGCGTGTGCAGACAGTTGATCATGCAACTTGCTAGACGCTATAACAGAATACTGTGGTAGCAAGTAATAGTAATACTAGTGTCCATATAACGGAAATCTCTTGAGTCATCGGCTGAGCAGCGTTTAAAAAAAAAAAAAAAAGATTTCAACTCTTCAAGAATATGACTCGGAAGACAAAACGAGAAAGGGTGTGCTGCTTGCTGCTTAGCCCAGCAACTGCCGACCTATGAGGAGCTGTAAAGCTTGCATGACGGCGAACGGCGACGATTGGGCCTCAATGGCAAATGGGGGGCCGGTGTGAGCTGGCATCAACGGAACATCCGCATCCACATGCGCCCCTCCTCCTGCAACCAGGCAGAGCAGGCCCCCGGACGCTTCTCTCCACGTCTTTACATCAGCTTTTGGAGACGACATCTCGGCCGTCGCATCGTGAGAAATAGACGCAAGACGAAACGGTATGGTTGAAAGCTTCTTTTTTCTTCTTCTTCTTCTCTCCCCATTCCCACCGCTCAACGAGCGCTATAAGAGGCAAAGATGGAGAATTATTCTTTTGCTCGCCGCCCTTTTGCAGTTGATACCCAACAAAGGCCTAAGAAGAATTTTCCGCCAAGTTGGGCAGGGAAAGGAGGAAAAAAAGGGAAGTAGCGTCTGTAGCAATAGGAGCTTGGTGGTGGTAGTAAGTCGTCGCAATAGCAATAGAGGATGTTGTTGAGGCTGGGAGGTGTACGTGTAATATCCGGACCCCCGTATTGTGGTCTGCGCTTCTTCGCCATTGCTACCAATTGGCGTGTCATTAGTCCCATCGAGGCTGGCACCAGCCAGACCGTATACTGTAAGAATGGAAAGAATTTTTTTGTTCAATCTGTCCGGGGAAAAGACAGCTGGCAGTTCAACTAGACGCTGCTGTCCAACGTTGAGCTGTCCAGGTATCCACGGTGGCAATGTTTAAGATAACATACCAAACGCACAAAAGCACAGTTTCAGCCAGACACCGTGTTTCACAATTCGCACATCAAGACATCAAGAACAGAAGGCGATCCAAGGTGGCGGGGCGCCAGCAACGGGCAGAGACGAGCCGCGCAGCCTGGCCCCGTCGAATCTCCACAGTTGGGCGTGAGTGCTTTTTTCGTCTTCCACTCTGGCCATCCCATTTGGTAGCGGCTCTACCCGGAGCTCTCTGGCACTAGATTTTGGTGTTTCCACACGTCCTGAAGTCGGATATAGCAGAGAAATGGAAATGGAAGGTTTTTCGCTGCTTAGCTTGTCATCTCACCATGTCTCTTCTAATCCTTGTCCGAGCCGAGGGATTGGTGTTGGGAGCACTGGTGACGTCGTTCCCAGCTGCACGGAGCAAAAATTTGTCGTCGTTGGGCCCGTCTAGGCATGATTCCAACGCTGCGGTAGTCGTCACCGTCGGCGGCCAGGTTTAGAGACTGCATTGCCGCGTGCAGGTCTCCATCCGTCATTGAGAAAAGGTAGGCGAGATGGGATATTTCCATCTAGAGGGTGAAGAGTGCTGCTGTAGAGGGCGACTAAGAGGACCACCCCCCTTCTTTCGATCAAAGTATGAAGATCCCTGTTCGAACCTCTTTTCTTCCCACCGCATTGCATCGTCCCGCATTGCTATCTTTGGCGAGCGCTTGCTGCGACAGACAATCGTGCTCGCAGCGCCCCGTACAGTATATTCGTATATGTTGCTTTCTCTCATCTTATGCTTCGTAAGAGTAGTCGTAGTAGCAGATGCCCTCCTGACCCTCGTCAAACCCTGCGCGAGACTCGCGATCCTCGCAACTCGCCCGGCTTCCCATTCGCCAGCGTCCATCGTCGTGCTCGAGGCAAGAAAAGGTGGTGCGGCACCTCCGCCCTCGGCCACTCGTTGAGACGGGGCTAAGCAGCAACTGGAGGGTCAGGCGGTGCCAGCTGCCGATGCACTGTGCAGCGCTGCAGGCCTGAGACTGGCCCACGACCCACGAAGAAAAGGCGAGACGGCGATTTGAGCTGCGTGTATCGCGTTGTGGTAGCTCAAACGAAGGAAGCACCGGCTTTCTGGATGGTGGAGAGAGGACTGACACCCGTCCATTCGGGAGACATCCATGGCTGAGCCTTAGTCCGTAATGAGCAGAGATTGATTCTGTAGCACAATACAGTATGATGCCTCTTGCAACAATAGCATGAGCATGAGTTTGACCGTCTGCAAGATTTGTGAGAGTACTGTACATCAGCAGAAGCCACCGTCAGTGATCTTACATACATGCCTTCGCATGAGGTAGCATCTCCTCTGCAGCCTGCAGGCAGCATCCAGCCGCGCGATATTGGTGTCTCGTCGAGCGCCGTAAACACACCACCATCTGCCCAGTGCACCTGGATTTGCAAGCAATAGTCGCCTCGCCCATCTTGATAGTCTGTTGCCCATTCTTTCTCTTCATTTTTCATCTCCCTTTCCTCCCGCACAGACGAGCACCCAGAGACTGGCCAGCTCTCGCTCCTCTCGCTGCCCAAGCTCAAGCCCGGGCGCGCTCCCTTGCCATCAGCTGCTGCCAGCATCCGTGCAGTCATCATCAAACCACTGCGCGCTGGCACAGCACAGTACCGGGCTGTCCTTTGGCGCACAGCCGGCCGACAGACAGCGCATAAACCCCCCTAGAGCACGCCCCCTCCGCCCCTCCAAACCCCTCCCTAGCGCACCCCCTCCCCCCGCTCCATGCCACACAACCTGAACCTTCGCACCCCTCAATTCCCGCCCTCGTAGCGCTGCTCTGGCTGCCCTGCACACACTTCTGGCCATTGGATCAGCGACAACGGGCGATTAAAACCTCGCTGCTGCGCTGTCAGTTGGGTCTGCGTCCTGTCAACAAAGCGCCGTCCTCCAGTCATTTTCTGCTGCAGCTGCAGGCGGGAGAAGAATAAATTTTTTTTGCTACCTGGTGTCATCCTTTATTATCTTACGCTGCCCGTCACTCTGAGAGGAGGGGCTCATCTCATACTCATACTCATTCACACCACAACTCAACTCTCACTCATCCGCACTCCCGCCGGACTCTGCTTCATCCCATACAGCGTCCGCCAGAACTCAGACTTCACCGCATTGCCAGTATCCACGTTTTTGCTCTAGCCGCTGATCCGACACGAGACCGGTTGTACGCCCGACTGAACTAGTAGTCGCTGCCTAATAGACGGCCGCTCTTAACGGCGACTCAAAACGACCCAGATTCCCCGCCCTGGCGGCATCTCTTTCTACTTATAACCACCAGGCGATTTTTTGCCATTTATTAACCTGCTCCCTTCCGGGGCGATTCAACCTTCCATCTAGACATCATGTTTAAGAAGTCGATGGTAGGCTACGTCGAGGACATTGACGAGGACATCAGCAGCACCATTGGCGTTGAGGGCACTCGACGATACGCCGTATCCGAGTACGCCAAATCTGAGGCGCCGAGAAGTCCTGAGCGATCCAACACCAGCAAGCCCCGTGGCGACAGAGGCTACTCAGACTCCGAGACTGACGAGTCCGACTCCAGCCTCAGCAGCGTCACTGACTCTGAAGACGACACACGCGCACCTGTTAAGAGCCAGAAGATGAGGCCTGTTGCTGCTGACACTCGACGCCCAATGCACACAGACCGGGAGCCTCGCCGCGATCCTCGGGACCTTCGAGACCCTCGCGGTCCCCGAGAGGCCAGAGACCGCCCGAGGATGGAGAGGAAGCCCAGAGAGGATGACGACCAGAGGAGGATGAGGCCCGAGCCCAAAGACAGAGACCCCAGAGCCCCACGAGAGCCCAGAGGCCCCAAGAAGACTCGGCCTGGCCCTCCCAAGCACGCCGCTTCCCAGCCTGTTGTCAACCAGAATGGCTATCGACGAGGACAGTTTGAGGACCCGGCTGCTTACGGAATCCAACAGCCTGCTGCCTCCGGGCAGCGACCTCGAGCCCATACTCGTCCTGCAAGCTACTACGCAGGCCAGCCACCCCCACCGCCTCCTCCTCTGGATATGGGCTGGAATGGGCCTCACCCTCCGCCATTCGGCATGCCAGGCTTTCAGCCTCCGCCTCACATGTTTTCTCCTCTTGGCCCTCCTGGGGGCCCTCCTGGGGGCCCTCCAATGCACCCTGGCATGCCACCTCAGTCTCCCATGGGCATGCCACCACCGGGATACTTCCCTTTTGAGGGCCCAATGGGGCCACCTGGGCCACACGGTCCGCCTGGGCCGCCTCCTCCGGGCGAGCAGCTAAGGCATCGCTTTGATGGACGCCCCTCTTCTGCCATCGGCTTTGGCTCTCCTCCAGAGGCCTTAGAATACTTTCCCGAGGAATTCGATGCTTATGGCGAAGAGCCGGCCCAGAAAGTTGCCCGCCGTCCCTCGCGGCCCAAGAAGCCGGCGATGCCAGAAGAGCGCAAGAAGATGCCTCATCCGGAATTTGCTCCAAAGCGTACCCAGTCGGCAAGGCCAACTGCAGGCGCCTACAAACCGCCCATGACACCGCGCGAGCCCTTGCGCGAGCAGCCGCGAGAACATCAGCCGCGAGAACACCTGCGGGAGCAAGCACGGGAGCACATCCGTGATCAGGTACGTGAGCGCCCACAGTCGCGACCAGCTCAGCAGCGACCACCGCCGGCCCACCGAAGGTCAGTTGGCTTTGTAGACACGCATGCCTTTGATGATGACGAGTACTTGGGCGGCGAGGTGGACCTCTACCAAGAAGTCTCTCCCAACCAGCGCCGTACTGCCCTTGCTCGGCCTCGACGCAGCCACTCTGTCGCCTATGATCAAAACGGATATGACATTGTTCCCGCTGGCAACCGGGGCCGTCGCGCGTCCATGTACGGACCTGGGCCTCATGATTCTTTTGGCGGTGCCAGCCTTGAGGAGGACAACCGGTACTTTGATGCTCTGCGGTACCAGGAAGATGTCAGCGGAGGCACGCCGATGCCCTTGACTGCTGAGTCGCTACGCAAGGCATCCAAACGTGGAGAGTTGGCCAGCAGCCGATCCACCAGGAGCAGCGGAAGCCACGACGAGAGCGACTACAGGCGAAGTCACACTACTGGCCACACCACTCAATCTTCCGCAGCCCACGATGACTTCACCATCAAGGTTTCTGGGCAAGCAGTCGTCAAGATGCCCGGTGCTCAGATTGAGTGCGACGGAGGCGAAATCACCTTCAGCAGCGGTCGAGGCGGGGCTCCGGGTTCGGGGCCCCCAGGCGCTTCTCGTGCTGGCAGCGATAAGGAGAGCACCATTTACCAGCTTGATGATGCCCGAAGCTCTCGCATGGAGCGCAAGGCACTACCTCATCGCCCTCGCGCAACCAGCCAGTCCGATGTCCACAGCCGCATCTATGCTCCGCTGCGTGGCCCATATGAGCATGCCCCGTATGAGCATATCCCATTTGAACCCTATGACTCGTATGAACGCATTACTTATGAACATGCACCCTACGATCCATCTCTTGCTGCTCACGATTATTAATGATTACGACCAAAACATCATGTTTGATGAATAAAATAAATTCACGATATAAAATTCACGACTAATGACATGATAAACAAAATATGCAGCCTTCTTCTTTCATCTTTTGTATCGATCTCGATTTGCGGAAGCAAGCGTCTTAACTCCCTTTGGGGGTTGCCTGCTGACGATATTTCTTTTTTGATTTTCAATTTTCGTTTATTTTTTTTACAAATTTTTCTTCTCTTCTCTTCTCTTCTAACTGCCTTCACATCTTGCGCTTGTCTTGGTGGTTCATATACCCTGCCGCCATTCTACGGCGGTAAACCATTCTGATACCCCCAAAAAATAGTTGGCGATGGAAGGATATTGTGTTGAGGTTTCTACTGGGCGGACACGTTGATACATGCGGACGGTATTCTTGGTTTATTTCATCTTATCTCATCTTTTCCTTTCTTTTTCCTTCTTCTTCGTTTACATGCTACTCTTGCTTTGCGAGTCGTGCTGCCTGCAGAGCGTGTCGGTGAGATAATTGAGCTCGATTGGGCGAGCTGAGAGAAGCTGGTCTGACTCCTCTCCCGACCTTGCCGCATGGGAAATGGCGCCATCTTTGAGGAGGGCTGTTTCTGCTGGGCATAATCCATAATCCCGACAATGTCCATCTCCCGCCTTTTGACGGCATTCCCAAGGCTAGCACGATGTGGAAGACGTATTGGATCAAAGTCCTCAATATTTTATTTTTCATTTCTGGTTTTGGGACATATTCAGTCTATTATCTTAGCGGCCCTTTTTGTGTTAAGAGGAGGAAATCATCGAATTATTTGATCTTATTCATGTCTCATCAAATGTTACGAAAGCGATAGAATGTATGAGCAACGGGGGTTCGCACCCCCTTCACTCCCTCTGCCGTATACACGCGGGGCTCTTTTTTTCTTGTTTCTCAACTGGCATTCCAATCTGTCTCCCCGTGCTCCTTTCTCAACTCTTCCCCCCTTCTTCTCCTTTCATCCTTCGAAAGAGAGAAGATTGCTGTGATTGGCGACCACGTGCATTCGAGCCGGACTCAATACCCCTCACGGCTTACCCTTGTGGGCTAGCACGCATAATGCGAGGAGTACTACATGCATGCATGGCTCGAGGAGGACGTGATATTATGGACTAGATAGGATTGCTTGCTGCAGGGAAAGGGTGTCTTTTTTTCTCTCTTTCTTCTTCTTTTTTGTGCTTACGGAGCGAGGGCGGAGGGGTGTTTGGATAGCAATGCGCCTGCTGGGAGGCATGAAGAGGGATTGATTGATTGGCTTGATGACTTCGTTCATGACATGATGATGAACCAAAAGTGCTTTTTTTACTTATTTCATTTTTGTTGTTTTCTTTTCTTTTCTTTTTCTTTTGAAAGACATGTATTTATGATTTAGCTCTAGCCTTGCTTTCTACTGTCACAATTTAATAGCCTCTGGGGCGTTTCTTTTCAAACTAGCATACCAAAATGTGACCGATTTCTTTGCTGCAAAGTACCGATCCGATGGATACCAAGGCACTTTGATGGAATGGAGCAAATACGCCCAACTCCATCGTAATTTCTGGTCCTCATGCAGGGAGCCGGCCCAGGCGGTGAATCACAAAAGCTGAGAAGCCACCACGTAGGTCCAATGTGGATCAGCGGGTGTTTGTCTCTTGTCTTGCCATGCACGCTATTTTTTTCGACTCGCAAATATGTACTAGCCAACCAATACAGTACTCCATAACAGCACGGAACTTTCTATGTATCCACTGCGGAAAATGAGTAGAAGGTAGGTAGAATTTTGAGTCCATGTTGAATTTCGTGTACTCCGTATAAGCTTCGTCGGGCTGGATGCCGGGCGTCCATCTAGTAACTAGATGGCCTGGATAGATGGGCTTTGAGTTCCGGGCGTGATTGGATGGATCGATCTTGTGGGGCGTTGCTGGGCCAGCGAGCTGTGCTGCTTACTGCACGCTTGATGCTGTCACTAGAGAGCTATTTTTGGTTTACAAGTATTGAGGTATCTAACATTGATGGCGTAACTTCAAGTTATTTGATAACGTGTGAAATTTTAAGAGAAGCCGTTGATGCATTGTTTGACTGAATAGACGTAAACTTTAGAAAGAAAAAAGCATACCCGAATTCACATTTTTTTTTCTCGCCATTCAAAGCAAACAAAGTTAGCGGATTGGCCTGCTGCGGGCGAATCGTCGTCAGCACTGCCAAAAAACTCCACGCCCACCCCAGCCCCCTGGTTTCTGGAGGAACAGCACTGGCTGCAGGATTCTGCCTAACCACTTGCACGCACGCACGCTTTGTTTTCGTTAGCGCTTTTCTGCACTCTTCAACCTCAACTTTTGTTGTTGTTGATAACGTCACGGCATTTTTTCAAGAGTGAGATAGACAAATCTCGTCTTGTTTTCTCAAGCGCATAGCCCAGGCTCTTTTGGAGAGGCTCTCGCTGGCTGACCGACACGACAGCGATTGGCCCATTCGCAGCTTTTCCACGTTTTATTCAATCGGCGAGACATTCCGCATTCCAACACGGCGGCCCAGTAAAGCCTCCATCCATCAATATGGCGCCGGCGCTGGCGAGTGCCGGACAGGCCCTCACCGGCACCCAGACTGTCGATGTTATCGACACCGACACCTTCCCCAGCTCTGCAGATGGCCCTCTCGCCGAGGGAGCCCGCCTCTTTGCTCGACTCGCCAAGCGAACCAACGATCCGTCCAAAGGTGTTCTCGACCCCCACGACATCAACAATGCCGGCTTCTTCTTCCTTTTCGCGCTCATCGGCGTTGCCTTTGTCGTAACGGGCATCTGGTTCTTCTTCTGGGCCAAGAACGGCGGTATCCACTTCAAAGACGACGATTGGGACGACTACAAGTCTACGGTTCTGCGTCGCAAGGGTCCCAATGGAACGATTCTCTCCAATGCCACCCGCTCGACTGATCTGGGCGGTGGAAGTGTCTATAAGCGCTACGACGACCACGAGGATGATGGCCACACTGTAATTACGGAAAGCACTGCTCTGAGCGGCATCACTGCCGGTGCGAGTGACATTTTTGCGCGCGAGAAGCGCAAGAAGAAGAGGGAAGCTCGCGAGGCTGAGCGCAGAAAGCGACGCGGCGAAAAGGGTAAGAGCACCAGCTCAAACGAATTCGAGGGCGTCGTGGATGAAAAGGCAGAGCGAGACGCCAAGAAGTTCCTGCGCAGCTACCGTCACGAAAAGGCCGCCCGCGTTGGTGGAATCAACAAAGAGGCCGAAGGCTCAGAATGGGAAGGATCTACAAACGCGGCTGAATCTTCCGTTGGCGCAACGTCCGAACTGCTTCTTCACCAGGAACCCACGCCTACTTCGGACCCTCCTCCCAAGGCTGAACCCCCCAAGACTAGAAGCGGTGGTATCCGAAAGGTGTACTCGACCGCAGACCGCAGAGAGAACAGGGAATCCGAGAGACTGCGCGCCGAGGCTCGACGACTGCGGGCGGCTGACAAGGTTGCCCAACGAGACTTTGCCTACCAGCGAGCTACCGGCGCGGCAACAGACAGCCAGTTGAGCGAGAGTTTGCTGTCTGGCACGGCTAGTGGCAGTGGTGGCTCGACTACTCTTGGTGAGAGTATCCCTGAGGAGGGCGAGAGTGAAGTCGGCACCAAGAGCTACCACCACCCGATGCCTGAGCTGAGAGAGCAGAGGAGGAGGGAGAGAGAGGAGCGCAGGGCGAGACGAACCAAGAGCGGTTATCGACGTACAAACACTGACGAGAACTCTGAAATTTGAAAGGGAGAGGAGAGTTGTTGATATGATGATGGGATGATGGGATGCCGGGTTTACTTATGGGTTGGCAAATGTGGAATAATTGAATGCTGTTCTTTTTTTTCTCTCTTGAAGACTTGGCTGGTTATTATTATTGGTACTTTTGATGAGGTTTGGGAAGTGGGTGGTATGGATGTCTCTTTTGTCTTTCTTTCTTTTGTTATGCAGACAGACACGGCGGTCACACGTAACGCAACGATGAACGAAGGCTGTGATTTGTGATTTGAGATATATAGTTATTCCCCCCAGTTTTTAAATAAATGACGATTTCACCCCGCTTATATGAACTATTCCTTTGCTGCCCCCCTTCAAGTTTAAAGTGACGCTAGGTAGGTACTCTATGTAAATCTTAATACCTAGGATCCAAGCAGGACTGTACAAAATAAATTGGTGTAAGTTAAGGTATTAGTAGTTACAATATAATCTCCTCCAATCTCTTTGATAACCACATAACGTCCTGGGAATATGCTCCAAAAGCCTGCAAAAGGCCCTCGTGTGCACGGAGGTAATACTGCCTTGCGTTTTGCAATTCGCCATGTTTGGAGCAAATATCTCCAAGGCTCATGAGGCAGTCCAGTCTTAGTTCGACGGCGGTGTTAATTATTGATCCGTCTTCTAGTTCCTGCACTTTCTCAAACCCTCGAAGTGCCCGTTCATACATGGCTTGAGCTTCCTTCAGCCGGTCGTGATAGAAATAGAGGCCTGCCAGATTGTAAACTGTGATAAGGGTTGATTTGCTTTCTGGCCCACATGCTTTCTCGAGTTTTCGAATTGCCCGCATAAACACGGCTTCAGCTTTACTGAACCGGTCTTGGCCGGCAAATATGGCAGCCACAGCATGCAATAGCCCCAGCTCTTCATTTTCTATATGCATGGTATCATAGCATTGTTCTGCATGTTTTAGGAGTCGCCGTTGCTTCGACCACCAAAGCTCGGGCTGTTCTTCGTTCGGGGCATGAAAGCCTACGCAGTGAAACGCCGCTCGAGCTATCTCCTCGCAGGGCTTCTGATCAAGGACATGATAGAACATCCAATATTGGACGATTGAATTCACGCTATAACCGTCAGACTCTGTATGATCCATCGTATAAGGTGTATTGGGTATATCAGCCTGCACAAGTCCGTAATTGCATAAAAGGCCCATTGTAGTATGAAATGTGAGGCTATCTCTTGTTAATTCCCGAAGCCAGTCTGGCTTGTATTCGCCGTCCTGTAGTAACTCATACCACAGGTCGTTACAATCGAAGTATACCCATTGACGGAGTAGAAGGGCTGCATTTGCGTTTTGCTCCTCAATGTGCGCAAGCGAGATATTCCATATCGCGCTCAAGGTTCTAAATGACGATTTCAGGTTTGGATGGGTTTCATCCATTTGTGTCAAAGACTTTTCGTATAGTTGGAGATATTCGGTGCATGATATGGACGCTTGCTTCAAATAAGCTCCCACTGATGCGAGGGCCAGAGGATGTCCACTAAGCTGCCGCGCAAGAAGGACCGCCGATTTGTCTATCTCAAAAGTTGCTTAGTCTGTTGTTCTCAAAGATGACTGAGACTGCTTACCTTGTCTTATATTCTCCCGACAAGACGAAGATGATAAAAGGTCCAGGCTATCTTCAACCTGCTCGAACATTCCAATTTCAATGCAATGCCCCAGTTTACTTAAAAATCGTGGTGCAGTCACGATGACAGCACCATGGTTAGACTCTGGTATGTATTTGCGAATATCAAATGCCCTCTGTGTCGTTGCTTTTCTTGAGTTAATAGAATCCGTGTGGGAAGCGTTCTCTTTATCAATAAGTGAAGTATCCATAGTATCCCTGGTATCCTTAGAGGTATCCTTAGTATCCCTAGTATCCTCAGTATCGAGAATGCTTGGATCTGGAAAAAGATGGTTATCATAAATAATCAGCCAAGAATCGTTCGCAGGCTCATCAAACCACCTTTTGACTGCTATCACGATTTCGGTTTGAATTTTGCTTTGAACCGCATCAGAGATGTAATTCGCTGATGGGTCATAGCTGAAGATCCATGTCGCCAATCCAACGAAGCTTTGGTTAATCGCTGTTTCATCTCTCGCGTTTATCCAAACAATTGCCGAGTAATCTTCACGGTGCCGCTGAGCGTATTCGATGGCTAGCTGGGTCTTGCCTCTACCTTTAGATCCATGAAGGACAACGACACGACGAAGCTGAGCCGTGCCCCTGAGAGCCTTTTGCATTTGTGCAAGCTCCTCTTGCCTAGAAATAAACCTTGGGACCCGATTCTCAGGTAGATAGAATGGAAGCCTGTAAGCGGTTGGTGTATAGTGACTATTAAATGTTCTTGCTTGAAGAGTTAGTTGTATAGCTATTGACCAGCTACGCCACAAGATTATGCTTACCCCTGTTCTGAATCGATGGGTAGATGAAAGAATAACTGCCTAGCATAAGCCGCGGCGGCCGCTGCTGCAAACCCGTCCCAGATGCCGTTCTTATGGGAGTCGCAATAATTGGAAATGCCCCGAATAACCATACAAGGGAAACCGGTAAGTGCTCCCGCGGCCTCCATCTCAAAGCATAGAACTCCGTGCTGCTTCGCCAGGCCATCTCTCTGCTTAGCATCTCTAATCGACAGCTCCCCAGACGCTATATTGCCTCTATGCACAACAATAAAAGCCTCGTCGTCATCCTCACCGACTGGTCTTGGAATTCGTTGCTCTGAACTGCATCCTCCTTTCTCGCAAGACATTCCCTGTTGCTGATGATCGTAATCCGGCAGATACAGATGGTCGTTCGCGATACCCGGGAACTTGAACTGCCGCAGTCCTCGGCGTTCTGTCTTGAATCTCAGTGTATCTTTCCAAACAGGATCATAGTCCATCCTATCCCGTTGCACGGCCAAGGCTTGTGCAGCGTTGAGGAGTACAGCTGGCGGAGGCATAATAGAACCGGTACGTTCAAAAAGGCCATTCCTTGCCTTACCGTGGTCAAATTGAATCACTCCAGAGTGCTCGCCAGTCGGTTTGCTGACCACCACATGGCCCAGCCGGATCATCCCATTGTCTGTCTCTACCGGCACACCACCTCCAATGCCAACTAGTAAGCCATATCTGAGGTTCTTGAATGTCATCCTCATCTGTGTAACGACTGTAGCCGCAGAACAATTGCCTGTCTGATTGAGGCCGGCAATCACAACATTGTGGCCATTTATGCTGCCGAGTTTGTAAACGTTGTGATCTGTAAAGTCTTGCTCGATAGGCATGTGTTCTTCATCCAACATTTCCATCGCTGCGATCTGTTCTACTTCTGACGGACAAATCCACCCCACTCGGTAGCTGTCGGGCATGAGCCTTTTCGGCGGCATCGTTAATATGGTTAAAAAACAGATTAAATAGCACTTAGACAACGGCACTGAAGACTTGGAAAGAAGAGAGCAGAATGTTGGACAGACGAGGGATTGATAGTGGGACAATCAGAGAGGATAGCTGGAGTTTCTACCTGATAATTAGACGCATCTTACGATGGATTTGGCCAATTTTGCTGCGCTTTCTTCATTAAGCGCCAGCCTCGTGAGAGGCGCATATCGAGCGCATATTGCATATTGTCGGCCAATCAGACGCATGATGCAGCTTTGATGCATGGGTGTTCTGAACTAGGATATGGGGTAGGGAAATCGCTTATATATATAAAGTATTTACTGAGAAAAGAATTGTATACTATTAGACTCCTAATAAGAGAATCTGAGTTGTGGCGGCAATGAGCAGGACTACTTAGCAGCAGAGATCCCCCTTGTACACGGCAAAGGTTACATCGAGGATATACCTTGGCAGCGATTAATACTACCTAGTTGGGTATTGTATTTTCTGTTCAACAAAGTCTACGCAAAGGACAAGGGACAAATACGACAACGCTTCATTATTGATTACAGAATATTTCCATTTTGGGCTTTTGGCACTTGCACAAGTAGTAATACAACCTTGCAATATCTAATGGCACCAATTGGGCAACTCAAAGACAAATAAACACACAGGGGAGGCTATTGCTATAAGGTATGCTCAAGACAACACCAGGCACTATTTTAAAGATCTTACGTGTGTGTGGTTTGTGTTACAGTATGCGGAGATTCAAGCCAGGAACCAGAACCAGAACATTGGATAGCGGCGTGGTCTCACAGTGTCCGCCCTTGCGCCGCGCTCGTTTTATTTATTTTTTTTTTTTTTTGGTATGAAAGTACATATGTATTCAAACGGTTATCAGTGATTAGGCTAACTACGAAGTAGATATCTTAATGACTCTTCAACATACCTAATTTTGATACGGGGTAATAGATAGTGGTATGAAGTAGTACTACTGCTCCGGACTCTTACCTGAGATGCTAGCTGAGCGGCTGCGTGCTATGAATAGCAGCAATTGATACAACCAGAGCCCCTGGGCAAATGGCACGCATAAGCCCGCATTGACAGGCCGATACAGCGTGCAAGTGGCTTGAAACCCGGGCTGTGTGGGTGAAACTACAGGGGCTGCAGCTGGTCAAAGCTCAATGCTCTGAATTAGACGCCGGGTCGTCCGAAGGGGTCCAGCTGGGAATGTGCGGGAAGAGAAACAAAAAAGAGGAGTTTGGAGGTGATATCCAGACTCGGTTTGCACAAGCAAATGCGGCGGCGTGTATGGGAATGCAGATGCTGCCATGCCTCAGCGTTTCGGCGCTGGGCCGGCTGGGCTGATTATTTGCTGCGCGCTCACGAGGCTGCGCCCATACGCAAAGCATTGCGTCACACGATCCACTGGCGCCAGAGCGAAAAAAAAGAAGCGCAGCTCCCGCCATGTCCCCAGTACCCGGCCAGGCAGACGAGTCTGGAGCAGCCGCCGGTACTTGGGCTCCCCCGCTGCCCAGATAGCCGCTGCCCCGGGGCCGTCACGCAAAACCCTATCTGCCGCATTGCTGCCCGCATGTACTTCTCCGCCCCGGCCACCATGTACCCTGTACCAGCCGTCCCTTGGCCTGATATTCCACTTTTTTCCCTTTTCTCCTCTGCCCGTCCCAGCCTTCGCCCAACGTGGAACGCAAACTCTCTAGATCGAATCCTTTGTCTTCTCCGTTTCTCGCGAGTTGTCGTGCAGCAGCTGCGAATCATTGTTTCTTGTTCTTGTTCTCTTGTTGTTTTCTTGTATTCCTTCCATTTCTTGGGCCTCTACAGGCATCGTCTCCTTTGTTTCCCCCCAAGTCTTGCCCCTTTCCTTTCTCTATTGTATTCGCGCACGCTGGCATCGGACGCTTCTTCTGCTGCCATCCAACCCACTCGATCTCATCCCTCTCAGCCTTTAGCCCGTATTCCTCTAGGCCTCTTTTTCGTTCTGGGCCCCTGCCAGAAGCCCGGCGCTGGTTGGGTCTTACGGCTGTGCTGTATCCAGGCATTCGCCGCTATAGCTTTAGTGCCCGCCACTGCCTGCGCTCAAAAACAAGCACGTCGCCGGTACTCGCTACAACGCCTCACAACCCGTTCCAGGCCACCCTTCTGAGTCGCTTTCCCTCCAGGTGTGGCGACCCGAAAACGCAAACTCTCTTCCATCAACCGTCAACTTTTTCTTCTTGTGCCCTCTGGTAGCGGCAGCTCCGGAACGGTCCGATAAATCATTTTTGTTTTCCTCTTGCTTCGAACGTGCGGGCGACGACACTCTCGATATTTTGTAGCGAGTCCGGGGTCTGCAGAACCGCTTGCAGCTTTGCGCCCAACGTTTCTGGCTCTCGACGCTGCAGATCAACCTTTGGAGCACCATCCCCCGCAGCCTCCTCACCAACGCAAGTCAACGCTCACGGCGCTGCGACCGTCGCGGCGGAGACGCCGTACCGTCTTTTGGACTCTGCGGAGTCTGTCTTTGTTTTCGCTGCGAGCGAATGCTAGATTGTGACTTCACTTGCCGCACCGACCCGACGGCTTGATTTGAAATCCTCCGTTACCATGGCGTCGTCACCGTCTTCCGCCTTGACGGGCGTCATCATCGGTCTGGTGTCCTCGTTTGGCTCCATCGTCCTCATCTTTCTTATTGTATTTATCTTTTGGGCATCTGGATGCGCTGGCTCAGGCCGAATTATTCTCGATCGTATCGGCCGACCCGGTGAATATGACGACGAGCAGGCATTTGCAAGAGAAGAGGCCGAGGCCTTGGAGAACATGGACGACATGTCAAGGACAGAATACTTGAGGGCTAAAGGTGTGCTACGCTGCTAGTGCATTATTACCGCCACTGCAGACGATTTACTAACTATTTGAAACCCAGCATTCATTACTGCGAATCCTCCCGAGTCCGCGCAAACAGACATCTCGCTCTCACAATACCTTGCTATCCAAGAAAAAGGTGTCTCCGCCTGGGAGTTTGAACCCGAGCTGGAAATTGCGAATTGCTTCGTCGAGGCCCGAACCGAAATTGAATTCTTCGACTCCGAGTGCACCGTCATGAGCAACTTGCCCGTGCCTAAGCAGAACGACGTCTACTACTGGGAAGCCAAGGTTTACGACAAGCCCGAGAATACGCTGATCGCTATCGGAATGGCCACCAAGCCATATCCTCTCTTTAGGCTACCAGGTAGGTTTTTATTTTTTTTTCTTGGCTTGCATAACGACGAGCGTAATTTGTGCCTCATGGTTCTAACAACGGCTGTAGGCTACCACAAGTATTCCGTCGCGTATCACTCCAACGGCTCACGACACTATAACCAGCCATTCAGCCGAACCCCATATGGTCCTCAGATTGTCACTGGCGATGTTGTTGGCGTTGGATACAGACCACGGACAGGCGTCATTTTCTTCACACGAAACGGCAAGAAGCTCGAAGAGGTGGTTCACGGCTTAAAGTCCCAAAACTTCTTTCCAGCCATCGGAGCGAACGGCCCCGCTTCAGTCCACGTCAATTTCGGTCAGTCTGGCTTCGTCTTCATTGAGGCAAATGTCAAGAAATGGGGTCTAGCCCCTGTCACGGGCAGTTTGGCTCCCCCGCCCCCGTACGGTTCTGAGCAGGGCAGCATTCTCCTGGAAACTGGTACCAAAGACGGCTTTACGTATTCACAGGGCCGCGGTCATCGGCACTCTGTGAGCGGCACACCGTACAACGTCCGAGTTGGTGAAAATGACATGAACTTGAACGCACAGCACGGGCGATCACGGAGCGGAAATTTCAGAGTTCTTCCCCCCACTAGCCCTGGTCCCGTCAGGAGTCCAACCGATATCTCCCTTGCCCAGCTCGTGCCGTCAGATGAGAATGGTGAGCCTAGTAGCAGCAGCACGAATCCCGCCGACGAGCGGCATTTGGATGAGAACCCCCTCCAGCTCCATCTTGAAGACGCTACCAACCCGCCGCCCGATTACTCAAGCCCAAGGCTCCACCAGGGCCGCAATCGACAGTATAGCAGTGACAGCGAGGAGGAGGAGTACACGCCTCTTATCCATGTTGTGAACCGCAGTAGGGGCGAATCATCGGCAACAATACGGCCTGCAGGACACGGCCAACCAGCTTTACCCGAGGATCCTGTTCCAAGCTACAGTGATGCGATACAACAGGGGGCGAGCCCACTACGCCGTGAAAGAAGCGGTAGCTCTGAATCTAACGGCTCAAACCACAGCTCGAATGGCGGAACTTCATCAAGCTAAGATAGACTTGCTCAACTTTTAGCAGCAGACGAATTCACGAAAACAGAGATACCAAAGTTTAGATCTCAAAAAATCCGTTACTCATCACCCAAATACCAATGCGATATCAGGGCCATAGGTATAAACGGAGCCATCAAGCATTGCTCACACCCTCACGTTCACACATACCACATATTCACACTATACCATTTTGCACATTGTTACATATCTTTCGCACGGGCGCCTTGGAGTTTGTATAGCATTGGGATTCACCGCCACGGCGGTAACACGTCGACTCAATTGGGTCTTTTTTTTTTTTGTCTTTATATGTGGCACTGCCTCTTCTCCTCGAAACCTTAGAATAAGCCCTTCCCCCTTTTTTTCTGCTATGGATGGAACATTTGCACGGAACACCTCGGTGGGCCATGATACGATACCACCCCTTTGAAGGCCCTGGCGAACTGCGACTACTTGGATTTTTCTTTTGTCTCTTCTGCGAACTCTGAGAGGACTGGGAGGTGCTTTTGGGGTAGCATGAGTTGTAGATAGCTGATTAAATAGTATAAGGGCTTCATTTTGGCAGTAACCTTGCTTGACTACTTTTGTGACCTTGCTAATGGAAACTGTGATGGCTTCTTACCGGTCCCCTGGAGTTCGAGTATGCCTTACGAGGAGCTGCCGAGCCTCGTTATGGACGTATTTGTATTATGTACTGCGAACTGTATTTAGAAGCTCTAGGCACCTACATATGACATGTCTTCTACTTTATACACTGCTAAGTACGCTAAATGTGTCTTGCATAATATTTCACTCGATGATCCATTGATCCAGCATTCGGCAGTGAATCCTTTCACGTATGTTGAATTAAACTAACAGTGTATACATCTGAGTACATGTAGGTTTCGCAATCAAATCAAATGCCTTTAGCTAAATATCATTTCGCTAGCTAGATCTATTAGAATATAGTTTCGCCGGCTCGACCCACTAGATCTAAGGTCTCAGCCCAGCACAGATGCCACTGTTTCGCCCGCTGCAATGCTTCCGTAATGTAATCATGAGTCTCGTAACGCTAAATGGGTCTTTACCCAGAGCCAATACCGTGCTTCTTATCCCACCACTTCAAAGTCATATCCTAATTCCTCCGCAATCGCGTCATACTCAGCAGCACTCTCCTCCTCCTCGGGCCTCCTCACCTCGTCCATGCCTCCGAGGAAAGGCTCCGAGTTCCCCTCTACAGCTCTCTCCACCATTTCCGGCCAGTAGTCGAATCCGTCGCGTACCGTGAAGCCGCTCTTGTTGCCGAGGAACATTCGTCCCAGCTTTGCCCTCTTACCCTCCACCTTCTCGAGCCGTACGAGCCGGTAGCCGAGGAAGATGATGGTCTCTTCTTCATAACACGCTGAGTATCCCTTTTCGCGATGGACCTGAAAGCGACCGCCAGCACCGACATTGAGGTTGAAGCTGGGATCGGGCACGGGGACCTTTACTTCGGCGCCAACTCCGGATGAGCGGCCTGAGGCGTCGCTGATTTCCATGTTTGTGAGGGTGACGATGTCGGTGATGAAGTAGCCTTGTCCGTGGTTATCCCGTAATAGGTCGAACAGCTCCTCAAAGTACTGCTTGTTTTTCAGGAGCTCCTTGAACTTTTCGCCTGGCGAATCCATGTGCCACACCCGCGCTACAGTCGCCATCTTCTCGCTGGTATCCTCCTTGGCCCTATCGACAAACGCGTCGAGAATCTCATTGAGCTTCGCCGAGACGCCGGCATCTTTGATGCGTCGTGTCCAGAACTTGACGTCGCGGACCTGTACAGGCTTGGGATCGAGGCTGGGAACCAGCTCCCGGGGCATCTTTGTGCCCTCGCGGTAGGGGATGTGTCGCTCGGTGGGGAGGTCTGGGTATTTGACGACGCTGCCGATCAGCTTGTCGCGATATTCGCCGGCGTCGAGGCGCGGGTGGACGAGCCAGAGAGGCTTCGTCTCGTGAGCGTGAGGCATCGCGGGTGCGACGAGGCGCTCACTGCGCTGTGAAGGTGCGTCGATTGGAAGATGTTGAGTAAAGGGATGTGGATGTGGATGTGGATTTAGGACAGCAGCGGTTGGCATAATAGGTATTATGGGTGAGATTAAAGAGGAAGAAGGAAGAAGGAAGAAGGAAAAAAAATTAGGAAAGGAAAAAAGGTATAGGTCGAAACGATAGTGGCAGTGAGACGATCGACTAGATGGATCTTCAGCTGCTAATGCTTGTTTGTGCTATAGTTGTTCTTGCAGGAAGCAGAAATTGTAGAGCGCCTTTAGAAAATTTATAGAGAAATATATATATATATATATTTCGATTAATAGATTATCCTTAATAGTGCCTATTTAGCATTCACCGAGGTGTGACCAATCCTCCAGAGGCTTCGCCGATGCTCATATACGGCCGATGACAGCCTTGCGCGGCATGTGACGATGCTGTTCCTGGCAGGGTCGAGAGGCCGCCACTGTTAGCACCAAAGTCTGGATTAGGCTGCGCCACAGTCGGTCACCTGTGATTCAGAGTACCCCAGCTGCGCCACATATATGAACTGCTGCGCATTGGGCTATTGTAGAGTTCAGCCGATGAGTAAAGGATCCGGCGGTTATTCGAGGAACGTGCGACATGAAGGCATGAAATGTACGAGTCACTAAGATTGCTGTGAAGAGGCTTTTACTGTATGATGGGAAGTTGCGGAAAGTAGCGGCATTTTTGGTGAGATTTACAGCTTAAAGAGAGTTGATGTACTCGCACCAATTGAGGCAACAGAAAGACCAAAGCCCTCGAAGTCTCTCGGACTGCCATCCGCTGACTGTTCGAAATTTTGACTCATACTGCACTGCTGGTAGTCATTTAGCAGCACAGACTGCCTCACATTGTACCTTTTTAGAAAAGTAGATGGATACAAGCGTTACATCCCGACACCTGGTGGAAAACCCAATAATCTGGAGGCTCTATGGCTGGTTCTCTGTAACATATCGCCACCTGAACTGTAAAAACTGTCTTTCAGTCCAACGCTGCCCACCGCCCTCTCTTCCCCCAGCAGAATACAAAGAATAGCTCTTTCATATCAGGAGTCACAGTCTATTTCGGAGCCACGGTTTAGATCTACCAACACACCCAGCTTATAAGGCGTCCGATGCCTTAGGTGCCTTAGGTGCCTGAGTAGCTAGGTAGCCTTAGCCAGCGGGATGGCTATAGCCGGCACCAAGTCTCGCGCCACCCGGTCCCATGATACCACCAGGCTGCGGAACAACGGCGTCGCTCAGGAATCTGCACTGCAATAAAAGGCAGTGAACTGTCGAGGCTGGCTAGATGCACTAGTATAACACACCATGTTGGCTGAAAAGTAGAACTGTAAATTAAGTACTCCATACTTGTATAGAATGGGATTACTCACTGTATATTACATGGTGCACAACCAGATGCTGACATTCAGCCCGCTAGCAGCTTTATGCCCAAAGCAGGAAGTCGCCTTCGTAGCACTACCTGACAGCTGCACCAGCCACATAGCCTCTCTCTCTCTCTATTTCTCTCTCACTTCTCATCCATCATTCATCCTTCGCTTCGCTCCCAGATTTGACGCATTTATCCTGCAATCTTTCAAACAAGCAGGCTTCATGTTTGCGCATTGTTTCCCATCGACTGTAAAACACCCACTGGAGGCATCATTTACTCATACCGCGACAGCCTCTGCACAGCCCCTGGGCGCTTGTATCCGAGCCGAATGGCGGGCCTGTTCCAGCGCGTACGAGGGGCAGTAACGCGGCAGAGGAGCTCAGAAGGGAGCGGCTTGAAGATTGTGAAAGATTCTGATGGTGCAGATATAGAGTAAGTTTCATAGTGATGGCATCGTATTGTCATCATTCGCAACACATGAACTAACCCCTAATACAGCATCGTAGCCGTCCATGGCCTTGGTGGGCAAGGCTTCAGATCATGGATCTCACTTGAGGGCGGCAAGTCCAAGTTCTGGCTGGAAGATCTTCTGGGAGAAGATATTCCTAATGCGAGGATCATGACATATGGCTATGTTTCCGATGGGGCTAACTACCGATACCTTGTGCACAATGTGCTATATGGCAGAGCCTTGGATTTGGTCAAGGAGCTAGGGAGTCAGCGAGATCGTGATGGAACAAGTAGACGCCCACTCTTCTTCATCGCGCATAGCCTAGGAGGGTGGATCGTCAAACGCGCACTTATCATCTCCAGCGAAGCCGTAGACGCAGAGATCAAAAATATCGAGTTATCGACTTGTGGTGTGGCTTTTCTGGGAACGCTGTCTCCTGGTAGGCCGTTGTCTCCAACGCCGCTCGCGTATGTAATTCGAAGAACGACATCAGGATTTGATGAGCTTCCAAACCGCAGTGCTTCTCGGACACCTACCATGCAACCCCAGGCCAGTGATATTGAATGGCTGGAGAATCAAATGGAAGCGTTCAAGGCAATCACGGAAAACTTGCCGCAGATCTCCTTCTACGAGACGAAACAAACAGCCGATGGATTCGTTGTCGAGCAGCGGCATTCTACGTCCAGCTCCGACGGCGTACAAATTGGACTATCCGCCACTCATACCGGCTTGATCCAATTCCAAGGTCGTGACGCAAATTACAAGATATTTGTCAACAGATTTCGCGAAATGATTCACAAGGCTAAAGCCACTGGTCTTTTGGAGATGAAGCGAAAAACATTTGACGTCGCCACAGGTAAGAAAGGATCTTGGACCCTACATCATAGCATCACTAATTTGAGCCTAGATCGACAACTTGAGTACTTGAGAGATAACTTTGATGTTCCATACAAGCTACCCGGTGAGCCTTGCACAATCATACACAGAACAAGTTTGCTTGAGCTGCTCGAAGCTAGCTTTAACCCGCCCAATGATCCGCAAGCTTTGCATATCAGCATTGCCGGCCTATGGGGAGATATTGGAGCCGGTAAAACTACCCTGGCAAGAGACTACGCCGAAATTAATAGGGATAAGCTTTCCTTTGTTTTCTGGATCTGGGCCGAGAGTTGGGAGACGGCTGTGACAAGCTATCTAGAGTTCGCCAACAATCTTGTTCAATACTACTCCAAGGACATGCCTCGAATCCAGGTAGAAAACGATCTTGGACTCACTGGAGTCGAGGACATGCTCAAAGTAAAGAACATTCAGCAGCTGGATACATCAAGAGTCAAGTCTGTGGTCCGGGCTGTTAAGGACTGGCTTATGAGACCAGACAATGACAATTGGCTCCTCATCCTCGATAACGTGGAACCGTCGTTTGATATATCCGACTTCATTCCTCTTACACTCACTGGTAAGATCATCTTAACTTCAAGGGAGAGCAGTGGCTGTATCTGGGGGACAAAACTACGCATTGGGCCTATGCTGGATAAAGAAGCAGTGGACCTACTTCGTTCAGTAGTAGGGGACGATTCTCTGCAGAATGACCGTGAAGGTACGAAACCATTCTTAAATTCTGTTCTTACTTGAAATCATTACATAACTAACGATTACGATTAGTTGAAGCGGCTTACAAGTTGGTGCGCCAGCTCAAATGCCACCCTCAGTCTGTAGCCCTTGCAGCTTCTACAATCAGCAAGAAAAGTCTTGATGTGTCTCATTTTCAGAGCCAGCTCCAGTCCAATATGCCGCTTAGGCTATTAGGCTCAACTCTTGATCAATCTTCCGTAACGAGGACAGTGCTTCGTGTTAGCGCGATGCTTTCGTATACAGTGATTCCAGTTGCTCTTTTCAATCCATCGAAAGGGCCAAAGAATATTCCAACGCGATTTGCAGATGCTTTTGCGGAAATTAGAGGTTCGTCATCATGACTATTTATTGGGTCAAAAACGGTACTAATTTTGACACAGCATTTCGAGATGCGCACAGGCTTGACGACGTTTTGCAGTACCTCTTTGATCAGAATTTCATTCAGACTTCTTCTACTGAGTCACCACCAGCATCAGCGACTTCATCGCCTAGCTCGCCTTCCGCGTCGCAAGATACAAATTCCTCTACAACATCCTTTGAAACGTTCATACTTGACCCTGCAGCTCGCGAATACGTGCGTGCCACGCTAAAAGATGATGAACAAAAAGAAAACGCATGGCTAGCCTGCAATATCTGTGTAGATGGAATTCGGGAACAAGAAACGACTTCTTCATATCTGCGGGAAATTCATGACTTTGGAAGAATCATGGCTCCTCATGCAAAAGCTTGCTACGATGACTGGTCCAGTATCCTGGAGCATGACGAGGACGACGTTGCCTGGCAAGTCTTGGGAAATGTGTGCATGACACAAGGTGCCTTGGAGCAAGCTATCGGTTGCTTTCAACTCTCGCTACAGCAAAAGTCGAACGTTGATGCCAGTGAGAGGATTCAGACCTCTCTGTCACTTGCGTTGCTGCTTCAGCAAACGGGACAGCATGAAAAAAGCGCAGATGTCTTGAGGAATATTGACTTGGCATCTATTGACAAAGCCCTTGGGTTTAGAATTGCATTAGCCAAAGTCTCAGCGGCGGCTGCTCAGGGGGATTTTGATTATGCGGAAGACCAGTATGGTATTATTGAACATGCGCAGGAGGAAGAGCTCGGGCCTACAGATGCGACAACTGTGAGTACTGTGCAAAAGCTCGCGTCTACGTGGGAACAGCTGGGGAAGCTGGAAGAGGCTCAGGCGCTCTACCGCCGCGTATATATCTCTTACCTGAGAATGTTTGGCCAAAGCCATCCCCTAACTGTTGAAGCTCTCGATGAGCTTGCACACGTCTCAAAAGCCAGCAACGCCATTGACGAAGCCGAGACTCTCTACAACAAATCACTAGAGATCAAAACTAGGACTCTTGGAGCAGAACATCCTAACACTGCCGATGCTTTGCAGAGGCTTGCCGTTATTGACGATGTACGGTGCCGTTACGAAGACGCCAAAGTCAAGTATCAAAAGGCCTTGGATATCATGGCTGCGTCACTCGGCAAAGCTCATCCACTATACACAACCACAATGGAGAATCTAGCATTAAGCAGTCGTCTACGTGCCAATGCATTTGGCGAGGACGATGATACTAGATCGATAGTATCTGCCGAAGGAGGTACCAGCAATCGTGCTTTCCGTCACCGCGCTCGCCGTCGCCTCACGGCCACCTCAATAGCTACCATTACTCGAGAAAGCTATGCTACAAATAAATCCAAAGAAGAGGCTGTGCTTCGTGATGCCTCTCGCCAGCGCGCTTTTGCCGAAGCAGAGAAACTTTATCTCGATGCTCTAGGCATCAAAAAGTCTGCGACTCAGCTGTACCACGAGGAAGAGGTGGTTGAAACAGCATCGAAACTACGAGAGATGTATGAAAACGAACCCTTTTTTGAAGACTGCCGAGATGAAAAAGTCTTTGCCTTGATGGGCCTTTTGAGAGAGATGAAGAGGAGAGGGACATTGTAATGTCTTTTCCTTCTGCGATTTGATTTCAACGTTCGAATGAGAAGCAGTGGTTGTCGCCGGCTATAATGAGGGTTTCCGGTATTTGATACAACAACAAGAAGCAGGCCGTGTGGCTCAATGGCAGAGCGTCTGACTACGATTAAGTAAATCAGGAGGTTGCAGGTTCGACCCCTGTCTCGGTCAATCTTTTTGATCTTTTTTTGGTGGCGTTTTCTGGATATGCGCTAATTCCCACCTATCTCGTTTGGCCCTTTTTACATAACTATTTATACCTTGGTTGTTTGTGTGCCGTCTTTTTTTGTTTGATGAGTTAAGCGAGGTGTTTACTTTGGTGTTGTTTTAGTTTTCAAGTAGGCGTTGTTATGAACGACTGGAAACGATTCTTTTATGTTATGAATGTTTCATCTTTTGGGTCGGCGGTCTGATATATTTTGGAGTGGAATTTTGTCACTTCTTGAATGGCATATGTCCTGGGTTTATGGGAGTTGGAGCAAGCGGCTAGATAAAGCCAATGTGATGCATATATTTGTACTTCACGGATGTTATACACAATATCATAGTTTCTTTTTCCCCCCTCTTAACAGAAAATATTTGATATCATTTGTGTGGAGATGCGTACGATCCTTGCTTGTAATCAACAAAAAAGTTTACATCGTTCGAACTCCAGCCATATCCAGCGCCAGGTCGTATGACGTTATCATTCCATCCAATACACCTGATTGATTCGAAGGCTGAACCCTCGCTCATCTGTAGTTGTAAAAAGAGGTCCGTAAGTAATGATTACTCATATAACCAACAAGTGACGGAAATACACCAGTCACTCCCCAGTCATTCTCCATCAAGGGAGTCTTATAATCGATATAATAATCTGCGATATATATGTATAGCTTCTCGCATATACTCTCTCACACCCTCTACTGTTGCTGCTGCTGCTGCTCCTGTTGTGGCTGTTCCTCCGGAGGCGGCGGCGGCGGCGGCGGCGGCGGCGGCGGCGCAAAGTACGCCTTTCCAGCATCCACCAGAATCTGCTGATCGATGCGAGCCTCTGTATCGCCGTACTCGACCCTCTTCCACGTCGTGATGCGCGCCTCCTCGGTGTCGACCTCGAACATGCGCAGGCGGCGGACGTAACCGTCGTAGCCGGCGTAGCCGCCGAAGCCGATGCCGCCCGAGTAGCACATCCACATGGCGGGGACCCTGGCGGCTTCGTCTTCGGGCTTCTTCTCCGATTGGAGGGGTAGCTTTTCTTCCCAGCCTGGGAGGAAGGATTTGGTCTCATCGCCGTGGCGGGAAAGGGAGCAGTAGTCGTTGACGTGGTCACTTTTTTTTTGGAGGAACGGGTTAGCACATAGGCGAAAATAAGGGGGAGAGAGGAAGGAGGGGAGGGGGGCTTCTTACTGTCCGGCGCTGACCATGACAACGCCTTGCTCGACGAGGGCATCGTGGAATCCAGTGTTATAGACGGGGGCGGTGACGCCCTCTTTCCATTCTCCTACGCGGGGCTTATCCCAATCCGCGTATTCTATCAAGGGAATATGTATAAAGGCAATATCCATATGTCGATGGGTGTATCCATCGTGGTTCTTCTTCAGGCTCGCGTGCGTCTTCTTGAACCAGTCAATCTGATTGGGCTTGACCCAGTCATAGCCGGGGAAATGACGCTCGTCAGGAGAGTACGAATGCGTGTCGAGGAGATAGATTGTCAAGGCGGAGTGGTCGTTGTGGCCACGGGCCAAGACTTCGATATAGTAGTTGCCGACGCCGTCGACGTCTGCGGGGCCGGCTTGCGATAGGGAGTAAGGCAGGGTTTCCATCAGGGCCATTTGGGCCTCTCGCGACATGGACTTTTCGTCGTCGTGGTTGCCAAAGATGGCGGCATATGGGATTTTGCGCTCGATGAGAAGAGAAGCGTATTTGTATATAGCCTAGCATTTTATCCAAACGTTAGTTTCATGTATACTCTATTCATCTAAGGGGGAAAAGGGGGAATCATACCGAAGGGGCATCGGGGGCCGAATCGCCGTTAACCTGGTCGCCGCTCAAGATGACCAAGTCGGGTTTCTCCTCGTCAAGCATCTTGGTCAGGAAATCAAGCGTCCTGGGGTCGGCCTCGCATTTGCCTCCCTTGTAGCCGTCGGGAACTGCCTCCCGACACTCGCCCACGCCAGTGCTAAGGTGCAAGTCTCCCACCTGCATGATTTTGAATCGGCCGTTGTCGGGGATTCTAGGCTTCGGCTTCTTCAGCTCGTGATGCGCGCCTCTCCTTACAGTCAAGTGTGCGCTGAGGAAATTCGAACCGGTATTGAGATGTAACGGCCTTCCTACAATGCCCCAGCCGTCGCGCGCCTCGGTGGCGTCATCGCCAAAGACGACATCCACGTCCGTCACAGCAGCATCCGAGTCGCTTGATTTCTTATTTCTGGATCGCTTCAGCCATATGCCTCCGGGTCTTGGTTCCCAGTGCTCGCTGTCGTCAGAGACGTCTCCGGGGTTCAGCGATCCAACAGAGACGCCGACGACAACTTCGTCTTGGTCGGTCAAGTTCTCTTCGTGCTTGCGACGAACGTATAGATATGCGCTCGATGTCCACGCTTTTCCTAGGTATAAATCTTTTTCAATGCGATGCCATTCGTTCGGATTCAGCTCGCAGGAGGAGAAGGGCTTGAGGCTGGAGCAGGTCGTGATGGTGATGTCGGTGACCACCAGGCCAGGATGGTGGGAGGGCATGTAGTTGTGGAGGGCATTAGGAAGGACTCTATAGTTGCGGTCGAGGAAGAATATCAGGATGGTGGTGAGGAACGCTACGGCGCCCAGCTGGGTGAGCGTGCGAACCTAGGGATTGAAGCGACGGGTCAGTGTCCAGAGTCTTGAGATTCAAGCAGCACGGTGGCGGCGAACTCACAATGCGTCGCGTCATCTTGGAGGGCGCCCGAAAGGGAGTGTAAGCTGAGTATCAAACACCAGGGTCGGTTCTCAGGGATGCGCCGTGCAGCAAGGTCCGCTTAGTATCGCGAGGTTCGCATCTTCATGAGGAGAAAAATCGCATGGCGGATCGTGCAGGCAGAGGCGAGGGTGCAGGTCTCATGTGTCGATGCCGCGACCGAACAACTGGCCTCGGCTTTGGCTGCTGGCCACCGGCAACTAGCAGCGTTTCGCTTCGTTCTCCTGTTGGGATCCTCCAGGCGAGGCTGTTGGAGCTCAAGTTTCGAGTCTCGCGTCGACAAGATGCGTTGACGGTTCTGCATGTGCCGCCTTTTTGCTGCGTCGCACTGGATAAGGCCATGTATCGATCCAAGGGGTCAATGCCGGGATCAGCGAGATGAGCTGCCGCAATTGGTCCAAATGCCGCGAAGCCAAGCCTTCCATGGCTCTAAAGACGGGCTCCAGTGGGGTCGGCCGTTGAGCTGTAGCGAGCTCCAAGAGCCTGTAGCAGCCCCCAAAACTGGGCCCTTGAAGATGCCTGGCACTAATGCAACCAAGATCTTGTGTGCACATCATTGAATGCCACGGATTTCAGAAGTCATGTCATAATAAAAAAAACCATCTTGCTATAGTCTTATATTCCTAAAAATATTTTAAATACCAAGTCTTTTTCAGAGAGTGGGTGTTCAGCTGTTAACAACATCAACGCTAATATGGCCTGGTGGAGCAAAAAGAGTTGCATCGACCCTTAACAGATCTATCAACAAAGCTCTACCCATGTCGTTGACGTAGAGCTTACCGGCCATCTAATCATAGAGATCTTCATGTCAGCCCCTGCTAACAGGCACATGTCTTTTCCTAAAGAGTGAATATTTGGGGTTGCATTGCTCGAATTCCGTTCTCGTATTCAGTCAATGGGTAGACTAAAACGACGCGAGCCCAATATGGGATAGTACTCGCGCATCCTTAGATGAAGCGATAACTTGCAGAAGCTTGTTGTGAATATGTGCATTGTCTTCTCAGATTTTCTCTTCTACATTACCATTACAGAATATTTCGTAGCTCGATTTAGAGTAGTCGAAGATGACGGCCATTTGTCGAGGAAGCATAAGCGCTGGTCTGTAGCCTCTCGCTATATTAAAGATGAATATACTAGAGCTTCTACCGTCATAGAGAGCTATATTATTCGCCAATTCACTTTATTCTTATAGCAAATGTTTAGAAAGGAGGTGTTATCTTTGCATCTCATTGTCATAGTCTATTATCTTGTAACGCCAACGAGGCAAAACATCAAATATATTATCATGTAGAGGGTACTGCCATGATACACTGAGCCTTTTCCAATATCTTAAAGCCCTCGCCATGAATCTTGGCGTGTTTAATAAGGGCTCCAAATATTGGGAACGCAAATTCCCCTGTCATGCCCGAAACGTGAGATATCTCTCCAATTACTTCATATAGAGCTTCTAACCCCCCGAGTTGATATCCTCGAGAAACGTAGCATTCAAAAGGCTCTAGTGAATTGCGCATTAAGAGTCGGAGAGTCCATGCCTCTTTGCAAAGCTCTCGATAAGCGTTTCTCAGCCTCTCAATCTGTTGTACCGTCGCCTTCTCAGAAATGAATCGCTGGAAGCAATCAAACATAGCATCTCCGTCAATGACACCAAAGTCCGCGTCAGTTCCACCTAGGCCAGCAGCCTCGATACATTTGAATGTAGATAATCTCCAGTTGACCAACATATCGTGATTAACTTTCATCCATTAGCTTGAAATCGAAATCAATTGCTAGAATGATATTTTCAAGGTTTCTTACCGCCACGATCGCTAATAACGCGCTCGAAGAGGCTAAATGCTTGGCCTAGACTTGGAATAGAGCTGCCAACACCTGCTAGGCTTGGGCTTCCATTTGCGTCGTTGATATCGAAAAGCAGTTTGTCGAGAATATTAACATTTAGAAAATGGAACATGAGGCTCCGCAAGATAACCAATCGGCCTGGCTTTGGTGATTCTCCCCATAAAGCTTCGATATATCTGGGCTCGAACCAACTTTCGTTTAGTTTTAGGTTATGGAACTCTTCTATATTATAGGCCTTATTTGAAGCAAGCCACTGTATGCGCTGGCGGAGTTGAGTAAATTTCTCGCGCACGTCTCTATCACTAATAATTTTGTTATGGCTATTTTCGATAAGAAAATCCCGCATGCTTCGCTCCTTGTCTTGTAACCGTAATACTTCACATTGAGAAGCGTAGAGTTCGGCTTCATAGTGGTGTAGCGAGTCTTTGTGTTGACGCACCTCACTATTAGCCCGGTGTAGTTCGCCATAGGCTTGCTGAAGTTCACTGTCAGTTTGTTGCAGCTCGCTATGCGTTTCCTGCAGTGAGAGTGCTAAATGATCATAATCGGCAGCAAGCTGATTGTACTCTTTATTAGTCCTCGTAGCTTGCCGTGCTGGTAACGCGTGCGATATTGTGTGTACCAAATTTTTCATCGTGCTAGCAGCTTCTCTCTCTGTATTGTCTGCTCTCTCGGATTGGCGTCGAGCTTGAAATGCTCTGGATGATGAAGATTCGCTCTCCGAGGATACAACTTGATTGACGCTTTTGGCTGGATCAAAGCAATTGCCATTGTTTGACAGCCCCCAACGCACTAAAAAGTGGTTACATATCCCGGACATTGGATAAGCATAATTATGAAAGACGTTCTAAGATTATCGACTTGAGATAAAAGGAAACTTGGGTTATAAGCTTGATATAATGTATATATGTCTTGTCAATAAGGTTGTGTAATAGATAGCACCTGAGTGCTGTGATGCAAACTTGTTGAGTTATAGCTTAGTTTCTTGAACGCCAAATTTATGATACTCAATCATAACATACCAGTCATTCGTCGCATATGTAGAGTAACTTTATAGATGTTAAATAAGCTTCGATCTCAAAATTTAGCGTTACTGTATACACGGAAATTAAACTAAACCTCAAGCTAAATCGAAATTTACACTTTTGGCATATTTATCTAGTGTATAAACTTCCCATTCCGGCATATTGCCAATTGTATAAACAAGTTAGATAAAGACTTTAACTACGAGGAGTATGAGGAGTATCGTTCCAGTTGAGAACGCCATATCGCATCTCGGTTGCGACCCTGAAGTTAGCATTGGAGAAAACTAAAGTTGAATTGAAAACGGCTGCGAAGCCGTTCTTTGGAATGTATCGAGAATTCCAAGGCCGACAGCCTCAAGTTTTCTGTACTTGATAAGGTTAGGTATTTGCACAAAATTGATATATTAAAAGCAATACTTTAACTTTGTTAAGATTCGCTCATCCCCGCAGGTTGTCTGCTCCCTAATAAGCATAGTAGAACTAGAACCAAATCTATCCATTATGGACGACAGCAGGCTCATTATCGCTGTGGACTTTGGTACCACTTACTCTGGCATTGCTTATTGCTTTGCAAACCAACGAAACAGCTGTCCTATTCCCATCGATAACTGGCCTGGTAAGCTGTTCCTTGACTCTGTCAATGTCAAGATCAAAATCTCACAAAGTAAACCTCAGGCGCCACTGGCATTGATGTGCCAAAAACTCCCACTGTTATTTGCTATGACAAACAAAACCCTCGGAATTTTGTCTGGGGTGGTAGTGTAGAGCCCCAGGCTGACAGCATATCTGATTTTAAACTATTGCTTGATCCATCGCAAAAATGGCCAGAATATATCCCCATAATTAACATTACAAAAAAACTCGAAGAGCTGCCGAAATCGCCTACTGAGATCACTGCTGATTTCATAGGCGCTATATATAACCATGCAATTGAGGAGATATCTAAAAAGTTTCCCAGAGATTACGTTCAATTATGCCGCAAGGAATATATATTTTCTGGTATATTAATGATAGCAATCCAAGTACATGCACCTCTCTTCTAATAATGCTTACAGTACCGGCTGTATGGTCTGATGCTGCTAAATATGCTACATTAAAGGTAGGCTTTGGATGACTGAGTTGATGTCATGATAAGATTATGAGCTCATACATATTTTTGTCACAGGCCGCTCAGATGGCGGGTCTTACCCCTGTTCAACTGATCAAGGAGCCCGAAGCTGCGGCGTTATGGATAACTAAGAAGCTCAATGTTGCTCTCAACTCTGGTGACATCTTTGTTGTTTGCGATGCCGGTGGTGGTACAGTTGATTTAGTATCTTATGAAGTCGAGAATACCAGTCCACAGCTACAAGTTAAAGAAGTGGTACCAGGCACAGGTTAGTCAAATATCTATTCGAGCAGCGTTCTACGAGGTGTGTTCTCAGACTAATATTAAGCACACTCTAGGCGGTATGGCCGGATCTCTAAATCTCAACAAGCGTTTTGAATGTGCTGTCAAAGAGCTTGTTGGCGAAAAGCAGTGGAGCGCGCTGCACCCAAGCAAAGGCTTCCAGCGTGCAGCATCGCAATTTGAAAAGGAGATCAAGAAGGGATTTCATGGGGGTTCCGATGATGACTGCTTTGATGATGAGTTCTACGTAAATTTTTACCCGGCAAAGCTTGCGGATAACCCTAATTGTGGCCTGGAGTCGAATACGTGGACAATGGTCGAGTACGTAAAAGACACGCTTCCCCAAACGGCTGGCAAATGCTCATGTTTCGTTAGGGATGACTTGATGGATATATTCAATCCTGTTATTGGTGATATTCTTAAGCTGATCAATGAACAAGTTGAGCGCGTCAAGGTGAAAATGGGAGGAGAAGGGCCAAAGGTCTTTCATCACATTTATCATCAACTACGGAAAGAGTCAAATCTAACTGCTTACAGTATATTTTCTTGGTTGGCGGTTTTGGCAGCAATCGATATTTGATGAAACGAATCATGAACAAATATTCGAATATTGAGGTTTTACAGCCACCCGATGCCTGGGCTGCAATTGCCAAGTGAGTCATCATAAGTCTCGAAGAAAGTGGGTTACTGATCGTGCAATTTAGGGGCGCCGCGCTTTCTCGAATGTCAAGCGAGGCAACTGTTACAAGTCTCTCCGCGACTCGCCATTACGGTATTGCAGTTTCGAGTATGTATGATGAAATTGAAGACCAGGGAAGACCCTTTAGGGAGGCTATTACCGGCCGAATTGTGACCACAAAAGCAAGTACTTTTCTTCATATATACTTGGCCTTACTAACTGAGATGCAGATGTTGTGGTATATACACACAGGAGATAATCTTTTGAAGAGTGCCCGCATTCCATTCCCGGTACTTCGTCATTTTACTCAACATGAATATGAAACAAAAGATTTTTGGTTATTCATCCCACTTTTTGAATCTCAAGAGGAGTATGTATAAGTAACCTCGGATGATTTATTTCCCTTATTGATTGAGCCACTAACTGGACGATTCAGAACAGCGCCCCGATATCCCTCAGAAAACGAGGCCTTCCGTGTCAATTGCGAGTTGATGTGCAGCCTCTCCAAGATGCCAAAACACCTATTTAAGAAACATATTAGTGAGTTGTGAGCCCAAAAATTCACTGAAAATTAGCTAATCACAGCCGCATCGGCAGACAAGCATAAGCAAACCTAGTAAGCCCAATCTCACCTTTTCATGCTCAAGGGATGGTATTGACATATCATTTAGCTATTTAGTTGCATTGAATTTAATCATGACACTTGAAGGCGCGCTAATGACATTCTCCTTGGAAATTGACGGTGTGTTGTATGATTGCGTTGAAGCCAAGTATAGCGCATAAACGCAAGAGTATGTATGTAGTAGCAGGAAGCAGCGATTTACTGTTCAAAGTACCTATATAGCCAGCCTACATCTAACTCCAAATATCATATCATTGAGTGACATGTAGGAATTGCTTTTTCCCTTTGGGTTTTGAGATGAATAGGGAGTTGGCAACGGGTTAGGCCTCATTTACTTGAAAAATCACCTCCTCATTTAGCACGGAATCGACGTTGCCTTTGGCTCAAGCCCGTAGGCAGCAGCCGTCATGGCTAGGTCTGCATGTTGATATGTCTTATATGATGCGGGCTTTGAGCTCTAAATATTTGAACCCAGAGGCAGCCTAATACGACAGTACAATTTCCTAGGCAAAATATTGTGGTGAGTGGTGATCTCAGTAACATTTCATGGTGGCTGTATCACAGGCAGTCCGTACTAGTAGTAGTGGGCAGGCTACAGACTGAATAATACAAGACACATAAAACGATCTAAAATGCATACAAGTTATCTCCCTTGAACATACAAAAATTGATATTCCTAACTATTTATCAATCCCGATGGGCATCAGCACCACTTACCCTCGCCACGTGGCCATGCATCACGTTGGTCGCTTTTTGTTGCTTGCCGCAGCGCGTTGTTAGCATATAAAACATCCATCTTTGCTGGTATGGTGTGACGTTCAAGGCATCGGGTGAGCTGCCTGTCTGGTCCAGCATTTTTACGGAAAACCAAATTATTGAGTCCTAGACAATCATAGAATCGCTCTCGTTTCTTTTTCTCTTTCTCCCATGATTCAAAGCTGGCTGAAAGTTACAAAGATTACCGGGTAGGCATTTAGAGAGGTGGAACAAACTCAAGGCAGATATACTGTGTATACAAGCGCTGTCAGTTACCTAGTAGACTAGAGTCGGAAAACCGCAGCATTAGCTTTCACGAATGCGTGTTTATTGTGCAAATGGAATCGAAGCTTTGGTGCTAAAACGTTGAGTAACGTGAAATGTAAATAACTACATAGTAAAAGAATATCTCCACCTACTCTGGTGACACAGAGTTCATTGGATTTAATCCGCAGCTTTCTTTCAGAGCGTTCAGAGCTCAGTGCTCCCTTCAAGGCTTACGTGGTCCGTGCGCACTGCTGTCAGCCTCTTCTCGCAGCTGCAGCTGCATCTCGTAATAGCGGCCCGGATCGCCGCCGCCATCTACCGCGTCGGTCTGGCTGCTCGCTTTCTTTCACAACCTCGTCGCTTCATTATCCAACACCCAATTTTTTTTTTCCTCTTCTCGCGCACTTGCATCCTCTTGATTCACCATCAATTGTGTGCGCCCGTATCGCCCGCGCGTCGCCCCCGATTTATTCACCCCCTTTGTTCGAATACCGCTGCTATTCTACTGTTCTACTGCTACTCCTGCCGCCTACCTGGTAGCGCAGCTTCTTCTTCCGCTCCCTTGAGCCCAATTTAATTTCGTCACCGCAACTGCGCGCCATTCCTTTCATCCCGACCCGAATTTCCATCACCTTTTTTTTTTTCTTCCAAAATGTCCGACTACGCCTCCCTCAAAGTGCCGGAGCTGAAGAAGCTCCTGGCTGAGAAGAAGCTGTCGCAGACCGGCAACAAGGCCGATCTCATTGCGCGCCTGCAAGAGGCCGACAAGAAGGATGCCACCGCGTCAGCAGAGGACAGCAAGCCTGGTATGTAGCGACTGCGCATCTTCTTTTACAGAATTCACGTTTCGCATCCTATTGGCGACGCTTTTGTCGCGCTCAGCCTTTCGATAGAACAGCGACGCTAACGTTGGACTGCCCAGCCGAGAACAAAGAGGACGAAATCAGCTACAGCGACGACGAAGCCACTGCCGCGCCGGCCGCCTCAAAACCTGAAAAGGCAAAAGCACCAGAGAAGCCCGTAGAGAAGCCCACCGAAGCGCCCGCCGCCGCCGCAGCAGCCCCAGCAGACACGGAGGAAGCGACGAAGCCCGCCGAAGAAGAAAAGCCCGCTGCCGAGGAAGAGGCCAAGGAGCCCGCGCCATCCTTCGCCATTGGCCTCTCGTCCACCACTGCCGACGAGGAGCTTAAGAAGCGCGTCGAGCGTGCCAAGCGCTTCGGCACCGAGCTCGACGAGGAGACCAAGAAGCTGGCCGAGCGAGCCAAGCGCTTTGGTATCAATGACAAGGAATTGGCCAGCGGATTGGACGCGGCTCTGCCCGAGAGATCGCTGAAGCGTGGCCGCGGCCGTAACGAGGGCGATGGCAACAGGCCCGGCAAGCGACGCAGCCAGGACCGCAAGGGACCTTCTGCCAACGAGAGGCGCAGCGGCCGCAACAACAAGAATCAGGGTGGCAATGCCTCGGGCAAGCCCAAGTTCGGCAGCATCATAGAAGATCCTGCCGAGAGGGCCAAGGCCGAGAAGCGAGCTGCTAGATTTGCTGCGGCGTAAGCTGTTGGAAGAGGTAAAACGATGGAAAGCTACTCAAGCTGGAAGATGATTGGCAAAGAATGTTGATTTAGCTGGGCTGAAGCTTAAGAAATGTGAAGAAAAAGAAGAAAAAAAACCTTTCTGGAGATCTAGGTCTATAATGAGAACGTCTGGAAGGGAACGGAAGGGGGAACACAGAATCTGGGATGGGATGAAATGGCATGTGTATCATACGATAGCGCTTTTTCTAATAAGAGGCAAAAAAACGGCGTTTTTGGGTTTTGACAAGATTGCTGCATTTTGCTGTGAGACAATGCTGCTGCTGCCTGTTGCAGCTCTGTGAGAGATGCAAATGCCTGTGCATAGTATTCATACCAGCTGTTGGTCGGTATATGTGGCTGGCTGGGGGACCTTGTCTTCCGACAGGCTGGCTCATAATAAATATAGTAGGTACTATGAATAAAACCTCGTGCTGTGAAATAAAATGATGTTGGCCCAAGATACTAACTAACATACACGAAGTAACCACCTCCCTTCGGTACTAATGCTAAAGGGGTTAATAAGCTTCAGGGTCCGAATGAAGCTCATCTGCCAGCTTCCCATATCGATGAACCGCTCTAAATATCCATCACTACCCTTTTTCATTAACAAAGGGCATTTTCTAATCTAGGAGAGAGGTACTTTTGCAGAGTCGTGATCCATAAAAGGCCCTTCTCATCACGCTTTCAACCAACAGCAATGTGATAACTTCATCTCGACTGAAAAAAGAACGCAGTAATTTTATACAAAGAGAAGTGTGATAAAAACGCGCACACATGTCCTTCGGCACATGTCATCACAGTTATGAGATTTCTTCCTCCCTTAAGAAAAAAAAATACATGTGCAAAGACCTATATCAAATCACAATCACATTTTTACTAAAAACCCGTGATCTCCGCTATATGCCCACATCCTAGCTCTTATCACACATATCACATCCCTTTCCCCCTCTCGATGGAGAGGAGCAAACGAGAGGGAAAAAAGAGCGAAATGAGATGGCCTGGACGGGGGAACAAGGGGTGAGGGGAATTTGTCCGTGACGGGCAGTTAAGCACGCCATCTCAATTTCTTGCATTTCCTTTAAATGTGATGTGTCGCCTTAATAACGTTATGTCCAAGTATATCGTTATGTACGTTTTACTCGTGCACGATGATACTGCTTCATAGCGCTAGCTTTACACGGGAGCCAAATCTAGTGTTGAAGCTAGGATTTGCTTTACGGGTCATTGTATTTTGAAGAATCATTTTTTGACTGCTTACGCGCCCGGGGAATGTAGGTTGAAGGATTCAGTAGTAGCTGCTAGCACTACCATCCAAGAGTGGGCTTGACAGAGGGCCAATAGCGACGATGAAATCTTGGCGAGCTTCTGCTTTGGAGACGTACTATAAGTATATCTGCAGGCAAAGGTGGACATGCTCGGGAAAACGTCAGAGCGTTTAAGAGCAACGAAAGGGTCAGGGGAGGGGATGCTAGATGTTTCTCCTCAGCTGAGCTTGATTTGAGGTTGTACGGATGATACGACGGTGATTCGTCTTCGGTGATGCGTCTATCGCTCTCCACCAAGAGAAAATTGAAGAGGATTGCGTACACGCCTGCTATATTCGAGCCCTTATTAGATCCTTTGCTGCAGGCCAAGGAAGGGCACCAAGCTGATGTCTCAGACGAGGCATCCAACAACACAACAGCAAAAATGAGGTTTGCTAGACAATATGCAGCAAAGACAAAGAATAGTTTAGCTCCGCATGTAGTCAGAGATCAGCCGCTGCGCCAAATCAAAAGAGAGGCCAATCACTCAACGGAACGGGCAACTCCTTCAAGCTCGCCGCTCAGTTGATATGTCATATGAATGGACCAACAGGACAAAAGATCCGTTTCAAGGCTGTGAAGGGACCAAGGCACTAATCCTGCGGTTGGAATAATAAATAGCTTCCCGTGGCTGCTCCCCTTCTGCCGTAAATCAAGCGCTCCAACCAACGACCGCACCAAAGAGCCAAGTCCAGCGGCGGAGGTGTCGGTCATCGCCCTTGGAGGTGAGACGGAGCAGAACTTTTCACCTCGGCGAGCCAACATACCAGGATTGCTCCCCACGTGCAGACCCGTTGGTAGCATGATTCAGCGCTGAAGAGCTGGAGTGGTTGGACGGCATTCGAGACCGATGCAGCTCGGGGCCACCCTCCCGTCACGTTACTTGGAGACCTTCAAATTCGGGAACCAATGACAGTCCCGAAACCCTTGCTGGGCTAAACGAGATGGGGTCCTCGCCTGGCGTCTACGCAGTTTTGATATGGATAGATGGGTAGATAGGGTGTGAAGCAGTGGAAAGACAAGGGACGTGGCTTGATTCGCTGCTCTTGCCCCGGGATTTTCTTGCTTGGCTCAATAGCAGCCTGCTGTACTCCATCCATACCACCTACTATGTACATTAGTAGTAGCAGCAGTAGAAGTAGGCATGTACAAGTATATGCCTGTTCGGTAGGTAGTTGTGCTTTTGCCTGCCGATACTAGGCCTTGCTAAGCCGACTAAAGGAGACCGTTGTCAAGCCTCGGGCCCGGCGGGAAGGACAAAATACTCGGGTCTTGAGCCCGAGTGACTTCCGAAAAAGGCAAGGGATAGAGGAAAAAAAGCCTGGCGACGTGTTCACACATCACCATCCATGCGCGGCAAAAAAAGAAAAAAAGAAACATAAGAATTTACTACGCCACAAGCCAGCGAACAGCATATTGCCGTCCGCAAAAGCGGCATCGGCGGCGACCGCAGATCTGGCGATTCGATTTGGCAACCAGCCACAGGCCACCAGCCCCACCAAGCCGAAGCCACCGCGGGAACGGCCACAGCGGGACGTGCCACGTCACAAGCCTCACCTTGTTCCAACTGGTGTGGCGAAGCAGCTGCAGGACTTCAATGCACGTTGACGACAGCGCAGGGTATTCTTAGCTCGCAGGTTGCCTCCCATCCGACTTCATGATATCGCTGGCCCGGCCTGAGTATTTTTATCTGTCCCTGGAGACACCCAACAGGCCGCATAGATAGCGCTGCGTCAGCAAATATACCGGCAATTGATAGACTTGGACAGGGCCAACGCATCCTGTCGCCACTAGCTTCCAATGCCAAGGGATGTGGTGTTCAGCTCCGTTGTGCTCCCCGAGCTGTTGGGTCAACGGTCCACGGTCTTGTCATCCCATTACGCTGACAATTCCGGTATCTGCCGTGCTGTCTAGCGTTATGCTGGGGTCGGATCGAGGCCTGTGTTGCTATTATTGTCATTTGTATTCGCATGACTCTGATTTTGATTCCCTATGAGGTAGGGTGTAATATGCAGTAGACCTCGCAGCTACTGTCTGCCTTGCAGGGGCAAACAGTCAAAAATGCTGCTCCCTGGATAGTAAGCTACCCATTGAGCAAACCGGCTTGACAAATTCAGCTATCCAAGTTATCAAGAATATCTGTCAACATTTTTGCGATAACGATTGATATCGAGTCAGGTGCTGCCCGTATTCCGCGTAGGCCATCCAACTGAGCATAGTGTTATTGCCATGCTGGGGTATGTTGTTCGTTTCCTATGTAGGTGTAAGTTAGCAATATGGAACAAGGCGTTCTGGCTATCCGGTTATCCTAGCTAGCAGGGGATAGCATGGGGTCGGAAATAGTTTAAGAAATGTGATTGGGAGAAAATCTCAGAATAGAGGCCAATCAGAGTAGAGGGGCAGCCGCCATCTCATAATATAGACGAATGGCTGTTCCTGGTTTCTCCAAAAGTACTCCGTAGCGGGACTTGCGTTTAGGAATAGAAAGTGGGCAAGTGAGCCTCCAGAGCTGGCACTTTGCGAGCCCACTTGAAGCGATTGACCCCTGCCTATTTGGCTCCCGCGATGTGATAGTGGTGGTGCGACAATTTGCGGCTGGCTTCACCCGGTATTACCTGTAACGCGAGCACTGTCACCGTGTGATGAAGTCGGAAATGATGAGAGTGAGAAAAAAAAAATTGCTAGGCGCAGTGCTCTGTGACCATCGCCAGCCTAATTTCCCCTTCCGCCGAAGGCCTGGTCGAAAGCACAGAGTTGCCTGTGGCCACAATGCATGATGATCTACCAATGGCCCCTCAGCGGGTTACATGCAGATGAGAGATGCAGGAAAGGGCCATGCGCAAGCACCCTCCAAAGGTGAATAACGGCCGACATCTGTCCGTCTAGGTGTCCGCTTGGAGAGACCATTATTGAATACGGGCGTAGGATTCAGTGCTACACCGGGCACATGTTAATATCGAGCTGGTGGTGTCTTTGCTCGGGCAGCGGGGTGACTCTTGCCCGTGCCCAGCGATGTTTTGGAAGCGAGAGGACGCGAGAGAGAGAAATATGTATGCAAGGACATAGTATTAGCACAAAGTAGTATTTACTTGTCGGGACGGGGGCCCAACTGGCCACTGAGAGGCTTCAACGATATCCATCTGCGGCGATTGTTAGACATCGAAGTGGGCAAACGGCGCACTAGGGACCAAGGCAGCCAAGCGTGTCACAGGCCCTAAGCAGAGATTTGAGAACAAAGATGACAGAAAAAGACGGCGCGAGATGGAGGGAGATGGATATATGCGGGGCAGATACTTGTAGGCAGATAGAGGCATACTTGGGGTACTGACATGTGGAAGTCGCTTGCGAGCAACGAGCAACAGCACAAAGGATGAGAGAAAAGGTGAAACTTGCGGAGTAATACCTCGGCGCATGTACCGTTATAGCACTATCTACACCTGCTAATCCTACCAGTATACCTTTTTTGAAGGTATCGACCAGTGGTACCTGAGGCAACACATACGAGGCCCCAACCTTAGTACCTACACACCCGTCTCTCACTTACCCTCGCCATCTCTCTCACCATCCATGTCTGCAAAATTTGACGCCCAGACGCCCACCGCTGATGGCTGCCCGGGATGAGAAAGGGTACAGGCTAGCGACGCAGATCGTGCGGAATGCTGAGACATGCAGACACCTCTTTCTCTGGATCGACCTGTCGGAGTCGACGTAAATGAGACATGCAGGCAAGATATGTCTGAGACATGCATATGGCCTCTTGACCCTCTAGCAAGTGATAGACCACAACACTCGGCTGTGGCTGATGCCTGTACCCAAACGGGCGTAAGCGGCCGGTAAAGGTCGGCGACTACGCCCATGGGCAGGAAGAGAAAGGAAGGGGATAGGACGTGGAGTGACAGAGAGAGTGACAGGGAGATAGAGAGAGAGAGAGAGAGAGAGAGAGAGAGAGAGAGAGAGAGAGAGAGAGAGAGAGAGACGGTCACTGCCCCGGCTGCCAACTCATCCTCAGCTCTCTTCTCCTTCATGGTGACGATGATGGTGACGATGGCATAAAATCAACCTTGGCCTTGATCGGCCAGACCAAGATGGAGAGAGTGCATGTGGCTGGTCTCTGCTGCTGAGCAATAGCGCTCGTGGTACTTCATGCGATGCAAGCCTCGACCAGACCAATTGCAACGCGAATTCGACGCCGCGCGCCAATGAGTCTTTCTTGCTGCACCGTGGCCCTGTCGGCCTAGTCTTCTCCATCAGGAACCACGGTAGCCTTTCATCTGCAACGGAGAGGCCTGCCAGACCCTCAGTTCCCCACCGCCTCGGGCGCTATCTTGAGGATTTTGGTGCTTGGACTGCCAGGAACAGACGCCGCTCGCCCATTTGCTGCCAGGCCTTGCATCCAATCGCCGCCTCGCTCTGCCCGACCGGCCTCTGGCGACATGCAATAGGACGATGCCCTCCCAGGCCGCGTTTTCATGCGCATGCGGCGCAGCTCCAGCAGAAGCGCAGTGCCACTGATCTCCCCAAAGCTTCTGGGGACCCTGGTCTGGACGACTTGCCAGTGCATGGTCATCGCACTGCCTCCGATCGGCCACAATTGACCGCCGTCCAAGCCCGCAGGATATCATTTTCTCTGCTCTGCACACGGTCAGTCAGAAATTGCCATCTTGCAGTGGGGAGGGCAGAATGGGCCATCAGTGACGCCCTAAGGCTTTCCAGGTACTCTCGTCGCGGCTGCAGCCGACCACTCACGATGCTCCATCCGGAGGCCTTCATGGCCTAAATAGGCATGCAGCCCACAAGATGCCAATGTTCGCGTTTACAAAGACTGCATCTTTCTTCATCCACTCCAAGCAGCCTCATCCACCAGCGTCCCCGCTCTCGTGGCCCTCTTACAACGACTTCTCGTTGGTGTATCGCTCGTGCAAGCTGGACCTCGTTTCGCCACTCCACACCTCTTTGCCACGCCCTGTATTCGCACAAGCAGCCAATCGATTCCCAGCTGGCGAAATCCTTTCCACGCCTAACGTCCCCCTGTTGATTGCTACAAGCCAAGTGCCCTCTGGCCTGCTATAGTCAATTTTACCTTCTCACAGGCGCTTTCAGCAGCACTAAGCTACTCCGTCCCTAGTCAGCTTATTCCCGTCTCGGGTTGCGTCTCCACTCCTCCGGTCCTCTCACTCAGTCTGCCGGTTTCTTTTATACTACCGGCACTCCATCGTTACATTGTTCCCTTTCCGTGCAGAATAATTTCTTTTCCCTTCATTTCGTTTGTTCTCGGGTTAGCTACTCACGCTCGCTTTATCAAAATCTTGGCAGAAGCTTCTTTTTCTGGCCTAAAGCTGTTCAATAAGAGACAGTGGCCATTTGGTGTACTCCATTGTATACAGACTGCTATTATTATCAACAGGAAGAGAAAAGAGAGACCAAAAATATACACAAGTAAGAGGCGTTGATCTGAGCTTGTGGCCGACAGGGTAAGTTCTTTTTCATTCTTGGTTGCGATGGGTCGAGTTTGATCTGGGTTGCTGCTACCAACCCATATTCTACTTTATACTTCACAGTTACGTTGCATCTGCTAATTTGTACGCAGAGCAAGCTTCAGCTTTAAGAAAATTATCTTTGGGCGAAATATGCATCTCTATATATCATAAAAGGCATGTTTGGAATACTACAAATATCCCACGAGGTTGGAACAGTATGGCATCCCCCAAGGCGGGATACGGACTACCGGCCAAGCCTACCGATGGCTTTCGAAGACGACCCGAAGACTCGAGAATGCTGAGCGGCATCCCAAAATCTACGTTCCGGGCGAGCGAAAGAGAAACAGACACATCGAGGATAGCAAAGCAGGATCAGTTGCAATCCCGTGGGACTAGCCGGGTCCCTCTCCCATCTACAGCACGCCGTCCCTCTGCTTCCCAAAAGCCTGTTTCAAAGCTTGCCTCGGACCGGCAATCAAAGTCATGGGGCTCAGCAACTAGCTCCTCTGGCCACTCTCGGTCCCATACGCAGACTGAATCAGGCTCGTCCTCTTCTAGCCGGTCATTCGATAGTGGCTCAAGGTTGGGACAAAATGTGCCGAGACGGAAAAATCCTTCACTATCACCCGATGCCGCCAGCTTGCTTGGTGATTCTCCCAACTTGGGCTCAGGTTCTCCCAAGCGCCGGTCACAGGTAATAATAGACCCGGCACTTGGAATTCAGCTTGATCCAGGTGTGATTATTAGCCCTAGCAGCGTCTACAACGAAGAGCCATCGAACGTCTCCAAGCCCGTTGGCCAATCTCCGGTGATATACCCTGAGCTAGATCGATATCGCCACCACGATCGAGCACAAAATGTCTTGAACAGGCAGATTGCGGACATACCTTATCGCCTGGCTACACATGATCTACCACCGCCAACACCTGGGAGCTTGCTCTTTTCTGCCAACAGCAGCCAGGTTAGTGCCATCAGCGGCAGTCCTTCGACAAGATTTTCTGCATCTCCCGGTCCAGGACCATATAGCCGAGACACTACTCCAACTTCAATATCTTCACAGTCTCCCGGTCTTTTTGTCCCTAGTCGAGGCTTCCCCCTGACTAAGACCCGGCAACACAGTCCTGCCTTTACTCGCCCGCCAGTGACTAGGCGAAGAACTGGGAGTATATCAAATGAAGTGGACTTAATAAGCGTTGACCCTCATGGTCTAGCTGCAGTTAGAGAATCATTGACTTCATCATCTTCGAGTTCTACAGTTAAAGGGAGTGTGGTTAATACAAAAAGAGAGAGGAAAGGCGGAAAGGTTCTAGGAGTACCTCCACAAAGCCCACCACCACGGAAATCTTCCCAGAGATTCCGCACGAGCCAAGACGATGAAGAGCTTTCTCCTAGGCAGCATCTCCAACAGAGAGCTCAACCCATAGAGATGTCACCCCCGGCAAAGTCCAGTCTCTCACCTCGCAGTTATCAGTCGCCATCACCACAAGCTATGCCGCCACGCCGACCGAGCCGGGATGGAACTGCTGATCTCAAGTCCCAGCTGTTCACCCCAATCCCAGTCATTCAAAGTACTTTAGCACTCCGCGCAGCCAATATGGAGAGGCGTGATAGTGAATCTTCAATGGCTCACCCATCTCAGCCTTCAGTTTCGCAGGCCAACAAGAGTGCCTCAACATCAAATCTTCTCACGTCTGAGCAACCCATCCCACCAAGTAGATTGGCGGGTCGGAGAAAGCTTAGCGTGTCTGGCATAGTCAAGCAGACTGATACATCAACCTCAACTGCCAAGGCTTCCGGTTCTCGATTTCCATTCTTTGGGCGCAAAAAATCTGCTTCTGAGAGCGCAGCAAATGACAGAGAAAAAAGGGATAAACAGAAAGTGCCCAGAAAAGGCCCAGCGGCTGGCACAGGTCACGAGGGTTACGGACGAATCGGCGCTGTTCGACGACGGAGTGGGATCATTCCGAATCATCAAGTATCGAATGAGAGCCTTGTTAGTGGTGACTCCTTCCTGGCCGACCGCATAAATCCTGTTATTATATCAGGAGGAGCTATCGTTGAAAATCGAAACGCCAGTGCCGAGCTCATCAGGTCAGAGAGCAACCTGAGTTTATCAACAAACGAACGCCCAAGCATCGATTCAGTAGCAGCTTCTACCATCTCTTCTGCTTCAAAAGATGTGCCAAGAACATCTTTCTGGCCTTCAGCCATCCCTCGTGGACCTCCTAATGCTCGGAGGCCATCTGATAACACCGATACCAGTAGCGTGACCATGGGATCTACTTTGGCATTCCGGCGATCAATTCAACGACTAAAGTCGTTTCCGGACAATCCTTTGCAACTGCCACAACCGATAAACACCAGCGGGGCAATTTCATCGCCAATGACTAGCTTTGATACCAGCATTATGTCTGATGAGTCTTCGCTATTTAATATTCAGCAACGACCATCTCATGAGTTGAGAAATGCCCAGCCAGCACCTAAAAAACTGCAGAAGAAGCCTCGATCTCCAAGAAAGTGGAATTTCTTCAGTAGATCAAACACTCAGCCCAAACCGAAGAAAGCAAGTGAGACAGTTGCAGTCACTGTTCAGCCTGTGGAGAAGAAACCTGTGGCCTTTTATACCATAATGGACTCGCCTGAACAAGAGCCTGTAGACCTACGGGAAATTCTACGGGAAGCTGACGCCTACTCACGCTCGCCTGCCGAGATAGGTACCCCTGAACTGCAGGCAGCTGAAGGGCAGTCTCCCATTCTATCGCAGTTGCAGCCTCCAGCAAACATCATACCGCAGCGTCCTTTGCCTAGCCAGGAACTTCAGGCCAGAATACCCGAACCCATCCTTCCACAAATTGAAGGAGATGTTCCAGTTGCTATGACGCTAAGCTCCGGAAGGCCCAGTCGACTACCGCAAGTAGGCAGAATTCCCCATGTGGTGAGCAACCGTCCAGAGGCGACCTCCCCTCGTAGCTTCTCACGACCGTTTGGGACAAATCAGCCGCTGGCTTTGCATATACCTCCAACGCGTGGTTTAGGCATGAACTCTAGGGTGCCTAATTTTTCCAAGCCATCCACACCCATCCCGGATGCAAGCGGTGAAGGCTCAACCACCGACGCAGGGACAGAATTTTCCTTCTTCAGCGAGCCTAGATCACATATATCTCCCGGTCCTCCAACCACACAAGAGTTCCTAGCATTTTCTCCTCGAAAGAATTCGGACTGTACCAGTTCGACTGAATCTTGTGTCTACAGCTATGTAGAGGCGACCGCTGTCATCCCAAAGCCTGATGATCCACCTGCAGAAGATGAGGTTTGGGATGAGTATAATGATCTTCTGGGGGAAGAAGCTGTGAAAGATCGACAATCAACCACATCTTCCAAGGGCGTTCCTTTTCATCTCGAAACATATCAAATGAAGCTCATGAAGGAAAAGTCTCTTGAGTCTCCAACGATCGTCACTGATAGCCGCAAACTGTCGACTCTCTCAGATGCCCCAACAGCTTCCACTTCCTTTAGTGCTGATATGACGGAGAGAATTCGGAAAGCCTTTCAGCCTCATCCCAGCCCTACCGTACCCTCGCCGGTGCCAGAGGATACAGAGCAATATCATGGTGGGCATTCAAGGAAGCCTAGTGCCGCTGAGACGACTCGACACAGCACTGTTTCTTCTCACAGGTCCAGGCAATCGAGTTCATCCAACTCTTCAGAAGAAGGAACACCTCTGGCTCAGGTGAATCTTCGTGTAGGATCTATGACCGTTAGTAAATGGCTTACTTTTGGCCAAGTTCTCTTCAGCGACATTCGCCATGGACTGGTGCGGGGCCAAGAGTCCCTAGAACGCCCCCAAGTTCTCGTGATCGATGGGCTCGGCAACGATGACTGGTCATTTTACGCTGCGGAAACATACTCAGCCGCCAGTTTCTTCAACTTATCCCCACGTGCTCCTTTACCTGCCGAAGTACAGAGCTCTCCATCTCGCTATCCCTTGAGCCCACCCAACCATCATCAAGTTCAGTATCTTTCCCATCTTGATGAGTTTCCATTTGATTCGCAGACTTTTAATTGCGTTGTTTATCGTTTCCCAGCCGCCGCCACGGAGGCGCATTATCAGAATGTACTTTCTGAAGCCCGTCGTGTGCTCAAGCCGGGTGGATATCTTGAACTATCTATTCTTGATGTCGACCTCAATAACATGGGTAATCGCGGGCGCCGGGCCATTCGTCAACTCAAGGAACGCATGAATGGAACATCGCCAGACACCAATCTAGCGTCTACTGCCGATCTAATTGTTCGTCTCCTGGGAAAGAGTGGCTTTTCAACTATCAAAGCTGCCCGTGTTGGTGTCCCGGTGGCAAGCTCAATCACCTCCTCTGACGATAACTCTCAAGGCAAAGGCTCAGCTGAGATCAAGAAAAAGAAACCCAAGGATCAGCCTAGCCTGGCAGAAATGATGCGAGATCATAGTTCAAATGCAGATGAGGGTATCACCAATATGGTGTCCCGAGTAGGGCGCTGGTGGTATTCTCGATGCTATGAGAACGCAACTAGTCATTCTTCTGGGAAGAGTATCTGGAACGACAAGGCTTTACTCAGAGAATGCGAGGAGCTGGGCACTAGTCTCAAGCTGATGGTTTGTTGTGCTCGTGCGCCTTGAGTGGATCAACAGTGTCTTTGCACATGACACCCTGTGTTTTATCACGATATACGCGTGTTCGTTTCTTTTTATTTTCTTTCTTCTCCTCTCTTTCCATAAGCATGTGGGAAAAAATTGGTATTGAAAAAAAACCAAAATTCCAAGATTGGAAAATAAGGCGCAAGCCTATCCTCAAGACTGGGTCTTCAACGAGCATGATGTTACATTCCTTTCTTTTCCTTTTCCTCCGGTTATTTTGGAAAAAAAAAACCTTTAGGAGCTGGAGTCTTTAATAACGCAAACTCGACTGTTTTTCATTTTGCACCCCTTGAGCGGAAGAGCCGCAGGCAGCATATATGCATGCAGTGGCTATGTAGCCTCTTTCTAGCGAGCATTTGACATTCTCAGCTTGATTTATACTATTGATTTTCTCTATTTGTTTTCGTTTCATCTGTTCTTATCTCGCCGCCGGTCGGAAGATTAGCTGCCGGACACACAAGACAGTTCTCTTTTCCTTTCTTCTTTCTTGTTTTCTTTATAAATGGGGCCAGAGGTTAAATATTAATGGAAAGTGCTTCGTTTAGAAGGACGTTGAAACAGATGTAATGGCAGGCCGGTGCATTCTGTGGATGGTTCTTCGAAATGGATATCAATACTTTAGACGTATTGAGAAGAAGAGCGCAAAGAGGAGAGCTATAAAGCAAAAGGAGGAAATGGCGAGGACTGTGTTTTTTTTTTCTTTATTCATGAACGCGATTATGACGATTATGACGATATACCTGAAAATTCTTTATTCTTAACGCTGTATATAGAGATACCCGCCATCAATTTGGTAGATGTTTGAGAAGCGAGAATGAATTTTGGCTGGGCTTTTGTTTTATAAACTGCAAAATTACAAGCGAGAAGCATATTTGGCTGAGTTATTATCTTTTTGAGCATTATCATTCGCTGTTGGTGATATCGATATATGTGTTGTGTTTGGTAGTATAAGCAAGCGGTTTCGATTTTATACGCGTAGAGTAGGAAAAATAAATTAGAAAACATGACATCTGAGATTAAGCATCCATCTCTTACTCCACAACCATTCAGATAGGCTGAATGCCCTTGGCTAGTACGGAGGCGTAGTTGAGTATACTCATTGTTCTTTGGTGATCTTGTTTTCATATGCGGCTGTACAGGCCAGGTATATCCATGTGACGTGATTACATGTGTATTTGGTATATACGTATAATAGCGACATTATGTACAGAAAAAGAAGAAACTAGCCAACCGGTCGTCCATCTAAGACATACACTCTATAATCATATTCTCATGAGAGGACTAAAATTTCTCCAGCGAAGCGATGTCGGACTCACTCCTCAGTCTCTGCTTCTTCAGGGGATACTTGAGCTAGCTCTTCAGAAACAGGCCATCGGCGTAACACAGCCAAAAATCCACCGCCAGCAACTCGCTCCCCTACCCTTGGCCGCATTACCTGTACAGGTTTCTTGTTCCCATCTTCACCTTGCTGCGCCCTTGGCACAACCGTTTTCACATCCCAGTGTCTTCCGCCGGAGCTATCATGCACGCCACCTTCGGAGGCAGTGGTGGCGTATAGCTCAATTACTTTTTCCGTGCGCACTGGCTGCTTTGTCTCAGCTGACCAGGCTTGGAAATCAGCAATTTGGCTGATGGAGGGTTTGAAGAGGATGAGGAGACCGTTGGGATGCAATGCCTTGATCACGAGCTCGGCGTTTTCATGCGCTGACGGAAGATCGAGAATCGCGCGGGAAAGAAAAGGTCGACCTCCGGTCTGCTCAAGTCGACGGCTAAGGAACTCGTCTATGGAGCCGACGTGAAAGTCCACTGCAGGTAAGTACTGCGCACGCCGAAAGTTGCGTACCAGCTTATATGCAGCTCGGGCATGCTTCGTGTTGTGGTCGAGTGTATGCAGGATCGCGCGGCGGGAAGATGCATACGCATCAAACGCGGATTGGTCTTCGGGAGATACTTCTAGGCAGCCTCTTGAGGCGGTAAAGTCGTAATGAGGTTTGAATGGGGAAGAGATGAGGGTTCGTCGGAGAGGAGCTGGGAACGTCGGATTTGCGGCGTACAAGGCGCGAGCAATATGCAGAGTGAGGCTGCCCATGCCAGTGCCCGCTTCGAAGATTTCAAAGGGAGGATCTGAATCACCTTGGTCGTCTTCCCCAGGGCGAGATGGATTTAGATCGAGGAGGGAGACAATAGTGTTGGCATCGTTGGGATAGATCTGCAACCGTTCAGACATGTCAATTATCAATGCGACAGAAAGAGGGCCTTACCGGCGTGGCGAGGCGCTCGCTATTAATGATGTAGCTTGCAAGAGACGGCTCATGCAAGATTACAGAGTTGCCAGCGCTATCGCGAACCACATCGAGGATGCGACGGCCGATCAATTCTCTCGCCGGGACGGTGGCGCCATACGAGAGCTTCACACGAGATTCCGGGCGCAGGGGGGCCGTGAGGTGCCATTTTGCGTGTTTGACGCCATGCTGACGGAGGAAAAGGACGTCGTGCTCTGTAAAGGACGAGGGGGGTTTGTTTGCTGTCTGTTCTGCGCCTTTGGGCCGAGTTTGGTTCAAGAGCGTAGCGTACCTTGGATTGTGCGGCTTGAGGAAGAGTAGAAGCGGCAGAGGGTCTTGCTACGGCTGGCTATTAGTCGCTGAGGCCGCTTGGAGCATAATTGGCAGCAGAATAGCGACATGGTCGTGTTCGGGGAGAAAGCGACTTGCTCACTGGAAGACGTTGCGATGCTGTACTAGTTCGATGAGGTCACTGGGAACTATTTTTTTTCCTATTGCGCCGGTGATACTTCGGGGAGTCCGCTCGTCGTTTCCTTCCAAGGCTCAGGTACTTAAAGAAAGGGGAGTACATAGAGTAATAAATACCATAAAAGCAGCAAGAACCGGCCAAAAATGTACATGTACAATGTCATCATGTCTTTATTCATTACCAAAAGTTTTAATACTAACAGGCAAGTCGATAGAAAAGAAGGTGCAATGGGAAATCAGTGGGCTGCCGCTCCTTCCCAGAAGGACGGTCTGGTTCTACCATCTGCATGACAATTGCCTCCTCGTCCGTTCCTGCCATCCAAACTCCAGCCTGCCGTCGCCTTCCCAGATAATGCAGGAAATGCTCGATAAGGTATTTTTCTGCTCAAGTTCCATCAACTCCTCCTTCGCCCTTTTCTTTTGAAAAGCCCAGCCTGGCTTCGTTTCTGCGCCACCACAGCTCCAAACATCATGCTCGCCTCCCTTCGTGGTCTCCAGAAACACACACAAAAAGAGCAAAGCACTGCAAAAAAAAAAAAAAAAAAAAAAAAAAAAAAAAAAAAAGAAAAAGCAAAAGTCAAGAAACCCACACACACACTATTATACACGGATGGACATGCATCCAAGTTCAAGACCTCCAAAAATAAAACGCCGGCTCGAGGTGCAGTAACTGCATCAAACAAATTAAGGAAAGGGGCTCGTCAGCGTCAACTAGATGAGAAAGGAAACTTCACGAGGGTGAAAATATCAGCCGTCCAAAACTCCAGGCTCGATATGAGATGGAAATGAAATCGTCGCTATGCGCGCCATAACCCTCTTGATGCTGGGTATCAACCATCCGTTGAGACTCGACAACGAATCTCAACAATCTATGCTCGTCAAACGCGCATTGTAGATGTTCTTTCTTTCCTTCTTTCTTAACAAGAGAGTTGTCATAAGTAAACGAGTGACAAAGGTAATATGATACCTGCTATTTGTGCCATTTGGGACATTTCGCTAAATGAAGCCCCAGGACCTATTTGTTGTGCCCATCTGGAGAGCTGCCGCCCACGCATTTTGGGGTTCTTGGGCATGCTCCGTCGTGTGAAAGTCCTCTTCAAAATAAGGATGAATTTTCACTCCGACAAGCTCTTCCATAATGGTTACGAGTGGGTCGTATCGCCTCCGGCATCTCTTTGTCCACGGATCGACCTTGAGTGGACTGTGATAGCAGTAGCTATTCGGACGCGGGTCTCGCATGGGGAACATCGTGTTCATACTCCGTAATAGGTTCCAAAAATCATTTGCAGCCTGTTTCGCGGTATCGGAACTCGGAGATGCAGCATACAGCAACTGCAATATGGAATATCGGATAGCTAGTACCTCGACACTGGTTTCGCCATGCCGCTGCTCGAGTTGTTTTTGAAGTGCGCGAAGTTCGACGACCAGCTTTTCAATTCTCTCGGGATTCACCTGGTTATAAAACAACGCGAGATCGGACCATGTTCGAGCTACATACGGATGGCGGCGTCCGTAAATCGCTTCGAGTTCTTCGGCAATTGTAGAGATGCTAATCCACAACAGTTCGGAGAGTGTCTTTGCACCATGCTTCTGTTGCACTTCATATAAACAAGTGAAAATTTGCCGAAGAGGATGTGTGCGTTCAAAGTTTGTTGACGAATATGCCGCCAGGTATTTGCAGAGGGCCGTCATCATGCCAGGATCACCGTTAATCATACCCAAGATTAGCTCCATGATACCTTGCGGTGAAAGTTTCATCAAATCCACTTCGAGCTGTTTAAAGGCTCGCATCATATAGTCGCCTCCTTGGTCTGCATCGCGTGCTTCGAAATGAAAGTTGGCCTCGAGCAAGAGGTCGCTTGATCCAGCCCCCCAAACCATAATTGATGGCCAACTAATTTGGGTATCCGTCTCCATCTCAAATTGCCGGCAGTGTAAAAATGCTTTTCGCATGTTTCCAACGACAAGCTCTTGAGCGCGAAGGAGGTCAGGGGATCGAAGTGCCGGAGGTGGCGTTGGCGTTCTACATCGAATATGGGCTGGAAGATCGGCGGGCAGCTCGAAATCCACCAAATCATACTCAGTCACTCCCTTTCGTTTCAGATAAGTACCCAGGTTAACCACCCTGCCATTTCGAACAAATTCGGAAACTTTGCCCTCGGCATCTCGTTGAAATTTCATCGACAACAACCGCTTGACTTCTTCTTCCGTGTTATTCTTCACAAAACCCCATTGAGAAAACCTGGTCTTATACATCTTTGGTCTGGGAGGCGAGCCGGGTCAGCATTCAGAAACATCAAGAAGAAGGACCAGACTTACGTGGCTTGGAAACCATATTGTTCAGACATGATGCTCATGACTTCTTTCAATGGTTTTCTTTCCTCAAGATAAAGAGTTCGGATTGTGGACTTATATTGCTCCCACGCCTCTGCAGGAACCTGTTCCCGTGACGGCCTAGTACCTGCCTGGGCACGAAGAGAAATCGAATCCTTCCGCTGTGTCTAATTGTTTGGTTAGTGCCAACGGGGGTGAGAATTATTCTGGCTTATTATCTATGACTCACGGTAGAAGGGGTTGATGATGAAGAAGAAGAAGGGGGTTCTGAGGGTCGAGGCGGTTTTGGAGGAGGAGACATTGGTCCTGGAGCTGGAGCAGCGGCTGGTATCGGTCTCGGTGTTGGGGCCTGCGCAGGTGTTGGTTCTCGCGCCGAAGCTTGTGTTTGTGTGACGGTAGTAGGCTTCCGTGGAGGCAATCGCGGCCTTGGTGGTTTCGCTGGAGCCTTCCCTTTGGCTGCTTTGGCGGCGCTTGGGTTGAATTCCAAAATGAATTGATTGCCTGTATTCACGACAGGCTTTGGCGTCGTAGGTACCGGTGGTCTGAAATAGCCTGCAAAGTTGGTCGCGTTGGTGAGACCAGAGGGTTCCTGTTTGATCCCTATTGAGGGAGGAGGACGCCATATCTCGAATCCAGGGGTGCCAGGCACTGTGGGCGTAACTTGACTTGGTGTAGATACTATTGGGCTGGCCACCATAGGCGTCGATACCATCGGACTATTCACACGGGTAGTGTTCATGAATCCATCCATGCTACCAAATGGTGTTCCAGCACCAGGACTGTGCACTTGCTGGGTGTCATGAAAGCTGCCAAAGTGCATACTACCGGAGCGACCCATACTGGTGGCAATCGGGCTGGGAGTCGGCGGCGAATGAATACCAAGAGAGCCATATTGAGAATCACCTGAGCTGGCAACGGGACTCGAGATCCTATGCGACTGGGCTACGGAATTTAGACTTCCAAAGTGTGACGAAATTGAGGGACTGGTGCCAAGGTGGTGTGTTTGGTGATGCGCGTTAATGATGGGTCTCGGAGGCAGTGGAGGGACATATCCTTTGTTCTCGAAATGCGCGACCAAGCGGCCAACCCCTCCTCCTCCTCCTCCTTGAGTCGAATTCATACTGCCCATTTCGACATTCTCTGGCGGCGACATGGCAACTCCATCGCCGTTATGGTGGTGAAAGGTTGCGTCAATCTCGGGCGTCCAGTCCATCACAGATGCTGTGGAATAGGCTCGACCGGTTCTCTGCATGGGCTGAGGGCCCGGGGGCGGAGGCGATGACATATTGCTGAAGCCATACCGTTCCCAAGCCTGGCTGGCAACAAACCCAAACGGATCATCATCGAAGCCAGAAGCGCGAGGCTTGTCTGGCGGTTGATGGAACATGTCAACGTGCCCACGCCAAGCAGACGGAGCAGTTGGTGCTCAGTCCGCCGGCTATCTGTCTGTCAGTCACTGACGGACCTGGGCAAGTCAAAAGACTCGGCTGGAATAAATCAGTCTCCAGCGCGATGATTCATCACTCTGCTGGAGTGGCGAGCGAGATTGCTCAATCAAATCAAGGTCGTAAAAGGGAGGCGGGCAAAAGTGCCCATAGTCGCCGAGCGCAGATGGATAGTAAAGAGAAGAGAAACACAGCGGCAGAAAGGTCTACTAAACGAGCGCCGAGTCCAGTACAAAGACCAGCTAGGGGCAGATATCGGTATCGTTCCCCAGATATCGGCTGATGTGGGCGATGCCTTGATAGGGCAACAGTTTATTGTGTAGTTTTATTAGGACAAACAACAGAGCAAACCCGCGTGGGAGGAGGAGACTAGGCCAAGCCACGAAGCTCAGAGAGGGCGAGCAAAAGTTCCCTCGTCTAGGCTGCCGAGAATGGAAATCCCATTTGCCGTCGTTCAGTTTAGAAGGCCCCCGCTGAGATAAGAGGGAGAGATCCCCAATACACGCTGGGAAACAGGACGGAGCGGAGAGCGCTGCTACAGTATGCTAGTATGCTTCTACGATTACTAGCACCATTGGATTAAACAGCGACGGGAGAGCCTAGGCACGAGAGCAGGTGGAGAGGGGCTAGCAGCAAAGACAGGCAGGCCAAAGATTGGATTAGAGGGGATGTAACCTAATGCAGGCTGGTGGCTAACGACTATTGCAACAACGATGGCGAAGCAAATAACCAGGCCGGGGAAACAAGTAGGGCTGCCGGCCATTGAGCTGGAGTTGCCAGGGGGGTCGGGCGTGTGGGAATGCCACCATCGGCCAGAAACAGAAGGTGATATGGGCTCAAGCCACCACCCACCAGACAAAACCACCAATCATAGCGCTCTGATACCAACCCCTGGTGCCATACACACGAGGACACTGTACTG